AATACTATTACATATCTAATAATGTATATGTACATATTACCTCCAAATAAACCATAATTGAACCTAGAGTAGGACAAGTCGAGATCAATTTCGATATATCGATCTCGAAATCGATACATGAATATCGGACCAAATATCGACCGATATCGATATCTTCCGTTTTCGGCCGAATTCCGTCTTTTTTGCTCTTCCGCTGTTTAGGTCTCTTCCGCCAAAAATACACCCCTATGTTCGGTAAAACTTTTGCAGAAATTTATTTTGGTCTTACAAAAAGTTTTCACCACGGTGCCAAATAAGGCAGAAATCTGTCTTATTGACTTTCCTAAATTTTCAAAATTTTCGCTTGCGGAGCTGAAAATCAATTTTTGAAGGGCCGAATTCATCCTGTAAATTAATGTAAACATTCCAAAATTAATTGGTATCCCGCAAGGATTTTGGTTTTAACCTATAAATTATAGATATCGGGGATATCAGGTGATTTGAAGGATACCAAGGATTAATAGGATCTCTGTGGAGTTGGATGGATTAAGAAGATTTAGAGTGATATTTAGATTTGGAGGATAGATAAAATTATATAATACAAGTCAGGGATGTGCCGAAACAGATTTTAAAAAGCGAAAGACGAAAGGCGAAAGACGAAACGGCACACCCCTGATACAAGTCTATTTGAATGGATTAAAGGTATTTGAAGAGAGATCAGCAATTAATAAGGAAACCGGGGTGTCTTCAATATCTCCCTAAATCCTTTTTAATTCCCAAATATCTCCACTAAGCTTAACCCCAAATACTTAATATCCCCCTTAATACATTCAAATCCACAATACCCCGTAGTGGGATATTAGAGGATTTGAGGAATTAAGGCAAATATTGGGGAAATTCTTTGATACTAAAAAGATGATAAATTTGTTTCTGCAAAATTACTTTGTAATACTGTAAATCTTGTTATTAAAAATTTTTTAAATTTATAATCGAAAAATACAATGCCCCCATCTATTTAAAAGTGCCCTTTAATAGAAAGCTAGAAGGTGATTGAAAAATAAAATAGTACCCGGACATGAGGTAATACAGTAATTTAATTTAGAGTTACTTATTTAAATAATTAAAAACTAACTCATATATACATAAATTTAGAATTAGTATTTTAAGTATCATTTAAACATTTAGAGATTCGTCGAACGCACCACCTGGATTATTTGATGATACATCTGATGGTGAACTTATGTTTTATCAATTTGGAGATAGTAACTATTGGCTTGCTCCAAATAGTTATATCTTAGACGGAACTTTTAAAAAATTCTACGAATGGTGTGGAATGTAAGTTTATTTTTTAAAGAAAAATTAAATCCCAATCCCCCTCCATACCGATTCCCGAACCCGCGAATATACATGTCTTTATATCGGTATTATCACCGGTATTCATTGTATTTATTCTAAAAATTTTTTTGAGTATATTTAGAATTAGAAACTGAGACATTTTGTGAGGAGGGAAACAGGGCTGTACGTAAATTGCGGGGGTTTTTGCAATTGCGAGTTGCGGATTGTGTTTGCGGATTTTTTTAGAAGTTGCGAGTTGCGGATTTTTTTTTCGATTGTGTGCAGCCCTGGTGGGAAGGGCGTCTAATACGATATGAGTCGACAGCCCGTCCGCGGGCTTTTATAGCGCACTAAATAAAACGGCACCACTTGTTTATTTTTAAATTACTAAAGGCAGTGTATTAATGGCAGCCTTGTGCGTAATACACAGCCACCACCAAAATTAGCCGTAATTGATACCAAATCAGCGAAAATGTCAAACCGTGTTTCATCTAATAATATTATAACAACCAATGAGACTGATGGAATCCAAAAACAAAGCGCTGATAAAATTCTAGGCAAGAGAATGAATTTAGTATCAAAACTACACGTATTTTGTGTTAGTTCTCGTTTAAGGCAGTTTCGATTTCGTCTTGCAAAAAGTTTTGTTTTTTTTGTTCAGTCTTTCGTCTATATAATAGTCTTATTGTTAGTTTCGTGTGTTTTTTTCGTCTTTTTCGTTTTATTAGCTAAAGAAATTTTTTGTTTATCAACCCTTTAGGGTTGTCGGAAAATCTTAGAATATCCAAAACCAATCCGAGAAAGCTAACAGAAAATCCTAGGTTCAGGTGGGTCCCGACCAGAGGTGGGTCGGGATTCCGATTTTCGATTTCCGACGTTTTTTTCCTTCCGATTTCTGAGTTCCGACTTTTTGAGCCATTTCCGATTTCCGACACCTCTGACTGTTCCAACACACCTCTGGTCCCGACAACCTCATTCATAAATGTGCTTAGCAATAAGAGTTTTTGTCTAGTTCTGTTCTCGTTTCTTATGTTTATTTTTGTATTAAGTGTACTTTTGTGTTTCGTTACTAATTATAATTTAGGTTCTCGTTTACTTTTATTTCGTATAATCGTTCTGCAGTTTTGTCTCGGCATTCTAACGATAAGCTTTAAACAAGTCCTTGAAAATTTAGTATTCTTATAAATTCAGCTCCTCAAGTTACAACAATTCCAACTCCAACAAAACATCATAAATCTGCAGAAATTTCTAAGGCCAATCGTGTATTTCATCGTTTTGAAATTGTATTTGGAATGATAATTATTGTCGTCGCATTTATGACAAATTTTTGGGATTATTTTTGTATTTGAAGAAAAATTGGAAGAGTTTAAATAATTAAAAAGAAATTTTATCTCTTTTTTACAAAATTCCTATTAATTTCTCCATAATTATTTTACTTTAAATAAAATTTATTTTTACCCGCGCCATTTTCCTTTTCTTCCAATGTTATCATTTGCTAGCATAGCTGTCATTAGGGGGTGTATAGATGGCGAGCCATGGCCATGGGGAATTGAAAAACTTGTTAAAACCAAAAATTCCCATTTCGTTGCCTTAAAACCAAAAATTCCCATTTTAATGACCTGAACCCAACAATATTAATAAAGTTTCAAAATCTTTAAAATGTTGATCTTACAAAAAACGTCGCTATACTTTATTTGATCTAAAGTTTTTTGTGTGAACCCTCATTATTTCTGTCAGGATGATTCATCCAGCAGCATTTAAAACGCTTAGGCGGGGGTTAAACGATCTAAAAAGGAAAAAGAGATAGTCGATGCCCCGGTAGCTCAGATTTAGAGCTCCTGCATATGGTGAGCGAAAGCGCCTAGCAACAACTAGCAGGTGGTCGCAGGTTCGAATCCTACCCGGTGGCTAAACTTTTGCAAACTCTTTCTTTTCTAACAAGACATCCAATTTTATATTAGGACATGTGTTGATGGCCGACTTAAGAGTTTAACACGACAAGAGAAGATTGAACATAAAAATAATGAACAAGATAAAACATTGGGTTCGCATGCAGAGCGGGTTAGAATTTATATTTAATAAGTCGTTTTATAAAAAATTGTATTTACAATAAATCGAACAATTTAAGTTCGTTTTCAATAGTGTTGCACTCCAACCCCGTTCCCCGTCCCCGACACAATTCGAAAACCCAGTACCCCGACAGACCCGCCCCCGAGCGTTCGGGGTGCAACCCTAGTTTTCAACAACAAGTTTTTAAAAGGACCAGAACTCCCCGAATACTTAACCAAAAATTCTCAAATTTTGGGATCTATTAGAAAACACTAAAGAATGTGTGTCCAAAATTTCACAGATTTTGAACAGTTAGAATAAATCATATAAATATTTTAACATTTAAAGGATTTTATGAAACGACCTAAATTTTGATTAAGACACTTCTTTTGAAAACTTAAACCAAAATGAATTTTGAAAATCGAGAAATACTCTTAGACTGAGTTTTTGGCTACCCTGAATTTAAAATTACAGTACAAATAATATTTAACAATTTTTAGTTGAAGAATAAAAACAAGCGGATTGAAGAATTAGAACAGAAAGTAGAAAAACTAAAAAAACTAGAAGCAAGAATAGCACAACTAGAAAAACTTGAAGCCAAAGTACGTAACATTGAGGAAAATGAGTTACCTAGAATAGAATTCAAAGCAGATGATATTAGTGAGAATGTCTCAATAGCCACCTATTGCAACTATGGATTAAGCCTTTCGGATGGTAAATTTTTTTTCCATTTCCGTGTACAAAGTTCCATTTTTTGATAATTTTGAACTTTGTGACTCGCATGTTTTCTTCCTCATCACATCATAATTCCTTGCTTTCTCAATTTCAACCTGTTTCCCTTTGGCCTCCTCAAATAATAGATCTTAGAAAAGGATTAAATTTTATACACAAGGATAAAAAAAGAGATGGCAGAAATAATTAAATTGAGATACATTAGCGCATTTTTGTTCAATTTAATTGGTCATTTATGTGCCTTCTGAGCAGAGGTGGGTCGGAACAGTCAAAGGTGTCGGAAATCAGAAAAGCCAGAAATCGGAATTCAGACCCACCTCTGCTTCTGAGGAAGAAAAAAGTGCAAGTCAAAAAGTTATAGATTGCCGAGTTGTTTCGTAATATGAAAAGGTTTAATTTACTGCCACATATGTGAATGAAAATTTGACTATTAGTACTGTTCGGCAAATGGGTATTTTCGGTAAGCGGTATCGGTGATACAAAAAATTACTGTTAGGTATTATCGACAAGTACCGCAGTGTTACCGTTCTGGGCATAGTTCCGTAAGTGTTAGAGAGATGTAACCCCCTCTCCACCAGTAAACAGCTTATTTAATAATTGCGAAACAATTCTGATTAAGTTAACGAAATGATATTTAACAAAACATTTTAGAACATTCAGTTCCAGCTAAGTTACCATGAATATCCTGATAGATGCTACTAGTATAGACATTTTAACCCTCCTTTCCACCGTCGGGAATTAACCTATTTGTAATTGCTAACAATTCTGATAATTATTAAATTAACGAAATGTTATTTAATAAATCATTTTAGATCTTATCAGCGTAACGAAGAAAAACATCATACGTGGAAGTATTGATGGTGGTGCTACAATAATCGCAGCAGTGCCTTTTCTTGGGCCCCCACTTGTTCCTTTTTATAATCATGTAATGATGGTATATATAAAATTCTTGGAGAAAAAATGCAGAGATGCGAAGCACGATGGTAAAGACTGGGACTTTGACGCAACCGATATCGTCAATATAATTGATCCCAAAGATGTGGACAGAATATATAATTACTTAAGTACAGCTGTCAAAGACTGGAATAAAACTTCAAAAAGAAGGGTTGCAAAAATTGAAATGATTGTAAATAAATTAGCACCCCTTATAAAAAAATTGATTCAAGATCTGCCTAACATCATTGGACTTGACAACCTTGCTAACATTGCCAAAAAAATGTTAGACATCATTGAGTCTCTTAAGGATGAGTTTGGCGAAACGGGCGAAACGGTTCTAGTAGATACCGTTGAAATAGTACATACGGCAAAAACGAAGGGTTTATTAGCTGGGGCTAAGAAATTGATTGAAAAAGCTAGTAAAATACCGGGAAACATAGTAGAAACAGTAGAAACAGTAATTGGGTAAAGATTACGATACCATAAACTCTGTGTGGTTACACTAAATACATAAGTCCCTCCTCCCTAAAAATAAAAAATTTTATTTTGCGGATTTTTTTGCATTAAACAAATTTAACATAAAAGCTTTAAAATAATGGCACTTGACTGAAAAAAAAAGTCGCCCTCTCTAACAGTCAGTTTTTGGAAATTTTAAATTTGCTCGTACTTCGGACACAATTACGAGTACGATATCAAAGTAAATCCTTATAAGTATACATGTGGTTTTTCAGAAATAGTTTTCCCCTCCAAAATTTTCCTCCATTTAAATGAAAAAATATATAGAAAAATATCGAAACTCAATCGAAGCTATTAAAATTTTAAAAATCCAAATTTTCTTAAAAAATTTAAAAATCCTAGGTCTAACGTAAAAATTGCCAAAAATCGAATGCCAAAAATCGAACGTCGAAAATCAAAATTTCGACTCGAAAAGTGCCATTATATATTAAAGCTTTAATTGTACATATCCTAAATTTGCAAAAGAAAATTATTTTAAAGGAAAGTAAAAAAATCCGCATTTAACCCCAGAAATACATAAATTGTAAATGAATTTTGCATATTCTGAATAAAAAGATGCAATTAAAATATTGTGTATTTTTTCAAATTTTAGGGCATATTACAAATTTAAAAAAAATATTTTATAAGCTAAAACCCTGTATTAACAAGAATTAAACAAAAATTCAGTCACCGGGCCCCCCGGAAACAATAGTGAATTTTAACTTTAAAAGTCTCTTTAAAATCCTCTATTATCCCACACTTCTTTAGATGTTAGACGTAGAAGAATTTTTAATTTACTTTTATTAAAAACACGAAATTTTAACCTTTTAGGGAGGAATCAGACTTTAATCATTGTTTAAGCTCAGGGAAATATTAGATTTGAATAATGAAATTCGATGATAACCTAAGGATCTTTTTAAAACAAACTTGTAATTAATCAATGAGAATGAGTTCAAGAAAAGAATAAATAAAAATACCGTATATGCTCAGATAATCACCCGAATAATTACTAAAATTGACAATGATTTTTTTTTCATTTTAAAATTTGTGTAGAAAAAATAGGGGCTAATTATTAAAGAGGATAGATATTTAAGGGATGGTTTATAATTATTTGAGAAAGGATTAAATGTAAAACCTCTAAACAGAATCATAAAAATTCAGTTTAAAAATCAGTGCGACGAATTCTTCAAAATAAAAAATATACAATATCCCAAATGACAAAATGGTCAAAAGGGCAAAAATAGACAAATAGACACAGTCATCTAAAAGTCTCACAGAAAAGTTGCTCAAAAAATATTCCTTCAGATTTTTCAATTCAGTATGGAAGAAATAACACAATCAATGATGAAGGATCTTTTACAGGAAGACGAATTTAAGGTTTATATTTATTTTTAAATTTTTATTTTATTTTTCTAAAGAAATTATGGGTTGATTTGGCCGTCGAAATTGAAAATAAAATTCAAACAAAACATTTTTCTATCAAAACTGTGCATTCTTCTGTTCCAAATTTACCAACTTCTTGTCAATCTGCATCAAATTTTCGTTTAAATGAGCCACAAATTGACGCAACTTTTGCCAAAATTTACAAGGAAATGGCTGTTGGGCTTGATTTGGTTACCAAAAATTTTGTTCGAGGAGGTTAAAATTTTTTTCTAAAAATTCTCCTCCTTTTAAAGTTCATCTAGCCTATTTTTCTGACGATAAAACCCAACAACAATCAAATTATTTTCGCCATGAAGCCTCTTCCCTTTATTCAATTCAAGTGATTTTAGAACGCTCTATTATTTCTAATAAATTTAATATTGCACAATTTGGTCTAATTTCTCGTAGAATTATTAAAATGCAACAACTTTTTGGTGTTTACACTTCTATGTGAGTTTTTCCTCCCAAAAATAAATTTGGGGAAAATTTTGATTTTTTGGTGTAGTGGGATAGTGCTCAGTTTTGACTTGAAGGGGGTCGAAGGTTCGAATCCCTTGCAGGGAAAACAATTTTTACTTTTGGCAAAAGATTGTTTTTAACTAAAACAGTCATTTTTATAGTTTTTTATTTTACAAATAAGCCCTTACAACGTGGAGAATTGTACTTTTTTGGCAACTACACTTTATACAATTCACAAAAGATTTTTTGATTATGGAAAGTTTTATGAACCAGAAAGTACTAGATGTGAAGAGGCGAAAAAATTAGAAAGTGTTATTGAACGTTTTGGAAAGATTGTATGTCTAAGACTTGAAAAGGTTTTTATTTTTTAAGAGGGTTTAATGGCCAAAAAAAATTTTTTTAAGTTTTCCCCTCCAGTTGGAAACAGTGATAGGCCTGTTGAAAAAGGTTGAGTCGAGTTCCAGATCGGGTTTTCAAATTTTTTTTGAATCATGGTTCGGGTAGAAACGTCTGGGTGGCAAGTTTCGTTTAACCAAGTCCATCCCTGGCTGGAAATACCATTACCCTTGATTTTAATCTCTATAAATTGCCCCTTTTAACTAAAAGAAATCATCACGATTTTATTTTAAACAGATGCTCTTCTCTCTTTTAAATAAGCAAAAAATATTACCCAAATCTCAACCCTTTGTAAATTTTATAAAGAACGAATTCTGTGGTTCAAAATCTTCTTCAGACACTCAAACACTTCTAACTCGTATGTGTAATTTTTGTAAATAAATTTAAAAAAATTTTTAGGCTTTCAAGATTGGAGCCCAACCCATCGAAAAGGGTTTCTTCTCTCTCCAGAGTTGGAATATTCAAAAACGAGGATGGCTTTAGTAAGGAAACAACGGCCGAGTTCTATGGAGGTTAGAGGTCCTCGACGATCCCACCCTCCTATTCATGGAAGGAGATGAATCGTCGTACCTATGTTTGCTCATCCACTTACATATCTTCCTATTATCCAACATTAAACAAGGGCTTATCAAGGGTCGGATTTCAGAGAAGGGCTAAAATGGGGTGCAGGCCCGTCCAAAATTACTAAAATTTTCGCCAGCGGCGCTAAAAATCAAAATTTTGATTTTTATTATGTCCCCAAAATTCCCCCCCCCCTCCCCGAAAAAAAAATCCTGGATACGGGCCTGATGGTGTGCCAAAATCCTGGCGTCCCTCCCAAATACGGCCCTTTATAATCTCAACCATTTTTTTTACTAATTTGGAATTGATAACTTAAATTTTCATTTTTTTCAATTTTATTGTATAAGCACTTTTTACGACGAGGTTAAATAAAAATTATTGAATTTTCCAAAAAATTTTCAATGGCTTTTATATCCCCAAAAAATTCATTTACTTATGTTTATTTTATTTAATATCCATCTCTTTTCATTCCGCATCAATATCCCTTTGTCGTCCTCCCAACATTGCATCTGGAATTGGCGGTGGTAAAGAAACTGGTGTAACATTAACCCTGTCGTTGTCTTCTTAAATTTTTAAAAATTTAGAGGACTTTATTTCCTTTAAATAACCTGGCAAAACAAGCGCTAAAACAATCGGTTCATCAGCCCGAGCATTTTTTGGGGTAAATCCCGCTTCTTGAAGAGTCTGCTTTTCGTCTAGAACCATCCATTCTGTGCGTTGTTCATTTGGAGGTACTCGAAGTGATTGGCTTTTTGGAGGAACCTGAAAATATGTGAATTTTTTAAAAATGTTTTCCCAATGTTTAGTAGGAAAACACAAACTTTTTGGTTGACAAGTAGGGGTTTCCTGGTTTCAAACCCGAACCAAGCCCCCAAGGATCTCCTGGTCGGTTCTGGTTAACCGGAAATTCCGCGACAACCCCATTAACAAGTCACGCATTGAAAAAAAGATTTTCTTAAAATTTCCACAAACCTTCAAAATAACTTCAATCGCCATCTTCAAATCTGCTGCAGTCCAATTCTCCCTAGCTTGTAACATTATATGTTGCTTTCCTCGGCATACCTCAAAGTAGAGTTCTTGAAACTAAAATAATAATCAAAATAATTTTTTAAAAATTCAAAATAACCATTATTTCTATCAAACTGACGTCCTTCTTTGGAAAAACAAAATTTAAAATTTTGATAAAAAATTTAAAAATAAATTTATTGTTGCTTTTTAGACAAAATTATTAAAAAAATAAAATATATAACGACACTCTTCATTTTATTTGACAAAAATTTAAAAAAAACAAAATTTCTAAGAAAAATATCAAGAGGTCGAATTAATAATTCTTTTAATATAATCATAAAAATGGGAGTCGGAATAAAATTTTTTTAAAAGAATTTTCAAAAACTAAATGACTTATTGTTAGGTCTATTTAAGGGAAATTTAACTTAAAAATTATTTTGCCTAAAATTACACAAAATTTTTAGTCCGATCCCTAAACATTAAACTTAAAAGGAGTTTACTTTCCAAAAAGAAATTAATTTATCCACGCATTAATTATCTCCCTTCCCTCAAAAAAAAGAGTCGGAAATAATTTACAGAGTTGGATGTGAAAAAATTTTTTATTAAACGGACACTTGAGATTACGTAAGGTAAAAAAAACAGACTGCGGAGAAGACTTACGGAAGGTAAACGTACACCCTTTCATCTCTTCTCAACCTAGTGGCCAGGCCCGTAACCAGGGGGGGGGTGAGGGGGGGAATTCCCCCCCCCCCCCCCCCCCCCGAAATGGGAAAAAGGAAAAAATTTGGGGAAGGGCTGGGGCAAAAAAGTGAATTTTTTTGGCCTACGGCCTTCGAAATTTTCAAAATTTTCGCCTGCGGCGCTAAAAAAGGACGAAATCTGGCTTCTTGAGGTCCAAAATTCAAAAAATTTTCGCCTGCGGCGCTGAAAATCAAATTTTTGGCGCCTGCGGCGCCGAAAAAGTGAATTTTTTTGGCCTACGGCCTTCTAAAATTAAAAAAATTTTCGCCTGCGGCGCTGAAAATAAAAATTTTTGGCGCCTTCGGCGCCAAAAATTTGGCGCAAGCAAATTTCCCCCCCTCGAAAAAAAATCCTAGTTACGGGCCTGCTAGTGGCCACTCAAATTTTTAAAAAAGGCATCTAAAAACGAAAGGTATCTAAAATCGTGTCTTCATACAATTGATCAGCAAATTGAGTAAGTCTCAAAGCCGAACAATAAAACCTATTTTGGCATCCTGCCGTTTAAGGGGGCCACCATTCTATATATGTAGTACAAGGTGGTTCAAAAAAATTATAGTCTCATAATGGTCAGAGAACGGTGGCCCCCCTTAAACGTCATGAGTTCCCCTATTTTCCTAACAAGAGATATTTTCTAAAAAGACGGACTACGGAGACTTACGGAAAGTAAACTCCCCTTAACTAGAAAAAAAAAAATATTTTCTTATTTACCGAACAAAAAAAAAGAAATTTTGTGGAGTGTTGGGGGTGTCAAAACAATCATATATATTCATTATATGAGCTCTAATCTCCAAAACAATGTTTCCAAATCCTTTCTTCGACAATTCAAAAGACGGTTCCCTCAGCCGGTTGTGAGAGCTTTTGATTCTCCTTTGCAGTCATTAAATGCCTAAAAATTGAATTTTTAATTTATTTTCAAATCAAAATTCAAGAAAAAACCTTCGAATGTCTTCAAGCACAGTCTTTATTGAATAAGAACTGTTCCACTGACGTAATGATGGAACTACACGTTTGTCCAACTAAATTATTTTTAAATTTTTAATAAAAATATATTTCGAGATTGATTGAAAATTGCCTACTAATTAATCTAAAAATGAATTTTTCAAGTTGAATCTTCCCATAAAATCCCTAAGGGAAATTTTGCACCCTGAAGATCCGAATTAAGGACTTTCAGGGAACTTGAAAGTCCTTAGAATTTTTTTGTTCCCTTAAGGTTTGTTTTCCTTTAGTTTGTTCCCTGAAGGTCCTAACCCTATTTATTTAACAACATTTATAAAGAATTCCAAAAAAAATTCATACAAGAAATTTCCCATCAAATTACACAAGGAAAAACGTTGAAAGTTTCTTTCGAAATGCTAATTTAAAAATTTTTTTTCAAATTTTCTCAAGCGGTAGGCAAAACTTCCTAATAAAATTTAGAGGTAATAATCAATAAAGTCTGGGTATGGGCCTGACCTAATTTTCAAATTAACTGACTAAAGCGGAATACAAGGCCTTTATTCTAAGAGATATTCAGGTAAACCCTAAGCTTAAAAAATGCCGTCTCAAAAAAACAAAAATAAATACCAATCCATTCTGCTGACTAACACCATTCAAATTTATTTTTGTAGTAAATCGAACAATCGGCGGCTCCTTTGGATAATTTGGACCACATTCAACCCGCAAATTATAAATTCTGCCTTCATAAGGTGTCTAAAAACAATTTTAGAAAAATCCAAAAATAAATTAAAAAACCCTGCTCGGCCCAATTATCATTCCAGTCCATCGAGACAACGCCATATCATCATCGTCTTCAAGTCCCCAAGATATATTGCCGTCACCTTTGCCTTTTTGTCCGTCTTCTAATTCCTCTAAAAGTCGAAAATTGCGAGGAACTTCAACTGAAAATAATTTGATTGAATTTTAAAATTTTTGGAAAAAATTAACCTCCAGCCATAACAAGTCTTTTCTTTACAACAAATTATTTTTTCAAAAAATCTGAAAAAACCGAAAAGAATTTAGGAAAATAAAAATTAAAAAAATAAAAGAAAGCTACTTAAATCACGCTACTAAAAACAACAAATTTAGTCAAAAAAAACTTGTAAAAGTACAAAAGTTTCATGTAAAAAAGCAGCTGACAAAAAATTTATTTGGATAAAATGTCATCCAAAACAAAATGACAATTACAATTATGAACGGGCATAAATTACAGAACACAAACTCTACCAAACAAATCGAAGTGTGGTATAAGGAAACATTAGTAACTCCATCGATGAAATGTTTTTTTACCTAAAACATAAAGATTTTTAAGTGGAAATTTATTCAATAAATTCCATAGATCAAAATTTCCTGTTTTAAAACCGGTCGTGTCCAACCCTATAAAAACCATTTAAAAATTTTAATTTGAAACAGAGCTGCTGAATATATGAGTAATTTTCGGGACTTATTTACTTTAACTACCCACACAAAAATTTTACCGGGAGATTTATCAGTTATATTTGGACATTGCATATGTCAATCGAAGGAGCACGACGATCTGAGTCGAATGGTACAGAGTCAGCTTGATTTGGCGATTTTGAACAAAATTACAAGCAACGCTGACGTCCAACGCCGACGCCCATGGGTTTGCTTTAACCATTTGAGCCTCTTTGTCTCGGCGCAAACTTGAGAGTGAGGGCTAATTTTGATATCCTTCGAGTCGGCTCGTCGAGAAGTTTTGGTTGACATATAAATCGTCCATATCAAAAATCTTTTGATAAAATTTTTGAGGGTGGGTAGTTAAAGTAAATATAAGTTCCTAATTTTCATTATTTTCTCTTCTTTTGATCAGTCCAAAAGTAAAAATATATTTTTAGATAATGGATCCAACTGCCATATTTTGGTTTATTTATTCGTTTTATTCTGCTACCTTTATTTGGAATTTTTATTTAACTTTGCGACAATATAATGTTTATCGTAAAACTGAAACTAGGCCAGAGGAAGTTTATGAAATTATTTCTGAGGAGGATTTTGGTTATCATCGAAATTATTATTTGGATAAATTGACCTTTGATTCTTACAAACTTGTGGCCCAAAAAACTTTATCTACAGTTAGTTTTCATAAAAACTTTTGAAAATATTTTTTAGATAATTCTTTTTTGTAATCTGATTCCTTGGCTTTGGTCAATTTGTGGCAGATATGGACTTTTTATAAAACCAGAGAGTGGGGAGGTTTTTTTTCAAATTTTCGTGAATTTTTAAATTTTTAATTTTTTTAGAGTTTTCAATCCGTTCTTTTCATTCTTTTTTATGCCTTTATTGAAGGACTGATAGAATTGCCTTTTTCATATTATGAAACATTTTATATTGACTTGAAGCATGGAACTAAAAATGAGGTTTGTTGAAGTTTTTAAGAGGCTTAGGGCGAGGGTTTGTCTAGAAGAGAAAATCATCGCCACGGTCATCGCCGCGAGACTCGCATTAGTTGACATTTACTAGTGTAAGACAGCAATTTAATTCCTAAAGCTATACCGGAGACAGCGAGTGTAATGGATGATATCAGTCCGGTCAATTTAAGCTGCTGGTTCGCTCCCAGACGCCGAATAATTTTTTGCATTAGCTGAAGGAGGGGAATAGCTATAACCCATTTCAGATTTACTCCAATATCAGGAGGTAACAGGTTCGATTCCTGACAGGGACCAAACGTTTGTCTGCCTCTTACCAGTTTTATTCCAAAAATCAAATTGAAAAATAGTCCAACAATATAATCCAAAATATTTTTTAGACTGTGTCTTTCTTCTTCATTGACCGAGCCAAAAAATTTTGTTTAATTCTTTTAATTTCATCACCTCTTGTGGCTGCTAATGCTTGGATTGTACAAGAGGGTGGACAATATTCTTATATTTATGTTTGGGCTTTTGTTTCTGTTTACTTGATGGTAAAGAATTTTATAAAAAAAAATTTTTAGCCAAAATTCAATTTTTAGTTGATGGCTTTTATTTATCCAGATGTTATTGCTCCACTCTTTGATAAATACACTCCTCTTCAAGAAAGTGAATTGAAAACAAAAATTGAGGCTCTAGCTAACAAAATTGGATTTCCGCTTAAAAATATTTATGTTGTAGAAGGTTTCTTAATTTTATTAATTGTTAACATTTTTATTTAAAAGAATCTAAACGTTCAACACACAGCAATGCTTACATTTTTGGATTTTGGAAGAATAAAAAAATTGTTCTTTATGATACACTTCTTGGCGAGGAAATGAACAAATCAATACAGGTTTAATACTAATAGGAAAGAGTGAAAGTTTAGCCCGGGTAGGCATCAATCCTGCATTTCATGACATTATTGTTAGGCATTTTGCTGACCACGTACAAATGCTCTACCGACTAATGTGAGTGAGCTACCCGGGGCACTGCTTTCCTGTCTTCATCTTCTCTTTTAATAAATGGTAAAACCCGCGCCTAGTAAGCGCTTTAAATGCTAACCACTTGGGTCTCCCTTTTGCCTTACAAAATTTTTGTGGTCTGTCTCAATTGTCAGTCAGATATTTACAAAAATCTCCTTAATGTTTAATTCGTTCAGGCTGACCAAAAAACCGAATCAGAAACTACAACTAAAACAAGTTCAGAGACATTTGAGGAGGAAACGAATTCAAAAACAACCAACAAAACCTTGGAGGGAGAAAGTCTAAATATGCAACATGATGAAATTGTAGCCATTCTCGGGCATGAATTGGGTCATTGGTGTGAGTACCATTCAATGTGGATGTTTATTTTTGCTGAGGTATGAGTTGAATAATTGGTTAAATCCGTCCATTTTTCAGTTGAATATGCTTCTTGTATTTTTTGTTTTTGGTTCTTTACATCAACAATCCAATTTATATTTGGCATTTGGTTTCCTTTCATCGGCACAACAACCTTCTCTAATTGGAATTCTTCTAGTCAGTCAATATGTTTTTGCACCTTACAATGAATTAATGTATTCGGCTGCGTGTTTTATGAAGCGTCGCTGTGGTAAAATTTTTTTTAAATTAAAATTGGATTTTCATTGAAATCTTTTTTAATTTAGAATTTGCTGCTGATGCTTTTGCAGCTCGATTGGGATTCGTCTCGCAGCTGAGCACTGGGCTTGTTAAACTGGTTTGGTTTATTAGATTATTTCGAAATAATCTTTTAATTATAGGAAGAGAACAATTTGTCGAGTCCTATCAACGATTGGCTCTACTCTGCTTGCAAATATTCGCATCCTCAGGTTATTGAAAGATTAGAAGTACTTAGGAAATTTATGTGATATAATTTTTTTTTAAATTTATAGCAAACTAATTTATACAAATTAAAAACGGGTAAAAATTCAAAAATTATTCAATTTACAAAAAATGTCGTTCGAATTCTGAATAATTTAAAAATTTTAACAAATTCAATGGTTAAGGTGGATTTGGAAGGATTAAGGGAGATAGAAAGGAAATACAAAGGATTAAAAGGATTTGGGGACATCAAAGATTAAGAGGGAGAAACTCTTGAAAAATCTTGGTTACGGGCTTAGTAAAAATATCGTTTTAATTCTTTAAATTATTCTTTTCATAAACCTTCTTTTAAAGTGTTTCTTGATCCTCCTCCAGTTTTAATTGTCTTCTGATTAGACGAATTTTTGATTTTATTGTATCCCAAGAAAAATAGCATCCAAGTAGATGACGCTCCCTTTCAGGTATTCCAATTAAATTATAAGCACTACGAGCATGAAGAATTCTTGTGTTGGCCCAAAGAACTGTGTCACCTAATTTTTTTTAAATTTTAAATTTTGGAAAGGAAAAAAATTTCGAGAGAAAGCTAGCGAAAATTGCTCTCCTATTGTGCCATAAGGCGAAATTAAAAATCCTTTTCCAAAAAATAAAGGTCAAGTATTTAATTTTCTTACCAGAATTAAGCGAGAAAATAAGTTGATTTTCAGGTAAATAGCACAATTCAGTGAACAACTTAAGTGAAGAATAAATATTTTGAACAAGTAAAGGGTCATTTGCAGCCATGTCCAAAAACCAGCTGAAAAAAGAAAATTTATATTTTTTTAAAAAATAATTAACCTTCTCATAACATTTCCGAATTGTACTTGTATAAGTCCAGATTCATCGGTTCTGTGATAAAAAAATAATAAAATTTTAATTAGTAATTCTTTTGATTTTTTCAATGTAAAAATGCCCCTGCTTTACTCTGTACTCTCTCATTCTAATAAGGATCCGAAAAAATTTTTCGGGTTAGTTAGACAATCCGAAGAGTGGTTAAACAAAGAACGAGAGTGTACAGCACTGGATGAGTGCATAAGAGGAAAATTTTGGAGCGAAAAATTTGGAATTTCTAAAAATATACTTGAACGTTTTATGCCTGGCTACCATAGAAAAATCAACCCTTTCCTCCTTGTCTTGAAAGCCTTTAACATTGTGAACATCATAACCTTCTTCGATAAATTCCAAAGGATAATCACTGAGAATTTGGTATTCTTTAGGGTATTTTAATGACATCTAAACAAATTATTTTTTAGAGACTAAATTTATTAAAAATAGACCTCTCTAGCAATAGAAAATCCATCAACAAACATACTTTTCCCTCCACCACATTCGGACTGTTTACACATATGAAGCAATTGAAGTTGTGGTGGATCTTGTAGAGATGGAAAGTCTGTGTGGTAGGGAAGTTCTCCAGTATTTGCATACGCCATGTTACTTGCATCCGGTTTAGGGCAGACTTCAAAAGTTTCACTTCAAAAAGCAATATTTAAAAAAAAGTAAAATTTCTAAGTTATCCCACAAAAATCCAAAGACGAACATGATAAAAATCCCGGCAATAATTAAGGATGGAGGGGATGACTAAGAGCTCTTACGCACTTTGAAGACGAGCGTGTTAACACCCCACCATCTAAACACGCTAAAGCAGGTGAGATATTTAAGAGCTACAAGACAAGAAAAAACATACCCAAAATGTGTAGGTTGTACCATTCCAATACGTCGAATTATACTTAAAAAAACTTCATTTCTTAGGTTTGGACCATATTCCTGCCCTCTGAGTACTGCAATGCCATCCACACAAACTGATTGTAGAAAATCATGTAATACCTGTGAAAGAAAAATAAGCCTTATTGTTAGATAATTTCTCGTTATTATATAACTTTCCAAATTATAAAGGCTCCATAAAGGACGAAAATTTTTTAAATCCGAAAAGTATAAACCAAAAAAACACATGAGAGTCCAAATCCAAGGTTTAATCATAAGGAAGGTGATATTTTGGGCTAACTAAAAGTCCCGAAAAACCACAAAAACGCGTTTCTATTAAAAGATTAAAAAATAAGCAAAATCCACCCCAATTAAAAACCTTGCTACAAACCACCCATTTATTTTTCTCTTACTTTGTCATCTTCCAAAAACGATTGATGAAAAAACTGGAAACGATTTTTGCTCGTTGGTCCCCCATCCTCCCAGAGACGAATGCATTCACGACCAAGATAAATTTGTCTTCTCTTCTCTATAACTTCTTTGCTGCCAGGGCAATGAGTTCTCAGCCATCTCTGTGTGTAACTGGAAAAATAGAGGATTTAGTATTTTATTAGAAAATTTTGAGGAAGGTAGGACATGTTTTTGGGTGATCACAAAATTTTTTTGGTAAATTTTTCTTCAAGTAATCTGACCAAAATTTGCGAATTTAAACAATAAAAATCGATAAAATATAAAAAATATTTACCAACTAACAACATTCCCCGGCCATTCAACAATTAAACCATTAGAATTCAATCGAAAACTGAGAGGCTCAACGTTTACATCAAAATCTCGCATAGTATGTAGTCTTCCCTAATTTAAAAATAATTTGTATACCAACCCTATTCACCGACACCATCCTTTTGCCGTTTATCCTGCTCCCCGACCTCTTATCGATTTTAACTGTGAACAGTTAACAGGACAAAAAGGCGAAAAGCGCGTCGGCAATCAGAGTTTCAGTTTAAATTTTAAAATCTATACCTTCATAGCATCAGAAATTACATAAGTTTTATCATCTAGAGAACAGTCTCTGAGCCAAACGTAAGGAAATAGTCTTTGTGATCCTTAAATAAATTTATTCAAATTTACTATAAAAGAAATACCATCTTTAAAAACCGCCTTAATAGCTCGTTGTTCTGGCACATCAGTAACTGATTTAAGTAAGTATTTTAAGTATGGAAAGCGCATAGCGCCTAGAAAAGTTAAAACAATTAAAAACGAAAATGTTAATTTTAATTTCAAAGTGTAACGCTAAAAAGCTAATTTTTATTTTTAAATTTGTTAAATTATGGATTTTTGGCATTCTGTTTATAATTATACTATAAAAGCCAAATTTACTTTTTTCATTAGTTTTCTTTCACTATATTTTCTCTGGGAAATGTTTGTTGAAAATTATTTTATTTCGTAATTTTTTGTTGGGGTTTTTAATAACTTATCGCAAGCGCTATATTATTGATAATACTTTTAGTTCGTGGAAATCAATTTAATGTTAGAAATCGCTAAAATTACTCAAAAACTCATTTTCAGATATTTTAAGTTTTATCGCTAAACCTCGCTCTAAAAATGGGAAAAGAGAAAATCCATATCAACATTGTTGTTATTGGTCACGTCGACTCTGGTAAATCCACCACGACCGGCCATTTAATCTACAAATGTGGTGGAATTGATAAGAGGACGATTGAAAAGTTCGAGAAGGAAGCTCAGGAAATGGGAAAGGGATCGTTCAAATATGCTTGGGTATGAGAACTTTTAAGTACCTTTAACTCTTAAATTCAGGTGTTGGACAAGTTGAAGGCCGAGCGTGAACGTGGTATTACCATCGACATTGCTCTCTGGAAGTTCGAGACCGCTAAATACTATGTCACAATTATTGATGCTCCTGGACATCGTGACTTCATCAAGAACATGATTACTGGTTTCTTTTGAGATTTATGATTGATTTAAATGTTCAATTTAGGTACATCCCAAGCTGATTGTGCTGTTTTGGTTGTCGCTTGTGGCACTGGAGAGTTCGAGGCTGGAATTTCTAAGAATGGTCAAACTCGAGAGCATGCTCTTCTCGCTCAGACTTTGGGAGTGAAGCAACTTATCGTTGCCTGTAATAAGGTTTCTTACCTCCTTTGTTTTCTTTATAAAATCAATATTTAGATGGACACGACAGAGCCACCATTTTCGGAAGCTCGTTTTGAGGAAGTCAAGAACGAAGTCTCCAGCTTTATTAAGAAGATTGGTTACAACCCAGCAACCGTTGCGTTCGTCCCTATTTCTGGCTTTAATGGCGACAACATGTTGGAGCCGTCTGATAAGATGCCTTGGTTCAAAGGATGGGCTATTGAAAGGAAGGATGGAAACGCTAGCGGGAAGACTTTGTTGGAAGCTCTTGACGCCATTCTGCCTCCAAGTAGGCCTACTGACAAGCCACTCCGACTTCCACTTCAAGATGTTTACAAGATTGGAGGTTTGATTTGATCTTGCCTGTGAAGATTGTAATGAAATATTTTAGGTATTGGAACTGTGCCTGTTGGACGAGTCGAGACTGGCATTATCAAGCCTGGAATGGTTGTTACCTTTGCACCTCAAGGAATCTCTACTGAAGTCAAGTCTGTCGAAATGCACCACGAGTCCCTCCCTGAGGCCGTTCCAGGAGACAATGTTGGGTTTAACGTTAAGAACATCTCTGTCAAGGACATCCGTCGTGGTTCAGTCACTTCTGACTCTAAGAGCGACCCGGCAAAGGAGACCAAGCAATTCACTGCTCAGGGTTAACTTGTTTAGCAATTTTTTTTGATTTAAACTCTCTTCTTTCAGTTATCATCATGAACCATCCTGGACAGATTGCTGCTGGTTATACACCTGTTCTTGACTGTCACACTGCCCACATTGCTTGCAAGTTCGCTGAGCTTAAAGAGAAGGTCGATCGTCGAACTGGAAAGAAGGTTGAAGACAATCCAAAGGCTTTGAAGACTGGAGATGCTGGTTTGCTTTCAACTTTGCTTCTTTTTGTAAAAATCAATTTTAGGTATTGTCGACTTAATTCCAACCAAGCCAATGTGTGTCGAGGCTTTTACCGACTACGCTCCTCTTGGACGTTTTGCTGTTCGTGACATGCGTCAAACTGTGGCTGTTGGTGTTATTAAGGCTGTTGAGAAGGTTGAAGCTGGTGGAAAGGTTACAAAATCTGCACAGAAGGCTGGAGCCGCTGCTGGTAAGAAGAAGTAAAGAAAATTTTGTGGAATAAATGATATTATTAAATATTGAAAAATCAGTTTTTTCCACTTGTTATATTCCTGTTGTTTCGATATATAAAATTGTTTGGATATAAAAATTGTTCATTTTTTTCTTTGAATTTGTTTAGTAACAATTTTTTATTTTTATGATGTTTTAAGTTTGCTTTTCGAGCTATAAGTCTTGTAAGTTCACTAACAATAAGAATTAAGTAGGGCCTAGATTTCTCTTATGACAGCGCAAATGGTGTCTTCATTACGTCATGTTTCTCTCTTTTTTGTCCGGCTCCAAGTCAGACGCGTGTTCCCATCCCATTTGTTCCTTTTCACGGTACGTAGTCCTCCTCTCCTTCTTCTAAATGGCTTTGTGCCTGCTCTGGATCCTTACAATTAGTAGATTGTGAGGACCAATCTCTTTACCTTACATGATCTAATATATTCTGTCCTCATTTTTTCTGTTTATTTTTAATGTTTGGACAGCGTTGTAAAGTATTTAATTCTATTTTAAATAATTTATTGACTCGTCAAAGAGTAAACCTCTTCTCATTTTCAAAAATGTCAGACGAAGCAGCAAAAGCGCAAACAGCAGCGCCGCCAAGTGAACCGACTGACACAATTTTTGGGAAAATAATTAGGAAGGAAATTCCGGCAAATATAATTTATGAAGATAATGAGGTTTATTTTTTGAAAGAATTTAAAAAATATTGGTGATTTTAAGGTACTCGCTTTCAAGGATGTAGCTCCTCAGGCGCCTACACATTTCTTGGTCATTCCGAAGGAGCCAATACCGTCAATGGACAACTGTGAAGCAAAAGTGGGTTTTGTTTTTAGCATATAGTGTAGGTTGGTGGAAACGAATTGGTCAGGGTTTCTCTATCAGGAATTGGCCTGAAAGGAAAAGTTTAAGAATTTTGGCATCAAGAGTGGATACTTACTATGTAGATTTTTTGTTAGAGGTCCTGAATTTTTCCCATTTCGAAACTGAACGAACGAATATAAAATTTTTTGGTGTAATGTCTTCCTTTTAACCTCCTCTTTTAAAGCCGATTTTCCCCATGAGTTCCCTATGTCGGGAAAATAAAAAAAATAAAATTCACTTCTCCCATCCTCTAATTTTAAATCCTAAAATTTTTTCATTATTTACAGCATGAAGCATTGCTTGGCAAGCTCATGTTGACAGCCAAAAATGTTGCTAAAGAACAAGGTCTTGCTGATGGTTATCGAATTGTTGTTAATAATGGACGTAATGGATGTCAAGTAAATTTTTTAATTTTGTTTTGATGATATTTCCCTACAATTTTGTAGAGCGTGTTCCACCTTCATCTTCACGTTTTGGGTGGACGCCAATTGGGATGGCCACCGGGCTGATTTTGACAAAAATTTGATGATAGGGATATTTAAGTTATTCTCGAAGAATTTTCTATTTTAAAAATAATTTAAAAATGAATTCCTTCTAGGGGAGTTTTTGATGGTTTTCTCTTAAATCTAGCAAAAATAAATGCAAATTTAATTTCAAAAATTTAATGGCAGTCAAATGAGGAAAGGACACTAAAATACTTATGTTAGAGATTTCAAAAATAATTCAAGATGTCAAAAAATATTGTTTAAATTAATCTCTCAACGAAGGAAAAGGTTGACGATGACTGTCTGCGACACTACGTCGACTTGTACTCATTCCAGTTTGACTTCGTCTAGGAGGTATATATTCATGGTCTACATCAAATTCGAATTCGTCAATAATTTCTTCATCGAGTTCTTGTCCGCAGTTTTGTCCGGAACATTTGGCTGGGAACTCCATTTCTCTGAAAATTTGGTTTTTAAGTCTCCACAAGTTTTTTTCCGCAAAAAAGAGATTTTATAGTTTTAATGCTTCCCAGTGTTTTTTGAGTCTATGAAATCTCCTGCCTGTATTCCCCTTGATAATTATGCGAAAGAGCCGAAAAATTAATCGAAAAAATAAGTCGGCCACTCATTCCATCTTCCCTAAACCCCAATAAAATTTTCTAGAAAAAATACCTCAGCATACAATTAGCATGATAACAAGACCCACAACCTTCACAAGTATAAGACAATCTACTGACAACAATAGGCCGTTTGCATAGAACACATTTTGGGACGTTAAGCTGGAAAAGTAGTGGTTCCATCTCTACCATTGCACATGGATGGAGTCGAATAATTGATTGATCATCTCCAACTTTGTTAGATCTTCGCTTATTTCGACTAGAAATTAATCAGAGAATTATTTTAAACTTTTTAAGCGAGGAAAAATTTTGTCCGCAAATGTCGTCCGCAAAAATTATGCGGATCCGCAAGCCTAACAAAAATAAATATACCTTAGATTATGTACATCTCCTTTCATTACTCTAATCCATCGTTGTTGTTTCCACAATTTATCTATCAGTTTTTGAGTTCTAACAGCAGTCCACCCTTTCTTTTTTGCAAATAGAAAAACTTTGTTTTGGCTCAATTCCCCGCCTGTTCCTTTCCTGGGTTCTTCACGTTGAGAAACATCTTCAACAGCAGAGTCTTCCTCATCTTCTTCTTCATTTTTGTATTCAAGAAACATTAATTTTAACCAAAAATGGAACATTGAAAGTTCATCTTTTTGAAGGGAACTGGCTTGTAAAAGACTTGGAGCAAAGTTTAAATCAGAGGCCAAAACCCAATATTCCATATTTCGAGAATATTCGTCAGCAATGTGGACAATATACATTCCTACGCGATGAAGCATTGGATCTATGGCCTTTCGAAGGGCTTTCATTGCCTGTCTGTTTTGGTCGGGGTCCAATTTGTCCAAATCTGTAAAAGGAAAATTATTCTCTTGTAAGTGCAGAAAGTCCGCAAGTTTTGTCTGCAAACATTGAAATTTTCAGATTTTCTGGATATAAGTTAGTCGAGGGCCTCCACCGAAATGTGATAAATGATATGTCAATCGATTCGTCTCAGCGAGCTGAGTCGAACTATGCCACTCTCTAGGTGCGGAAATGCCCGTGGACCGAGATATAGGTGCTACATCTCGGTGCTACAGCCGATTTCCATGTTAGCGCGTATAAAACCTGAGACTTTTACAAAAAAAATTAAAAATACTTCTTGTTTTTTCTTCGGTAGCGTCATCATTATTGCAAAATTCCAAAAAAGTTTCGCCGATTCGGGGTACCTGAGAGAAAAATAAGATAAAATAATAACAATTTCTACCTCAATACATCTACGTTGCATCATAAATTGCAAAAAATGTTTGTGTAAATTGTCATCATTTTTACAAATTTTTATAAAATCTTCAAAAGCTTGTAGTTTTTGTTGTGACATGGCTGATAATAAAATTGAAATTTGAAATTAACGCTTTAAGAGAAATAAAAAAATTAAAAGTTGTCAATAGTGCAAAATGGTATATTTTCTTCTAGTTGACGTTTTGACATTTGGTGTTTCGTAGTTTACAAAAAAATTTTTTTACCATTTCTTTAAATTTTGCGCAATTTTGAATTGATTTTTTGCTAAGATTTTTCTGTTAGCTTGATCAAAATTATTTTTAAATACATATCTTCTAATTTCGATCTTAGGTTTTGTTTCTCCCCATTGTGATTTCCTTTCATGTTTAAAAAACAAAAAAATTTGGTATAGCAAAATTTATTAAAAGTGTTGACCTCTTGGGGGGAGGAGGGGGGGGGGGTTATCTTCTCTTGAGGTATTTATCCATAATTAATTCATTTTACTTATTAAGTGACGTAAAATTTTTTTAAAATAATATTTGTATAATTTTAAAGAGTACTTTTAAAGAAGTAAAAATTAAAAAAAATTTTAATTTTGCTTAATATACAAAAATTAAATTATTATTTTATTTAAATATAAAGAGTTGTAGGGACGACCAATTCAATCTTCTTTTATTTATATTTGCTACCTAATTTTTGGGCTGGGGGGTTCACGCGTGGCCCCCTTAAATTTTTGTTTTGTCCATTGTATCTCGTTATAACGACATTCTTTGAGTCGGAAGTGAATGAATGTAAGATAGGAGGTGATTTGGAAGCATAAAGCTTTCCCTGTAATTCAATTAGTAATGAGACTGTTTTTTTGTTTATCGTTATTTCGGTAGCCAACGAAAAGATTTTGAAGTTCCTCGGCATTTTTCGGCATTATGGCACTGTATACGGTACGGAAAAACATATACCGTTAATACCGACCGGTGAAAATTCCAATGTTCTATTTTATTTTAAGAAAAAGGAGTGCTGAAAAATAAAGATTTCTGGCTCCTTGGCCTTCCAAAATTCTCACATTTCGCCTTGACCTAAGAAGTTAAAGAACACAGCAACATAACCCCCATTACCACATCAACTTGCCTCGTTCCAGAAATAACATTCCCCGTTGTCAATGGATTTTAAGATTTATTTTTAAATTTAATTTAGTTAAAAAAATTCATTTCCCTTTTACTTAGGAATTTTAATAAATTCCAAACTTTAAAAATTAAAAGAAAAATTTTTTTAAATTAGGAAATTTAAAGTTATTTTTGTACAAAAATTTAAACAAAGGCTTTTTTTTAACTCTTATTTGAAATATTTAATTTCGTCCAGTAACGTTTTCCACTTGTTTAAATAAGAATTAAAGTGATTTCTTTCTGAATACTTTATAAAGAAAAAAATTATAAAAAATTATTTTTAGAAAAATTTTTAATTTTACTCAATATACAAAAATTAATTTATTATTTTATTTATATAAATAGAATTACAATGAGGACATTAATTTAGATAAGTAATTTTCTTATTAATTTTTGGGCTGGGGGGTTAACGCGTGACTCCCTTAAGTTGTCGGTACGGTAGGATTTCCGTTTACCGTACCCCTTCGGGGTCGTATTGAACGAAGGTGGGAAAGAGAAATTGAAGTGAGTGGAAAGCTTCCATTATAATTTAAAATTAGGATTAGATGTTGGTTATTGAGTTGGTGAGGAGAGATTTTATCTTTCAAGCATCTCCAGAGCTTTTTCGAAACAAAAAAATCAACAAAAGTTAAAGAAAAATAACTTCGAAAATCGTCAATCAAAATTTCGAAACAGCTCTAATCTCTCCAGTGGTTAACTTAAAATTTAAAATAATTTTCGAGGTATAATAAATTTTCTGATATACTTTAGCCGGTGGCCGGGTCGGAAGCCCTTTGATTTATATGTCATTTGATTTGATATCTCGGCCCACAACTGTCTACACGAACTTAAAAAGAGTATTTTTACAGAAAAAATAAAGAATAAAAATAAATTTGCAAAATTTTTTTTTGAAAAAATTTCCATTTTACATAATATACAAAATTTAATTAATTATTTTATTTATGAAAATAAATTTACAACCAAAAAGATTCTTCAATCATTTATATAGCCTCCGTAGAATTTTTGGGTTGGGGGGTTTACGCGTAACCTCCTTCAATTTTTGTTGGTACGTTGGCATCTTGCTATAACGTTATCGTTCGGGACCGAACTGAACGAATGTAGCAGTACTCCGTACTGGCTGTCTTCCAATACTCCTTTAAAACACTTTGGTCTCCAAATCCCGCCCCCCTCAATTCCCCCATATTTCTGAAATTTTCTCTTAATCCCTTCAAATTTTCCAATATCCTCCTATATCTCTCCAAAATAAGCGTAAATCCAAAAAGTATTTTGCTCACACCAAAAACTCGTTTTTCCATTAATCAGCGCAATAAAGTTTATTATTTAATCAGTCATGCAAGAGCGTCCATGGTGTAGTGGTTAGCATTGCTGCCTTCCAAGCAGTAGGCACGGGTTCGATTCCCGTTGGACGCAGAAGCTTTTTAATTTAATTTTTATTTAATTTGTAAAATTTTTTTGATAATTTTTGTCTTAAAAACCAATTTTTAAATTTAATTTTTTAAAGAAAATACAAGGAATTTTTATAAAACGGCATTTTTGAAATATGTATATGTACTCGACAAATATTAAAAATAATTTTCAAGTCATTTTAGTTGTGAATAGAGCCTATTTACGGCTGGTAGCTATGTAACCGACTCCTAAACCTCACTTTAGAAAATAAGAGAGAAAGGTCAAGAATGAAACAAGTGCCACATAAATAAAGTGGAATCACCACCCCTTCACAACCACCCGCCTCGTATCCACCACATCCCCTCCCCCCTTCACCCCGCCTCGTATCCATGTACTTCGTCTTTTGGCCAGCTGTCTCTCTTTCCTTAAAAGGAAAAGCATGGCGAGAAAACAAACAATCGATGGAACATTTATGCCCAAATAAGCTTTACATATAAGCACCTTTTCTTGCTTTTGCCCTTTAAAAGCATTCATTGCTTTCAGATTTGGCAATAAACCTTCTCTTAGCACTCCTTATTTTAAAAGAAAAATTTAACGTTCTTCTTTTTTCGAGTACTTCTTCGAGAGCCGTTGAACACCTAAAAAACAAATAGATGGAGATTCTTTCAAATTTTAAATTTCCTTTGAAGTTCCTGCTCATGTCCTCTTTGTTTACAAATTCCTTTAGAGCTGTCCAAGACCTGAAATTTTCCAAGACTCTAGACCAAGATTTGACTTTGTCCCTATTTGGCAGCAAAGGTGGGTCGGAACAGTCAGAGGTGTCGGAACTGAAAAACCCCCAAAAAGTCTTGAGTCGGGTCTCAATACCAAGAATCTTGGATAGCTCCTCCTTATATGGTCAATTGGTGAAGGTTCACTCTATAAAATCCCACGGCTCTTTCTCGTACAATTTCAAAGAAGGTGGCTGTTAAAGACGTCGTTCCTATTTGTTAGCAGAAGTGGGTCAGAACAGTCAGAGGTGTCGGAAATCGGAAGAGCCGGAAATCGGAACTAGCTCAAAAGTCGGAACTCGGAATTCTGACCCACCTCTGTTTGTTAGTACTCGAAGTTATCCAAAACAAAAATTTTTCCCTTCCCAACAACAATAAACTAACTAAATTATTTATCTACCTAATTAGCTCAATAAATTATTAAATAAATGCATAATTCATAAAAACAATTTGTCACTTTCTATCAATTTCATGCCGCGGCGACCTTTTTAATAAAACCCAAAAGCTCTTTATAATTTTCCGATTTTTCTTCCTTGACATTCTCAAGAATCTTCCTTCTAATTTGTTTTCTAATTAATTTTTTTTTTGTTTTTCTTTATTTCTCATTTCCCCGATAACTGGCCAACCGTAAAAAGTTTTGTGGCGCATCAATTCCCTCCCTTAAAACAAACACCCCCTCCCTTCTACAGTTAATTTATTCTCTTAAATCAATTCAAATTAAAGCTGATTTAGTAGGAGAATATAGGAAACCCTTCTATTTATTCTAATTTTTCTGTTGGACGTTATTCTGTTTTAATCGCTATTTTACGATTTCCATCCCTTAATTAACTAAAACTCCCTACTATTAATTAAAAATCTTAAAGGAATTTAAATACCGACAAAAGGGGGGTGTCTAGTAATTAATTATGTGTACATATAAATATTTACTAAAGATTCTCAATTTTGTTTTTAATTTCAAAAATGTTGGTTTTCGACTTTTTATATTGCAAAAAATTATTTTTGAGTATTTACGTTACGTTTGAATCTCTCCAACACGTTGCCCCTCGGACAGATTTTACCGACGTATAAAAGAAAGCGACGTGTTAGAAAGAGATTAGAAACCGGACCGATACGAAGATATCGAACAAAAGTCTAGGTTATCGAAAATCAGTCTGATTCTCATTCAGAATTTCCCAGCCGGATCTCTTCTTAATTATAACAGCAGCACAAATCCAACGAGAAATCCATTGAAAATACTTGTTTTTCTCTTTCGATATCAGTGTGTTAATTTTAACACTTCTTTTTCCTTTTTTATCAATATCTGTACTTTTATCACAAAATTATCAATTATTTAACAGTAGCAAAAACAACCCCATTAAATTAATTGACAAAAAAATGCAAAGCAGCGCTAAAATGATAATCTCATTACTTTAAACCCCCCTCTTCCCTCTCCCTTCCCCCTCTCTTTTTAAGAGAGTATTTGAATATTTAAGTGCTTAAATTGCAAAAAGTGATGGTATAACAATACAAAAAAAAATTTTTTTTTCTCGTAAAAATACCAAAACAACTCCCCTTCCCTCCCCTCAATTCCATTCATTTTTTTCAATTATTACAAATGTAAATAATCCTCTTTTAAAAAATAATACTAAAGTATTTCCGTCCCTTTTTCTTATTTATTTTTTCTTTTAAAAAATTATTTTGAAAAATTATTTTTTGATTTTTTTTGTTGTAAAATTATAAGGAAAATAATTTTAAAAAATTAATCAGTCATCAAAAGAATGGCCAAAAAACATTAATTTAAAAAGCGAAAAATAAAATAATTTTTCAAAATTTCAAAGACGCGTAGAGCCAAAAGATAGGGACTTATTTGTATTTTTGGAGAAATTTTTAAAAAATTTTTTGGACCCCCTAGAAAAAATTTTTTTAGGTTTAAGCATCTTGGACACTTGTAGAATGAGTCTGGTTGAGAATAAATTCGGGGTGGATTTGAAAAAATTTTTTTCTTTGGATGGGGTTTCTGATATACTGGTAATCCGATCCCATCCCTGCTTGTAATGCATGAGTTAAAACGTTTCGGGAAAATTCAAATTTTTTTTTGGAATTTTATTTGGAATTTTTATTTGTTTTTACGCTCTTGTATATTCCTCCATATATTTTTTTAATTTAAAAAAAATTTTTTTTTGAATTAAAAAATTTTTTTTTGAATCCTCACATGATTGAATTTTAAATTGATTAATAAATTGATTTAAATTAAATCGAGGGAAAAAATAAATTTATTTATTTTTTTGTAAAAAGAAAAACAAATTAAAAAAAAAATTTTTTTTTAATTTATTTACAAACAAAAATGACGACAAACATGGGGAAATACACGAGCGATTAATCACCTTTAAATAATTAAAAAAAAATTTTTTTTAATTTTTTTTTGAAGTTCCACAAAGCATTTTTCCTTGCTTGACCACACAGAAAACCCCCGCATTTTTAATATGTAACTCAGAAAAAGGCAATTTAATTTTTTCCGCGCAAATTAATAGAGAAAATAGAGAGAAAATAAATTAAATTTAATAGCTTTTCTTTGGGTACAGCCCAAAACGGCGCGCGGCCATAACGGCGCGCGGCCATAACGGCGCGCGGCCATAACGGCGCAAAGCCATAACTTGCTTGAAATTGTCTGGCCCTTATCAATTTTGATACCAATCTCTTTTCTCGATAAGAGGAATCATCTAATACTAAATTTGGTAAGATTAGGAAATCTTGAAGCAAATTATGGCTTTGCGCCGTTATGGCTGCGCGCCGTTTTGGGCGTATTTCCTTTTCTTTTTCTCATACTTTTTATTGCATTTTTAGGCTACCCTACAACTCATCGAATCCTTAACTCATCGAATCCTCAACTCATCGAATCAGCCAAAAACACTCAACTCATCGAATCCTTAACTCATCGAATCCTCAACTCATCGAATCGGCCAAAAACGATCAACTCATCGAATTTTTCCAAAAGGGGACGTTTGAGTCCCCGTGTTTATTTTTTAGATTTTTTATTGTTTTGTTTATTTTTTTTGTTTTCTTTTGGGGTTTCAACTAATTTTGTTAATTAGTTGATCGGGCACTCATCCACGTCTATGCGGCCAGTGAAAACATTATCAGATAATGAGAATGTTTTCTCACATTCCTGGTAAATTATGATGGAGATTTTACCGGGTAAAACCGGACCAAATTAGTCCAGTAGACCCCGATTATGCCCAAAAGCCCTTTTTCCTAGCCTCCATAGCAGCAAAAAATTTTTTCAACGAAGATTCAGTTGGCCCTTTCGGGAGAAAAATAAAAACAGGGGACTCAAACGTCCCCTTTTGGAAAAATTCGATGAGTTGATCGTTTTTGGCCGATTCGATGAGTTGAGGATTCGATGAGTTAAGGATTCGATGAGTTGAGTGTTTTTGGCCGATTCGATGAGTTAAGGAATTTTAGCCGATTCGATGAGTTGAGCGTTTTTGGTCGATTCGATGAGTTAAGGATTCGATGAGTTAAGCGGGCACGCATTTTTATTTGTTAACTCTGTCACAGCTGGCAGTTAAAAAAAGCAGACAGAGAACAACAACAAACACTTGTACTCACCTTTTCTTTTTCTTTTTTTTCTTTTCTCTCTTCTTTATAAAAACTATTACACATCTGGATTTTCCGGAAAGAAAATAAAACCGGAAAGTTTGTGTATGACCCAAATCGATGCTGTTTATTTTTTCTTTAAATCTCTGCCCACGCTATTTTTTTTTATTTTTTTCACTTTTAATGTAAACAAACTTGGCAAAACTTGACGTGTCTTTTGAAATTTTTCAAGTTCAACAGCTTTTATTCTTTGCTTTTTAAGTTTTAAAGTTGTTTTTCTTTTATCTTTTCCCTTTTGTCTTTTATTTTTCTCTAAGCTTTCCGTTCGCTTTTTCGGTTCTCTTTTAGGTTTTCTTTAGGCGTTCTCAAGGCGTTCTCAAGTCTTCTTTAGGCTTTTAACCTTCCGTCTGACTGTTCAAAATTTATCATCTTTTATCTTTCTCTAGGCTTTTCCGTTCGCTTTTCTTGTTCTGTCTAGGGCTTCTTTAGGCTTTCTCAAGGCTTCCTTCCGGCTTTTAACCTTCCGTTTCTAACTGTTCAAAATTTATCATCTTTTATCTTTCTCTAAGCTTTCCGTTCGCTTTCTTATCTGTCTAGGCTTCTCTAGTGTTTTTCAAGACTTCCTTTTGGTTTCAAGTCACCTTCCGTTTAATTGTTGAAATTTAACTTATTTTTAGCGAGTTTTAAACAATTATTTTTTCAACATTCCGTCATTTTGCCTTATTTTTCAATAATAGAGTTGAATGCAAAAAAAGAACCCTACTTCAAGGAATAAATCAAAGAAGGAAAATAATTCAAAGGTGGGCAGAGCTTTTTAAATTTTTTTAAAAATTTTTAAGTCTTCCCTAAATTTGCTACAAAAACTGTCTTTTAATTAATTTTATCCTTCCCACAAATGTTTCTAATTCTTTCCGTTCTTTTCTAAAACAAAAAGTCTCTCGCCGACTGACAGAGAAAAATAGGGAAAAAAGCAGCTTTTTAAACACACAAATGTTTTGGTGGATTTGTAAGGGTGAAGAAGAGGATTTTCTTTTTTATTATTTTTTGGTTATTTTTTGGACAGTTTTGGGTAGCAAAATATAATTTCTGTTAAAATAAAAAGTATAATTCCTTACTGCCTTGGGGATAATTTCAGTAGTTTCCGTAAATGCTCTAATATAAGCTCGGCTCTAATAGAAGCCCATCTCTAATATAGACCCACCCGAAGAGGCCTATCGAAAAATATAAGCCAAGGGATTATATTAGAGCATTTACAGTGTTCTGGAGTCTTGCCTAATGTTTCTCATAGTTGTTTTTCCGTCTGGGAGCAGGGGGACACTTTCCAAATTATCAAAATGAGGGCATGGCTTCTCAAAAAGGGACAAAAATGGGGCGAAATCGGTCAAAAATTCAGACAGATGCCCCCCAAAATAGGCAAGTCTTTCGGTTTTGGAGTAAAGTCTTCCGGTTTTTGACAGCTCTACATACGACTCAGTTCAGTATGTCACAAAATGACTTGAAAAATTTTTTGACTTTGAAATCACATTAAAAATTTTTTCTTTTATTTTAGCACAGCTTACAAGAAGAAAACTCTTCACTAGAAGAAACAACAGAAAACAAAAAACCAAAAAGTAAATTAAAACAACGACTACAGGGATTAAAACAACGATTTATTCGGCGTTGTTGTTGTTGTCATTGTTATCCGAAAATGATTCAGACTGGAAAAAGCAGCGATGAGGAATGTGGGGGTGGGTTTTAAAAAAGTTTTTTAATTTAAAAAGAGAAAAATTTGAGAGGATTTTTTGAGGGAATAAGGGAGAAGTAGAGCCCGGCTAGATTTGATTTTTGGTTCCTTTTATGGGACAGACTAAGTAGACGCGCGGCCAAGGACGGCACAAAGCCATAACCTTCTGGAAAATTTCTGGCCCTTATCAATTTTGGTACTAATCACTTTAGCTCGATGAGAGGAATCGTTTAATACTAAATTTGGTAAGATTCTGAAATCTTGAAGCAAGTTACGCGCGCCTACATACTACTTGGGCTGTACCCCTTTCACACCTCTCCCCTACTTGTTTCTCTACATTAATCCTTTCTTTTCTTTATGACAATGAGTAAAAAATTAATTTTGAACTCGAATAATGCAGGGGATATGTGAAAAGGTACACGTTTTTTTCTCGATATCTTTCCGATTTTTGATGATCAACCCTTTTGACCGTGTCTAATAATAATCTTTTTTTATCCTATTTTTATGTTCTGTCGGAATATTCATTTTTATTATTTTTTGAATATTTTTTCCTTCATAATTCCTCATTCTCATTGATTTATATTTTTATTTTGTACCAGCTTCCTTAATTTTTTTACTTTTCTCTTTTGATTTTCGGCTTCCGCTGTCTAGCGATCCTCTAAGGTTTTTGTAAAGTATTAGTGGGGGATTTCAAAGGTTTCCTGTTAAAAAGGTTGGTCGAAGGTCAGATTGGTTCTCCGGAGGGGTACTGATCGGAAATTGGCCTAAATTTCGATTTTAGATGTTTTTCCGATTCCATAGATTCTGAAAAAATTTTTTCATGATTTGGAAAAATTCATTGGATGGGAGATAGAATAAAACCATCAAGGAAAGGGCCCAAACCGAGGCACAACCGATTGTGCCATCATCCAACCCGTGAGGGGGGGGGGGTATTTATTCTCATTTACTTTTCTTTCTGTAAGTGCGGACACAACAAATTTCTTCCATTTAAATCGGGTATAAATTATTCCCTTTCTTTAAAATTAAAAATCAAAAATTAAACAAAAATTCAACTGATCTATTTATTTTGTTTGCTTTTAATGTTAAAAACACATTAAAAATGGCCACACCATTTTTGGCGGGTTAAAAAGGGAAAATAAAAATACCCACTTTATAAGCAAAAAAATTGACTGCGTCAGCAATTCTTTAGCGAATTTAAAATTATCTCTCAATTTTGTTTATTTGTTTTTAGATAAAAATTTAAAAATTTTTTTTGTATTAAATGACCGACCTTTTCGATAATTTATTTAAGAGGGGATTTTTTATAAAAAAAATTTTTTTGATAATTTTTTAATTTAATAGGAAATTCCTTGGTTTTTTTGTCAAAATTCATTTGTTTTTTAATTTTTAATTTCCAATTCCAAGTTTTCTTCAAATCCGTCCTCTATGAAGGATTTTTTCCGGAAACCTCTCCACAACTCGAAGCCTTGAAGCCTCCCACATTAATAATTGAAGCGCTCTCCAATCTGAAGCCCTCTCCCCCTACGTTAATAATTTAAGCACCCCCTCCCCGTTAATAATTGAAGCTCTCCCCCATTTGAAGCCCCCCTCCCCTCCGTTAATAATTTAAGCTCTACCCCTTCCCTACTAATAATTTAAGCCCCCTCCTGTTTGAAGCCCTTCTCCCTTTGTTAATAATTAATGCCCCCCCCTCATTACTAATCAAGGCCCCTCCTTTATTAATTAAGCCCACCCCCATTAATTTTTAAAAAGCTATCACCGCTTTTCAAAATAAATAAAATTTGTAATTCATTAGATTTATTTCAAAGGGAAATCACTTCTCTTTATTTTAAGAGAGGTCAGTCAGTTCCTTTGGGAAGGTTTTCCCCCTTTAGAAGTTTTCTTCTTTCCATTAAATAATATTTATTCTTTCCTCTATAAAATGTGTTAATGAATATTGACCGATTTTTTCTCTCCTTTTTTTTTATCTTTTTTTAAACGAAAACTGATCTTCCCTTCCTTTCCTTTTTTTTCTGCAAAAATAAAAACATTTTCGTTTATTTTTGTTGTTTATATCCCCTTAATTCTCAATGCCATTCTTTCCTTCTTTCCTCACTTTTTCTTCACTTTTTTTACTTCCTTCGTGTGACCACAGCTGCGAAAACCCCCCAAGCTCTCTCAAAAAGATCTCCTCTCATTTGACAATGATTTTTTGAAAAATTTTTCTTTTTAAGAAATATGTTGAAAAATACATATTTACAAGTCATTTTACTTTTTTTTATTGCAAAAATACTTATTTATTTTTGCCTTAAATTTAAAAATTAATTTTTAATAGAGCTTTAAGCTTTAATTAAAGATTAGGAAAAAATTTACCGTATTTCTTCAAATACAGCCCCATGAGGCTGTAATGTTCAACTATCTTCCAAAGTAAGGCTCTAATTGAGGGTGGGCTCTATTTGAAGAAATACGGTATTTTTTTATCGTTTATTTTTCTATCGTTAACAAACTTTCGGAGAAAGTTCTCAGGAATCATGTCCCATCTGATATTTTTATATCCCCTTAATTTTCAATGCCTTCTTTTTCTTGGGAGGGTTCCTGGATGGTTCCGGGATGGTTTCTGGGACAGTTCCGGCCGTTTTACTGATAAAGGGTCGAGTTAAACTAAGTTTAGGTCTAGCTAGATTTACCCTTCCCCCTTCCTTTTTTTCTTTAATTTTCTTCAGCTTCAAAAAAATTTTCTCTCTCTCAAATTTATTAACTCAAAAATCTACAGATTTTTTAATTAAAAAATGATTGAAGCTTCCAGACTTAAACGATTTTCTTATTTAGAAGCTGAGCAACGAATGCAGAGGAACACGTTTACCCGTTGGGTTAATCACCATTTGGAAGCGGTTCGGAAAATTTTTTTTGAAATTTTTCAAAAAATTTTTTTTTGTTGTAGCATTCCTCTTCCAGTCAAACACAAAATTTAATTGAAGATATGAAAGATGGAATTCTTTTGTGTCATTTATTGGAAGTTTTGACTGGTGATGTTTTACCTGTTACTACTTCAAGTGGTGGGAATGAGGAGAGTAGTAATAATGTTGTTGTTAATAAAAGGTGGGGGAAAAAAATTTTTTTTAATTTGGAAAATTTTTTTAGGTTTTTAATGAAGGGGAACAGTAGAGACGTCCGAGACTCTTGGTCTTGAGTCTTATTCCAAGACTTTTTGATTTTTTCGGTCTTGGTCTTGGGGTGAAGTCTGGTCTTGAGTCTTGGAAAATATTCTGTCTTGGACTCCCCTAATTCCCCTATATGTTTCAAAACCCAATTTTATTAATTTAATTAATTTTTTTGAAAAGCGTTCGTACGCAAATTTAATGTTTAATTAATTCCCGGTCAGATTAAAATTGAATTTTTTTTTAATTTTTGGGAAAAAATTTTTTTATTTCTAAATTTTTTTAAATTACCCATCAGAGTTTTAAACTGTTAAAAATAATTCTTCAGATTTCAATCTGTCCGGGAATTATTTTTAATTTTTGAAATTTTTTTCAGGGAATTAATCTTTGAGTAAGGCTAACTCAAAATTAATTTATTTTGCTTCCAAATAAATTTTCTAAAAAATTTGAAATTTTTTTTCATCAATTTTTAGTTCATCTAGCAATCTCAAAACAATAAAAACACTCAAAAGAGTTTACAAATTAAACAATTTAAATACAGCATTAAAATGCTTGAGAGCAAAAGGAATTAAATTAATAAATAATAACGTTGTTGATTTGGCTGATGGAAATCCGAGAATTTGGTTGGGATTGATTTGGCAATTAATTTTACATTTTCAAGTAAGGAAATTTTTTTTTGAATTAAAAAAATTTTTTTTGGGGAATTTTCGCAAATTTTTTTGAAAATTTTTTTTGAAAAATTCCAAAAAAATTTTTTTTTGAAATTTTCATAGTTCAAATAAAAATTTTAAAAATTAAAAAAAATTTTTTTTAATTTTTAGAAAATTTTCAAAACTGAAAAAAATTTTTTTTGACAATTTTTGAAAATTTTTCTAAATTTTTGAAATTTTTTTTGACGAGAAAAAGTACACACAAAATTAAATTAAAAATAAAAATCAATTAAATACACGCATTTTCTCTTTCTTTTTCTCTCCTTTTTAGTCTGCCCTTTTTTGCTTTGTTTTTCAAAAATAATTATTATTTGATAAAAAGTATCTTTTTTTCGATAATAATAAAAAGCTGCTTAATATTACACAAAAAAATTGGGGGGAAAATATGAAAAAAAACTGTAATATTTTTTGTTAAATGTTAGCGATACCGCATTTTCGTTTTTTTAATTATCCAAAAAATTAGAAAAATAAATATAAATGTTTGCGTAATATTTATATAGGGGTGAGCGCATTGCGTCCTTTTTTGCGCTTTGCGTTGTGTTGGTAAAGGTCAAGCTCGCTGCCTAATATGTCCGTAAAAGGCATTCTGTAAAAATAATTTTTACTGCATTTTTCTCTCCGGCTTCTCTACCCGTTGCGTTTTTGCGTTTTTCACGTTTGCTTATTGCGCCCACCCCTAGTACGCAACTTTCTTTTTATTACGCAGCTTTCTTAAAAAAATTTTATGGAAAACCTTTATGCTTAGAAAAAAATTTTTTTAACTTGTTTTTAGACCCAACCTAGCTTGTAAATATAATTTTCTTTTTAATCATTTTATTTAATCTTTTGCGCATATTGATTTAATTAATTTATATTTTTTTTTCTTTTAATTATTTATTTAATTTTTTCTGACTTGCAAATAAATAAATAAAAATGGGCAAAGGAAAATTATCTAAAAAGAAGGTTAGCAAGTGTTAAAAATAAATTAAAAAAAAATTTTTTTGTTAATTTTTTGGTCATTTTTTTGGTTAATTAAAAGCCCAAGGTTATGTAAAAATAAATATTCTAGTTTTTCCTTTTTTTTGACCATCGTTTTTCTGATGCTTTTGCGCGTGTATTTTTTTTGTTAAAATAAATTTGAAAATTTTTTGGTAAAAATTTGTGGAATCTTTTGTCATTTATTTTAAAAATAAAAAAAAATTTTTTTGAAAAAATTTTCGAAAAATTAAAATATTTTTTAACATAGGAAGGGAGAAAAAAATATTTAGACTGAGAAAAAATTTTTTTGTAAGGCGGAAAAAATTTTTTAGGCATAGGAAACGAATTTTTTTAATTTTATTTTTTTAAATAATTTTTTAATTAAAAAAAATTTTATTTTTCTTTAGGTAGAGACAGGCCTTTCTATGGTTAGGCGTTCTGCTTGGCATCAAATTCATAGTAATCAACAACCTAATGGAGGTGAAGGAACATCAACCGGCATTACAACAACAGATTATAATCATCAACACCCTTCTACCTCTAAATTACCCCCAAAGAAAAGTGTAGAACAATCATTGTTGGATTGGTTGAATAGAGAGGCTATTAGACCTAGGTAGAGTTTGGAATAGAAAAATTTTTTCAGAAAGAAAATTGGCGACTTAATAATTTTTTTTCGGATTTTTAAAATTCAAAAAGCTTCTAAAAAATTTTATGAAAATTTTCCTCAAAATTTTTTTTGAAATTTTCTGCTTTTAGAATTCTTTAATTTTCGAGTGTTTCCACTAGAGATCGGACTGGGTCTGGACCAAGGCTTGGGTTTTTCCTGTACCCAGAGTTCAGACCCAGGCATCTGTTGACCTTCCCGGGTTTTTCCTGGGCCTGGGGTTTTCTTGGCTACAGGCCCAGGATCCGGCCCAGGTCAATAAATCAAACCCAGAACCCAGGAACAGGCTTGGCTTATTAAAAATTCCGGTCTCCAGTTTCCCCGCTATTTTAAAAAAAATGTTTTCATATTTCTTACAAATTCCCCTCAAATTTTCTTCTAAAAATTCTCACTTTCCCTCAATTTTTAACCTACACAATTTTCACTTTTAAAGGCAATTAGGACTTCCTTCTGGAGCAATTGTTGATTTAGATTTAAGTTGGAAGGATGGAAGATTATTACTTGCTCTTCTACACAGATTTGTCCCAGCCCTAGTTAATCGAGAGGAAATTATGGAGGGAGGTGATGAGCCTGAAGAAGCACGGCAACGGGCCCAAAAGGCTATACAGTTGGCAAGGCTTCATTTGGGGATTAGGTAAATGAAAGAATTTTTGATTTTGAAAATTGAAGCAAGAAATTTTTTTATCGGAGTTTTCAGCTCAAAAAATTTTTCGGAATTTTTTTAAAGTTTCTCCTCAATTTCTTAAAGAAAACGGTCAAAAATTATGTAATTAACTCTAAGCAATGTTTTTGCTGTTCAAAAAATCGAAGGATTCCGGTTTCCAACAGCTCCAAACTTTCGGAGGTTCCGAAGTTAAGGTTCACAGGCGGTTCTGGGAGCCAATCCTAAACTGTAAAAACGCGGACTTAAAGAAGGGAAAATGCTCAGATTTTTTTTGAAAATTTTCAAAAAAATTTCTGAAAAATTTTTTTTGTAAATTTTTCCAGAAATTTTTAAATTTGTTATTCGTCGACTATATTTCTTGGCTAAATTGACTTTAAAAAACCCAAAAAAATTATTTTCATTTCAGTCCATTTTTGGACCCAACAGAGCTTTGCGCACCTGGACGTCTTCCTTGCCGTCGCTCTGTAATAACATACATTTCACAATTTTTATGTCTTTACCGACCTCCACAATTTAACAAAAATGTAAAATTGGAAGAAACTTTAACTGTTAAAAATAGTCAAAAATTAACAACAAAAAATGAAAATAAACAACAAATTTTAAAATGTTATAAAAATTTATTTGAATGGTTGAGGAGAACAGTTGAAGAAGGAGGGCATTTAAAATTGAGTGAAAGGCAAAGGCCAACAGTTGGACAATTTAAGGTGTTTTTTTTTAAAAAGAATATTTTTTAATAACATTAAGGAAGAGAACTTGTTTCGCCTCAGTAACCTATAGAATGTTTGGGACCAAAAAATTTTCTAAGGGACAAAACCCAAAATTAAAAAAGATAGCAACAATCAAAAATTTTCGAGACTCGAAACATTGTTTTTTGTGTTGTTAATTGAAGTTGTGTCGGTTCGGGTCTTCGATTCGCATTCGAATCAGGGCTGGACGCAATTGCGAATTGTGTGGAATTGCGTGTTTTTTTTTGACTTGCTGACTGCGGCTGCGGAAATTTTTTCAATTGCTTCCACATCCGAATACTCTAGGATTTTCCAAAAAAAAAACCACATCTCTATTCTCATTTTTTGGGCAAAATACGAGTCTTTGAGGGGAGAGGGGGATAACTAATTTCCACACTTGGGAATTTTTTTAATTTTTAATTAAAAATTTTTTTTAAATTCACCTTTTTAAAGTTATTTCGTCGTTTAATTAAAAAAGAAGAATGGCTTGAAAGGCGTAGAGTGTTAACCGAAAATGTTTTTCCTGCATTAAAAGAAGTTGTTGAAAAAGAGGATTTGGATATTTTTAAAGGACAATTGGACAATATAGAGGTGTTATATATTTTAAAAAATTTAAAATTCCTCATTGTCGAGACTAGGGAAGTCTTGAACTCTTTACTTTCTAAACTTGAGAGAAGTCTTTAAACGTTTTTGCGTTAGCGAAAGAAATAAAAATTTCTAACAATAAGACCTAACGGTTCCTTCCCTAAAACCAAAATTCGGTTCTAAATGTAGGAAATCGGTCAATGAAAAATTAGAAAAATAAAGAATAGGAAACAAACCAATCTTTAATAATGTAGAAATCAGAAGTTTATTTGAAAAAAATTTTTTGGATTAGAAAAATAACTGTCTATTTTCTCTTTTGAGTCCAATCTCGATATATTCATATCAAAATTCGTATCCTATGATAAAATTTTTAATTTAAAATTTTTTTTTCTTAATTTTCCAGTCAATCGTTTCTTCGTGGGAATCAAAAATCCAATTTTTACTGTCTAAATTAGGAGAAGAAATGAAAGAATTAGAACAATGGATGTTGGAAGGGGAGAGGTTATTAGCCTCAAGTTTACCTTTAACAGAAGACAAATTATTACAAATTGAAGATAAAGGGTTGGAAGAAGTGCTTGAAAATTTGGAATTTACAATTAGACGATTTGAGGTAGTTTAGAAAAAAAATTTTTTTACTAGAAAAACCGAATTTTTTAAATGTATTTTGAAGCATTTTCCCTTAACTTTCGTTAGGCTAAATTAAAAATAAATTTTGAAAAAAATGAAAAAAAAATTTTCTTGACGCTGGTGTCTGTAAAAGTGTTTTTATGAAAGAGTAGAAATTTCATAATTAAAAAAATTTTTTTTTGAAAACGTCGTTTCTATAAATATTCCAAGAAAGTATTGCATTTTTTTCTCAATGAAAAAACCAACAAAAAATCCGCTAATTTTTTTGAAAAAATTTTCAGATTTTGTATTTTTGATTTTTCATTAAAATAGAAAAGTAGAAAACTTTCATAGTTAAAAAAATATTTTTAAAATTTTTTTGGAAATTTTTGCGATTTTAGAATTTTGATTTTTTATTAAAAAATAGAGAACCATCATAGTTAAAAATAGGTTTATTAATTAATTTATTTATTAACTAATCCCTCACTCTAACCCCTTACCCCGACAATTACTCAATTTTGATGGACAGGGGTCGATCCCTAATTTAATTAATTAATTTTTGTAGGAACATTTTAAAGAATTACCAAACAAGAGATTACAATTAGCATTAAAATTGGAACAACATAAAAATCAACAAACTTCTTCCTTAACAACCTCCCCAGAGGATTTTTTACTTTTACCAGAACATTTATTACAAGATTTAAAAGAAAGAATTGAATTTCAAACATTATTGGAAAGAAGAATATTTAAAGAAATTTTATTTATTCAATCCCGTTTAAGAATAATTAAAGCTTCAAGTAAATTAAAAGCAAGTTTGGCTGTTTGGGGAATGAGAACTGGGAGTTTAAAGGAAACTAAAGAAACGTTGGAGGAATATAAGGTGAATAGTTTGTTGTTTGTTGTATGAGTATTTTATTTGGAAATTTTGTGAGAAAATTTTTTTGTCTGGAAAATTAAAAAAAAACTTTTTAAGAGAAATTTAAGAAAATTTTTTTAAATTAAAAGAATCTTATGGAAAAAAAATTCCAACGAACAACAGTCAAATTGAGATTAAATTTTGAATAATAAACTGTAGGAAAGTGGAAATTTAATGAAAAATAATTTTTTATGTCTTAATAAACAAGAAAATTTTTTTAAATTTTGGGCCTTCAAAGAGACTTAAAAAAATTTTTTTTCTAGATAATGGCTTCTGAATGTAAACCTATCCTTCAAATGGAACACCTCCTAAATGCTTTAAAAATAGCAAAAGACGATTGCATTTCCTCTGGCGAGGCTCATCATGAAAATATTTTGGAATCTACAAGTTTATTGAATTCTTGTGAGTTTTCTTTAAAAAATTGTTTCTTCTAAACATAAAAGGGTAATAATTAACATAAAGGGTTTCTTAATTAAACATAATCTCAAATGGTTGTTGAGAATAATCATTTTTGTTTTATTCTTTTGGAGATAAACAGGGATTAATAACAAATATATAATTGATCCCCGAACTGTCAAGTGGAACCTTGGAATGGACTGTCGTCTATCATTTCCCTACCTACTCTTAGGGAAAAATTTTTTGTTTTCACTTTTTAAATTTTTTTGTTGACAATTTCAATTTTCCCCCCCTTCTTTTTTTTATTTTTGTCTGTAATTTGATCCAAATAAGAGTTGAACTTTTATTTCCGTCATTTACTTTTTGTTCTTCTTTAACAAAAAATTTAATTAAATTTAAAATTTAACTTCAATTTTCAGCCCAAAAAGAATTAATAACAAAACAAATAGAAAAACAAATAAAGGAAGAATTGGGTCAATTTATTCGTTGTGAATTTATTTTAATTGATTTAATACAATTATGGAATGAATTTGAAGAAGAAAAAAATTTATTTATAAATTTATTTATTATTGAAGAAGAAGAAGAAAATTTAAAAGAAAAAGAAGAAGTAATTATTAGAAAAATGGAAGTTTTGGCTGAGGAAATGGATGAGACTGGAAGTGAATGGATTAAAAATGCTGGGGAACCTGTTAGAAGACAAATTGTTGAGCTTGTAAGGAAAAAATTTTTTTTGAAAATTTTTGAGATTTTTGAAGGATTTTGGGTTTATTTTTATATATTTACTGTCGGATCTCGCTTTGAGATACCCTTTAGGCGTTTGAAATAACCGTAGCTTATAATAAGTGTTATTTTTAAAAAGGGGTTTAGGAATATGTATTATTCACCTATTAACTAATGAGGTGTATCTATTAATTCTTGACATTATTCTTAGTACGTAGAATTGGAGTTATCGCTTAGATAACTCTCCCCATACACTCAATAGTACATAGTAGAGGGCGAAAAATTCAAAAATTAAATTCGAAAAATATTAGATCGAATATTTGGTTCGTCCGATCTTTACACAATAACCATCCAACTTTGAAAATCTATACTTAAAATCGAGAGTGTAATTAACTATAGGTTGAACGTATTTTAATCGAGATCCGACTGTATATAAGATGCGGGGATATTATAGCTAGGGATCGGCCGAAGGGGTCGGTCGATATTCGATATAAAAATATCGAAAAAAATCGTATCGGTACGATCGCTAAAGGTTAATAAAATTTTTTTGATAGACAAAAATTAAAAAAAAGAAATTCTCTTAAGTGTGATCAACTAATAACTGCAAGAACAACAAAAATTATTTTACAAGAAGAAGAATTGAAAAAATGTTTGTTTAATGAAGAGAGAAAACAACAAATACTAAATGGAAATAATAAAATGAAGGAAGACGAACAAAATAATTTGAGTCAAATAACTTTAAATGAACGAAAATGGTTGAATAATTTGGAAGCTTTTGGAAAATGGCTAGATATAGTAAGGAGGATGGAAAAAATTTTTTTAAAAAGATTTGTGGACAGATTGAGAATTTGATAAAATTAATAGCTAAACTAATAAAAAATTTTTTTTAATTTTTTGAAGGGGTTAGATAGTCCTTTATACATTTGAAAAATTTAAAATATGTCATATGTCAGTTTGTATTACCTCGCGTTTACCCTCTAGACCGAGGTTAGCTCTAAAATAAAAATGTCGGGTATTTTCTGATTGTCGTATACGACTTTCTCCGTCTCATCTCCAGTAATTTGTTTATTCTAAAAATTTTTTTAACAAATTAAACGGCGGAAATAAAGGGGGGAAATAAGACGAGAAAGGAAAGTCGGTCAAAAAAACATGTGATAATTCTGTTTTTTACACTTCTGTCATTATTAAAATTTTTTAAAAAATACAGCATGACTAAATTAATTAATTTCCTTTTTTAACAGATGGAGAAAGAAGTTGGCCAATTACAAAAACAACCATTAGATTTGGATTATAAAAAATGCCAAACAATGCTTGTTCAATTAAGAGACAATTGTCTTGAACATTTTAGATTGGTGTGTGTAAATTTTTTTAGAAAATTCTTTTTTGAATTTTTAAAATCCAAAATTTTTTTTCTCAGAAAATTCCAAAAAAATTTTTAATTTTAAAAAATTTTTAAAAATTTCCAAAAAAAATTTTTTTAGAAAATTTTCAAAGAAATTTTTTTGGAATTTTTGAAATTTTTTTTTAAATTTCAAAAATTTTCCACAAAAGCTTAAAAATTTTTTTGATTTAATTTTTTAAAAAAGGTCTCAAAATTTCAACTTCACCAATTCCAAACTGAACAACAAGCAAAAATTGCTAATGACCTTTGTGAACGTTACAAATATTTAATGGAACAATTTGAACAAATGCAATTACCCTCAGCCCATTTAGTTCCAATTAGGAGAACTACAACTCCTTCAGAGACTTGTAGTGTTGAATTTAGACATCGACTTGCTTCTCAGGTGTGTTTGGGCTTCAAATACCTCTTTTTTAGATACTTCCTTTAAAACTGAAAAGGCGTACCTGATAATTAGAATTACACCCAGACCCCGTTTCTGAAAGATTTTTTCAAAATTTCCCCGACCTGAACCCCGCCCCGAAACAATTTGAAAACCCCGTACCCGACATACCCACACCCGAGCGTTCGGGGTGCAACCCTATTGATAATGTTAAATTGGAGGTATCGCTTAGGATGCTCTCCCATAATTCTTCCACACCTTTTGGTTTACTTCCCCAAAAATAAATTCCCTTAAAAGTTCCCACCCCTAGATGCTAGCTGCACAGCAGACTAGCGCAGGCAAAAGAGGGGACATAGCGGAATTTAAATTTTGGTTAAGTGGCTAAGAGCGGTGACTACAAAATCGTTTAAAAATAGGTCGCGGGTTCGAACCTTTTCATGGTTAATTAATATTTTCCTATTAGATAAATAAAATAAAACATCAAAAAAGTATTTTAAATAATATTTTAGGGGTATAAAAATTTTTTTAAACTTTTTAAAATAAAAACTGGTAAAATTTTTAAAAAATCGGATGTAAATTTTTTAATGTAATTTTTTCAAATTTGGATTGATTTAGGCAAATGAGGTGTCATTTGAAAGAGCTCTGAAAACTGAGTCGAACTAGGGTAGAAGAAGTTGATCCGACATTCCGGGACCGAGTTACAGTCTCCCGAAAGTTGAAAACCACAGGAGGGCCCCTAGCCGAATTTTGAGGTTAAAAATTCAAATATACAAATTATAGCTCATTCGAAAGAGCTCCTCGAGCTGAGTCGAATGACACCACTCACAGGGTGCGGAAATGCCTGTGGACCTAGATACAGGTCCCTAAAGTTCCGATTTTCGGGGTCAAAAATTCGACTATGCAAATTATAGCTCATTCGAAAGAGCTCGTTGAGCTGAGTCGAATGACACCAAAATCTCCGTGATTAGATTCCTATATAGCCTAAATAATAGCACAAAAGCAGTTATTCCGGCGAAAATTAATTTGCTTGTAACTTTGTTCAGAATCATCGAATCGAGCTGATTTTGGTGTCATTCGACTCAGCTTGTCGAGACGAATCGAATAGTATATGTTACGACCAAAACTTTCAAAATTTTTAACGAGTAAAAGGCATTTTTTTAAACTTGATTTATTCGGTCATGCAAAACCTTTTTTAAAATATGCAAAAAATTAATCAATTTGGTTTTAAAACAAAGATAAGACTCTCATTCATTATTTAAAATAAGCAAAATTTAAAAAAAATAAGATTCTCGAAAGATAAAGATTCTCGAAGTTGACATGTTCAAGCAAACAAATTTTATCTCAAATATTTAACGAAATAACACGCGAAAAAAATAGAGCGACAAAGAAAAAGAGATAAATTTAGCTCTTTTTTAATTAGTTGGCGTTCTGCCCCAATAAATGACATTTGTTTCGCTATGACCCTTGCTAGTCTGCTGTGTAGCTGTGCTTAAAAATGTATCTTAAATTGAGGTGTATTGGGATTCAAAAAAAACTGGGAAAAAATCCCGCCCGATCCCGCTGAAATCTATTGAAAATGGGAGACGTTAGAGAACACTCTCCTTATTTTCAATACTATTTTTTCAAATTTTTGTACAAACTTGTTAATTTTAATTTTATTCTTTTTTACAGCTTTCCTTAGCCTCTACATCAAGTTCTATCGGTTTTTCTTCTGATTTGGATTCTGATTTAGCTTCATTAAATAGTGAGGTAATTGTAGCTGAAGCACTTTCACTTATAAAGGAGGAAAATTTAAAAGAAAATTTTGAAGAAGAAAATAACGTCCTAAATAATTTAATAAATAAATTGGAAGCAGGAAACAAATTGGAGGATATTCCAATTGAATTAATTGAAAAAGAAGTTAAACATATTCAAATAGCAATAGATAGATTACATGCTCGTTATTATACTCCTAAACCTTTGGAAATTGCTAGAGAAGATGTTAATTTGTTGAAAGTAGGGTTTAATTTTATTTTTTAGTAAAATTTTTAAAAAGTCTCTAGGGAGAGAGTCGGGGTTGTTATTTTTGTAAAAAAATTTTTTTTGATTGAGAGTAGTAGGTAGTTGGGGTAGCTGAGGGTTGATTGAGGGTAGTAGTAGATAGTAGGAGAGGGAGGGTAGTAGTTCTGTTATCTCTCATGTTCGTTCCTTCGCCTTGTACTTTGATTTTCCTTCAATACCTCCCGAGGACTGTTTAGTGTTGTTTCATACCCCTGATATTGTTAACGTATCCTGTTTGAAATAATTATACAACCTCGAATTTTGAACCCAAAAGTCCAAAATCCGTCCAACTCATTTAACTACATATGTTCAAATCAGTTAAGGAAGATTTTTTCTTTTTGGGGTCTCATATAATTTTTTCCTGTTCCTCCTTTTAGGATTTCTGAGTTCTCTTGTCTATTTTTAATTTTTTTAAAATCATTTTTTATATTCCAGTTATTTGCTTCAAAAGTAACTGAACAAAAAACTCAACTTTGCCAATTAGCCTCCTCCATTCATCAAAACGAAATTTTAAAACAACGTTTATTTAAACTTGTAGCTTCCCTAAAAAGAGAAAAGAATTCACTTAAACGTTTCCACAAAGCTTTAACAACAGAAATTAACCAAGAAATTGAGCTTAGATCCACTTATAAACAAATTGTGGAAAGATTGGGGGATGTTGAAAATTTTGTTGTTTTTGAGAACCAAATGGACCCCCAAAATTTTAAATCAAAAGAAAATTTGAAATTTTTACAACTTCAAATTGAATTGCTCAAAAAACAGTGTAGAGTAGTTAGACAATATGTAGAAATTAGTATTGATGGAAGCAAATGTTTAAGTCCTTCAAAACAGAAGAAAATAATTTTGAAACTTTGTAATAGTGTAACTACTATAATTCAGGTGTAGAATTTTTCTAAAAAATTTGTAAAAAATTTTCTGGTCCTCTGAGGGGTTAGAAAAATTTTTTGGGAAGAGGTGGTCATCTCTCTCCTACTTTACATATAATTGTGGGTATTAAAAATTAGGGGAGCCTCCAAGAAAATGGGAAAAATGCGAAAACCAAGGGGAAAAAATTAGAATTGGAATTTTTAGGGATTTTTTTGTCGTAATTAGCTCAGAAACCTTCAGGCTTTGGTCAACCCTTAAGGTCCTCCTTATCCGTGAGCCTGTTCAGATTTGAACCAGGGATGGACCGGAATACGCAAAACTCGATACTCAAAACCTCGGACTGTTTTCCCATCTGAAACTCGAAAATCCGACCCAAATTTTTTCTCAACCTGAACCGTCCTTGGTCCAGTTCTTTAAATTTTGGATAACATTCGAATAAATTTTTTTTGATTTTTTAAGGTAATTGATGATAAATGGAAAATTGAAGCAGCAAATAAACAAGAAACTGAAATTAATAATAATGAAAAAATTGAAGATTTAATTGAAGAAGAAGGTCCTTCCACTTCCCAAATAAAAAGAAGAAATGAAGAAATAATTGAAAATAAATTAGAAAAAATAATTTTGTTGGAAAAATCGAAAGAAATTGAATTTAATAAAATTAGGAAAGGGGAAAAAATGTTAAAGAGGGAAGAAAAAAATATTGAAGAAAAAATTGAGGATGAAGAAATATTTTGTGAATTTTATTTTGAAATGAAGGAAGAAAATGAAGAAATTGAAAAGAAAATAAAAGAAGGAAACAATTTAAAAAATATTAGTAGAAAAATTTTTGGACGACAAAATGTTGTAAAAGAAAAGGAAAAATCTGAAGAGAATATTCAACGTAGTAGCAGTAGTAAATATTTGGTTACTGATCCAGCTATTGAAAAAGAAAAATTAATTAAGAAGGAAAAAGCAAGATCGGAACCTTTAAGTGAGAAACAGATGAAATCTGAGAAGAAAACAAGTGAGAAAATTTTTTTAAAAAATATTTAAAATTATAGTCGGACCCCTCCCTTATGTGAACCTTTTCCATTAACTTGAACACTCTCAATTTAGTGTACTTTTTTTAATCTAGTTGGTGACTGTTATTTGAGGAGCGACTTAACAATATCCTCGTTGTTGTTTACCAGAGGTGGGTCGGAATTCCGATTTCCGAAAAAAATTTGATTTCCGATTTCCAAGTTCCGACTTTTGAGCCAGTTCCGATTTCAGGCTCTTCCGATTTCCGACACCTCGGACTGTTCCGACTCACCTCTGTTGTTTACACCTATTTTATAGTGTTTTCAGTCCTAAGAGAGCGCGTAGACATAAGTGTGGTAATTAAATTTTAAAGGGGAAAATAAGGGGATTTTAGAAATTGAAGAAAATTAAAGACATGTAACTATACAAATTTTATAAGAAAATTTCAAAAAAATTTTCTAGATCCTCGTCTAATAGAAGAGGCTAATATTGCCTTTGATAAATCAACAAAAATGAAATTTATGTTGGAAGAAATGCTTTCGGGTCAAATACAAATGCCTTCTACAAATGAACAATTTAGTCGTCAAATAGAATTAATTGAAGCAATAAATAAAGAATTGAAGGGATTGAAAGAAGAAATAAAAATGGAAGAAGAAAAAAGTGTTGAATTAATTAAAGTTTTGGAAAAAGTTAAAAAATTGTTGGAAGAATTTGAAGTCATTGAGAAGAAATTTGTGGTTGTTTTTGAAGAGTTTGTTGAAGTAGAGAAGAGAATTGGAAGACAAAAGGAGGAGGAAAAGAAAGAAAAGGAAGAAGAAAGGAAGGAGAAGAAAAGGAGAAAGGAAGAGAAGAGGAAGAAGGAAAGGGAAAGGAAAGAGGAGGAAGGGGTTGGAAGGAGAAGGGAAGAGGAAAGAATAAGGGAAGAAGAAAGGAAAGTTGAGGAGGAGGAAAAGAAAGAGAAGGAAGAGGAAAGGAAGGAGAAGAAAAGGGGAAAGGAGGAGAAGAGGAAGAAGGAGGAGAAGAGGAAGAAGGAGGAGCAGAAAGAGGAAGAAGTTGGAAGAAGAAGGGAAGAGGAAAGGAAAAAGGTGAACGAAGTTGGAGGAAGAAGAAGCGAAGAGGAAAGGAAAAAGGAAGAGGAAAATAAACGAATTGAAGAGGAAAGAATAAGGGAAGAAGAAAGGAAAGTGGAGGAAGAGAAAAAGATGGAAGAGGATGAAATTAAAATGAAAAAGGGAAGGAAAGAGGAAGATGTGAAACAAATGGCAACTGAAATGAAAAAGGTGAAAGGCGAAAGGAAAAATTTGAATAAAAAGGAAGAGGATGAAATGAAAAAGAAGGAAGTTGAAGGAAAGAAGGAAGAGGATTTAAAACAGAGGGAAGAGAATGAAGAATATAAGGAAGGGGATGGAAGGAAAATAAAGGAAAAGGAAAGGAAGCGAGGGGAAGATGAGAAGAGGAAAAAGAAAATAGACGAGAAGAGAAAGGTTGGTAGGGGAAAAAGCTGTCAAGGAAGAGGGAGTTGTAGGTTCGATTCCTGCCCGTCAGCTATACTTTTAACTTTTTTACCATTGTAAAAATTTTTTAATTTTTAAGGAGACAAAAGTCGTCGACCTCCCACAAGTTGAAGAAGTTAAATCTGAGGAAATTGATAAAGAAGCCTTAAAACCGTCAAACTTGGGGCAAAAAAAGGAAGATGATTATATTGAGGTAATATCGTTATCAAACCAAAAAAGAAAGGGGGAAGAAGAAGAAGAAGAAAATATCTCTAAGGCTTTACTTGAAGTTAAAGAACCTCTTAAAGTTTCAATAACAACGACTAACATTGCTTTTGAAGTGCCTAAAGAGCCAATCTCTTCTCTTGTAAACATCTACTCTTCTGGACTTTCTTATGAAAAAAGAGTAGCTTCAAAAAGTGAAACTCCAATTAAAGTTCCTGAAACAAATAAACAATCAGAACTTAATCCAATACCTTTGGAAATTGTAAAGAAACATGTTGGTTATTATGAACAATTAAAAATGAAAGAGGATACAGAGATTGAAGGAAGGAAGCTTGGCACCACAGATATTTTATCTGAAGCAACTGAGGAACCAAAATCTGTTGGCGTTGGTTCTTCTGGACGTTCTGATGTACAGGATTCTTTAATTTCTCATAAAACAACTAAACAACCAGAAATAAAGCCAATACCTTTAGAAACTGAAAAGAAGCATGTTGGTTGTTACGAAAATCTTTCACAGCTTTCAATTGTTCAAGAAAAGAAATCTGAAAGTAAGACTGAAACAATTGGATCTATTCAATCTAAATTTCTTTTTTTTTTCAGGCCTCTTATTTGAAACTTGCAAATCAACAGAATGGGATAAATCTAAAATTGATCAATTTGTCAGTATTTACTCTTCTGGACGTTCTGAGGAAATAGCTACCTCAACAAAAATGGAAGAACAAAAAATTGAAGTTCCTTCCATTGGCCAAGTTTTAGAGACTAAACGACAATTAGACATTGATTCTGTTCCTATGGAAGTTGAAAAGAAGAATGTTGGGTATTATCAACAACTTATACCTTCAATTATTGAAGAAAAAACAAAGTCTGTAGCTCCAGAAAGATTGCAACAATCTCCTTCCTTTTCTGAACGTTCAGAAAAAGTTTCAACAAAAACAACAACAAAAGAGACAAAATATCCCGTTGAGAACACAATAAAATATCAACAAAATTTGGATTCAATACCTTTACAAGTTGAAAGAAGGCATATTGGGTATTATGAACATTTGCCTATTCTAACAAAATCTGAGGAAAAAGAAGTGTTGATTGAAGAAGTTGAGAAGAAGCCTGAAGCTTTAGAAAGGCCTGAAGAGCCTAGTATTAGCTCAATCGCTATCAGTGAAAAAATGTTTGAATTAAAAGAAGAATCAATTCATTCAGTTGCTAATTTTTGCTGCTCTTCTAAAAATTCTGATGAAATTCTAATAAATTTACCATCAAAAACAACTCAACTTTCGAAAATTGAAAAAACAATTCCTTTTGAATTTGCCTTAGAAATTCAACCAGAAATGAAGCCAATACCTTTGGAAGTTGAAAAGAAGAGTATTGGGTATTACGAACAATTAAAGATAAAAGAGGATACGAAGAAGGAAGAAAGGAAGCTTGAAGGTTTAGTAAATACCACCAATACTTTACCTGAAGCAACAGAAGAACCAATACAGCAATTTGTCAGTATCTATTCTTCTGGGCGTTCTGATGAACATAAAACAACAGAATATTCAGAAATTGAAGAAGCTTCTTTAATTTCCTATGAAACAACCAAAAAAGCAGAAATGAAACCAATACCTTTGGAGATTGAAAGTAAGAATGTTGGTTATTACGAGCAATCTATTACTCCAGTAAAGAACCTTGAAGGTAAGATTAAAATAGGGTCCATCCCCGTTCCCCGACGCAGGTATGGCCTCCCTAGAACCTCCTTTTTTAAAAATTCCCCGGGGAGAAGCTCGCGGCGGGACCTCCCCGCCCCGTTTCCCGAACACGAATTCCCCGCAACCCCCGTTCCCCGTAAACTCAGCCCTAGATTAAAACACTCTCCCCTAGATTAAAACACTAGAATCTATTCGACTTATTTTTCCCTTTTTTCAGAATCCTTATTTGAAACTTGCAAATCGAGTGAATTGGATAAATCTCAAATTGATCAATTTGTTAATATTTACTCTTCTGGACGTTCTGATGAAGTTTTTACTTCAACAAAAATGGAAGCACAAAAAATTGAAGTTCCTTCCATTAGCCAAGTTTCAGAGACTAAACGACAATTAGATATTGACTCTGTCCCAATGGAAGTTGAAAAAAAGAATATTCTTAGTTATGAACATTTAACAATAAAGGAAGATGAAAAGGATATGAAGCCAAAAATAAAGGAAGAGGAGGAGGAAGGAAAATCTTTGGAACATCCAGGACTTTGTTTAGGTGATTTTATTGGAGAAAAGAAGGAAATGAGGAAGAAGAAAAAAGTAAAGAAAGGGAAAGGAGGAAGGGGAGAAGAAAAAGAAGAAGCAAAGGAATTGGAAGAATTACAACAGAAAAAGGGTGAATTAATAAATGAAACCGGAAAAGTTGAAGAAAGCTCGAGGGATTTTATTGAGCAGGAAGAAGAAGGCTCTTTATTAACTGAAAGGAAAGATGAAGAGAAGGAAAAAGAAGAGGAGGAACGAAATAAAGTGATTAAGATATCTGAAAGACTTCCTTCATTTATTGAGCCTTCCAAAGAAGATAAAAAGGTTACAGAATATCCCAAGATTGAAGAAGCTTCTCATAAAACAGCTAAACATTCAGAAATGAAACCAATACCTTTAGAAGTTGAAAAGAAGAATATTGGGTATTATGAAAAATTAATACCTTCAATTATTGATGAGGAGCCTGAAGCTTTAGAAATAGGGACAAAAGGCTCTGAAGAAACATCACAAATTAGCTACGAAACAACAAAACAATCAGAATTGGATTTTGAACCTTTGGGAATCCAAAGAGGAAGTTTGGGTTTGCCTGAAACAGAAATCGAAAAAGAAAAGGAATCTGAAGTGCCTGAAGACTTTACTCAAAAAGTAATGGAAGAATCAATGATTCCCACAATCGAAGAAGCATTAATTGAAAACCTTCCAGTGGCCAATAAACAATCTGAATTGAATAGGGTGGAGTTAAAAGTTGAAAATAAACATGAAGGCTTCTATGAACAATTACCTTCTACTATTTCGACAACTAAATATGAGGAAGGGACGGAAACGTTTGAAGGTAACCTGAAGGAAAGCAAACATTTTGAGAATTTTGAACCTCTCAATGCCCCAATAACAACGACTAACATTGCTTTTGAAATGCCTAAAGCGCCAATCCATTCACTTGTTAATATTTACTCATCCGGACGTTCTGATGAAATAAAAGAAGCTGCAATTGAAGAGTCAACAAGTGAAGCTTCAATTAATGTTTCTGAAATAATTAAGCAAGCAGAAATGAAGCCAATACCTTTAGATGTTGAGAAGAAGAATGTTGGCTATTATGAACAATCAAAAATGAAAGAGAATACGAAGAAGGAGGAAATGAAGCTTGAAAATATGGTGGATACTACCAATATTTCACTTGAAGCAACTGAGGAACCAACACAACAATTTGTGTCTAAAGGTTCTGATGAAAGTCACGAAGTTGAGGCTTCTTTAATTTCTCATGAGACAACTAGACAACCAGAAATGAAGCTAAAACCTTTGAAAATTGAAACTAAACATGTTGAGTATTATGAAAAGCTTCCTTCCCCCACATTTGTTCAAGAAAAGAAGCCTGAAGGTAAGACTTAAAACATCAGAATCAATTCAATTTAACTTTATTTTTTTAGAATCATTTGAGACTTGCAAATCAACAGAATTAAATAAATCCCAAATTGATCAATTTGTTAATATTTACTCTTCTGGACGTTCTGAAGAAGCAGGAGAAGCTCCAATTAAAGTTTCAATAAGTGAAACTTCCATTAACGTTCGTAAAACAACTAAACAGCCAGAAATGAATCCAATACCTCTAGAAGTTGGAAAGAAGAATATTGGCTATTACAAACAATTAACAGCCAAAACTGCGCCTGAGACAATAGAAAGACCAAATGAAGTTTCTGTAAAAAAGGTGACAGAATATCCTGAGATTGAACACCAATTGTTTGTTCCTGAAACAGCTAAACAAACAGAAATGAAGCCAATACCTTTGGATGTTGAAAAGAAGAATGTTGGCTATTATGAACAATTAAAACCTTCAATTATTGAAGATAAAACAAAATTGGAAGAAAGAAAAATATTAAAAGAAGCTTTGTTAACTGACCACCTTCCAGAAACGTTTAAACAATCAGAAATCGAGCCAACACCCTTGGAAGTCGAAAAGAAGAATGTTGGGTATTACTGGGATATTTTGCCTGCTACTACAACATCTAGAGAGGAAGAAAAGAAAATTGTAAGAGACAAGAAGGAAGAAGAACTTTCTCAAAGCTTCAAACCAATGGAAGTATTCCCTAACACTTCCGATTTCTTTATTGAAACAATTAGACTTCCAACAACAAAAACAGCAGAATACCCCACTAGCATTGCTTTTGAACTGCCTAGAGAGCCAATCCATTCTCTTGTCAACATCCACTCTTCTGGGCGTTCTGATGAAACAAATAAGGCTACAATTGAAGTTTCAACAGTTGAGGCTCCAATTAACATTTCTGAAACAACTAAACAAACTGAAATGAAGCCAATACCTTTGGAAGTTGAAAATAAACATGTTGGTTATTGCTCGAATCTTTTGCCTGCTACTATACCATTCAGAGAGGAAGAAAGGAAAATTGAAGAGGAAGAGAAAGAAGAACCCTCTCAAAGCTTCAAACCAATGGAAGAATTCCCCGACACTCCAGACTCTGCCATTGATTCAAAGTCCATAATTGAATCAATTAAAAGTTCAACAACAAAATTAACAGAATATCCAATTTACAACACTCCCCTCATTTCTGAATTACCTGAAGAACAATTAAAATTATTTAAACAAATTCCAACAGAAATGGAAACAAGTAAACATTTAGAAATTGAAGAATCGTTTAGTGATAATCTCTCAGAGACAAATTATTCTGAATTGAACCATATTCCTTTGGAAATTGAAAAGAAGAAGATTGGGGATTACGAAAAAATGTCTTCTGAACCAACTGGACGTTCTGATGAAATTCCAACAAACACGAACACGACAGAACATCCAAAAATTAAAGAACCATCTCCCATCCAAAAGACAAAAATACAAACGGAACTTGAAGGTGTTCCTTTTTGTGTTGAGAAGAAGAATATTGGATTAACAATAAAAGAAGATGAAAAGGTCTTAAAGCCAAAAATAAAGGAAATTGAAGAAGAAAAGGAAGAGAAATCATCTGAATACCCGGGTCTTTGCTTAGGTGATTTTATTGAGGAAGGGAAGAAGAAAGAGATGAGAAAGAAGAAAAAAGCAAAGAAAGGGAAAGGAAGAAGGGGAGAAGAAAAGGGAAACGAAGTAAAGGAATTGGAAGAATTGCAACAGAAAAAGGGTGAATTAATAAAGGAACCCGGGAAAGTTGAAGAAAGCTCGAGAGATGTTGTGGAGCAGGAAGAAGGCTCTTTGTTATCTTTGAGAAGAGAAGATGAAGAAAGGAAGGAAAAAGAAGAGGAGGAACAAAATAAAGTGATTGAGATATCTGAAAGGCTTCTTCCTACATTTGTTAAGCCTTCCAAGGAAGATAAAAAAGTAGAGATGACAGAATATCCCAACATTGAACAAGCTTCTTCTTATGAATCAACTAAACAACCAGAAATCAAACCAATACCTTTGGAAGTTGAAAAGAAGAATGTCGGTTATTATGAAAATCTTCCTTCCTCAACTTATCAAGAAAAGAAGCCTGAAGGTAAGATTAAAACTTTAGAATTTATATTTGAGTTAAATTTCTTTTTTAGATTTATTTGAAGCTTGCAAATCAACAGAATTAAATGAATCTAGAATTGATCAATTTGTTCATGTTTACTCTTCTGGACGTTCTGATGAAATTTCAACAAGAACAACAACTACAAAAACGATAGAATATCCAAAAATTAAAGAACCATCTCCCATCCAAGAGACAAAAATACAAACAGAACTTGAAGGTGTTGGTTTTAGTGTTGAGAAGAAAAATATGGAAGAGGAAGCAATGAAAGAAAATGAAAAGAATTTGAAGCCAAAACTAAAGGAAGAGGATGAAGAAAAGGAAGAGAAATCCGCTGAACATCCAGGCCTTTGTTTAGGTGATTTTATTGGAGAAAAGAAGGAAATGAGGAAGAAGAAAAAAGTAAAGAAAGGGAAGGGAAGAAGAGAAGAGAAAGAGGAAACAAAGGAATTGGAAGAATTACAACAGAAAAAGCCTGAGAAGGAAATTGAACAACAACTTGTTTTGGAGAGTGGAGGAAAGAAAATTGGAGAAAGTTCGAAGGATCCTGTGAAGGAAGAAGGCTCTTTATCAACTGAAGGAAGAGTAATGGATGAAGAAAGGAAGAAAAAAGAGGAGAAAAATAAAGGGATTGAAAGACTTCCTTCATTTATTGACCCTTCAAAAGAAGATAAGACAAGTAAACAAGAAGAAATGAAGCCAATACCTTTTGAAATTGAAGAGAAGCATTTAGGCGATTTTATTGAAGAAAGAAAGAAGAAGAAAATGGGGAAAGGGAAAAAGAAAGGGAAAGGAAAAGAAGATGTTCAGCAGAAGAAACTGGAAGAGATCCAACAGAAAGAAGAGCTTGAGGAACCAATGTTAACAGTCAAAACAACTATAACTGAAGCACTTGAAAGGCCAATTGAATTTTATGGTGAAGTCTTAAAAGAGCTGGAAGAGTATCCCAAAACAGAAGAGCCTATTGACCCTTCAAAAGAAGATAATACAAGTAAACAAGAAGAAATGAAGCCAATACCTTCGGAAGTTGAAGAGAAGCATCTAGGCTATGCTTCTCAAATGAAGCCAAAATCTTCTAAAACAACTAAAAAACAACCAGAAATGACGAAGAATATTAAATATTGTGAAGATGAAGAGTTGATTTTTACAGCATTTAAAGAGGGAGAAAAGAAGCCTAAAGCTCCATTAAAAGAAGCCTTCAATAAAAGTATTACTTCTCAACAATTTTTTGTTGATTCACCTTCCGAAGAATCAATCACTAGCACTCATATCATCTCTGAATTGCCAAAAGAGCCCATCAACTCTTTTGTTAACATTTACTCTTCTGGGCGTTCTGATGAACCAAAAACAATTCCAAAGACGGCTGGATTGGAGAAACGCTCTGAAGACATTTCTGAAACATTTAGACAAACTGAATTGACTTTAACACCTTTGGAACTTGAAAAGAAGAATATTGTTGAATATTTTGAAGATGAACAGTTGATTTTTACAGCATTAAAAGAAGGGGAAGAGAAGAAACCTGAAGCTAAAATAAAAGAAGCTTCTTCAATTGAAAATATTTCTGAAGAATTTAAACAGCCAGAATTGAGGCCAGAACCTTTGAAAATTGAAAATAAACATGTTGGTTATTATGAAAAGCTTCCTCCCCCAATAATTGTTCAAGAAAAGTCTGAAAGTAAGATTAAAATTGTAGGATTTATTAGAGTTAATTTTCCTTTTTTTAGAACCCTTATTCGAAACTTGCAAATCAAATGAATTGGATAAATCCCAAATTGATCAATTCGTTAATATTTACTCTTCTGGACGTTCTGATAAGCCTCAACCAATCTCAGAAACACAACAAGAAGAGATTCAATCTGATATTAAATTAAATGAAGTTGTGAAGCCAAAAATAAAGGAAGAGGAGGAAGAAGAAGAAAAATCATTTGAACACCCAAGTCTTTGTCTAGGTGATTTTATTGAAGAAGGGAAGAAAGAGAAGAGGAAGAAGAAAAAAGTAAAGAAAGGGAAAGGAAGAAGGGAGGAAGAAGTAAAAGAAGAAAATAAAGAAGTAAGGGAAGTGGAAGAATTGCAACAGAAAGGCTCTGCTGAGAAAGAAATTGAACAACAGATTGTTTTAGAGAGTGAAGAAATGAAAGAACCTGGAAGGGTTGGAGAGGAAGGAGGGTCTTTATTAAAAGGAGGCTCTTTGTTAACTAAAGGAAGAGTATTGGAGGAAGAAAAGAAAGAAAAAGAAGAAGAGGAGGAGAAAAATAAGGAGATTGAGATGTCTGAAAGACTTCCTTCATTAATTGAACCTTCCAAAGAGATGACAGAATATCCCGAAATCGACGAAGCTTCTTTAATTTCTCATAAAACAAATAAACAAGAAGAAATGAAGCCAATACCTTTGGAAGTTGAAAAGAAGCATGTTGGCTATTATGAAAAATTAAAACCTTCAATTATTGAAGATAAAACAAAGACAGAAAAAGAAGAAATATTAAAAGAAGCTTTATTAATTGACAGACTTCCAGAAACATTAAAACAAATAGAAATGAAGCCTATACCTTTGAAAATTGAAAATAAACATGTTGGTTATTATGAAAAGCTTCCTTCTCCATCAGTTGTCCAAGAAAAGAAGCCTGAAGGTATGGTTAAAACAAAATCTATTCGATTTAAATTTCCTTTTTTTAGAACCCTTATTTGAAACATGCAAATCATCAGAATTGGATAAATCTAAAATTGATCAATTTGTCAGTATCTACTCTTCTGGACGTTCTGATGAAATTTCAAGAACAACAACAACGGAAATGATAGAACAATCAGAAATTAAAGAACCATCTCCCATCGAGACAAAAATGCAAACAGAACTTGAAAGTGTTCCTTTTGGTGTTGAGAAGAAGAATATAGAGGAAAAAACAGTAAACGAAGGTGAAAAGGATTTGAGACCAAAAATAAGGAAAGAGGAGGAGGAAGAAGAAGAAAAATCATTTGAACACCCAAGCCTTTGTTTAGGTGATTTTATTGAAGAAGGGAAGAAGAAAGAGATGAGGAAGAAGAAAAAAGTAAAGAAAGGAAAAGAAAGAAGAGAGGAAGAAGAGAAAGAAGCAGAAGTAAAGAAAATTGAAGAAGATGAACCTTCTTATGACCTTAAACCAATGGAAGATTTTCTCGTAGATTCCAAGTCTCTTATTAATTCTACTAATTTAATTTCTGAATTGCCAGAAGAGCCGATCAACTCTTTCGTTAATATTTACTCTTCTGGACGTTCTGATGAAGTTTCAACTTCAACAAAAATGGAAGAACAAAAAATTGAAGTTGCTTCTATGAGCCAAGTTTCAGAGACTAAACGACAATTAGACATTGATTCTGTGCCAATGGAAGTTGAAAAGAAGAATGTTGGGTATTATGAACAATTATTTGCTTCACAAGAAGAGGAAACGAAGCCTGAACCTTCAGAAAAATTAAAAGAAGCTTGTTTATTTGGCAATATTTCTGAAGCATTTAAACAGCCTGAATTAGCTTTAATACCTTTGGATGTTGAAAAGAAAAATATTGGGTATTATGAAAATCTTCCACTATCAACTGGTCAGGAAAAGAAGCCTGAAGCTTTAGAAAAGTCAGAGTCAACTTTTGTGCCAGAAACAATTAAACAAACTGAATTGCCTTTTGAAGGACCTCTTAGAGTAATTAACAAAGAGGAGAAAGAAAAATCGGAAGCAACAGAAAATCTGCGTCAAAAAGATAGCACACTCTCTAGTTCTGTTACAGAAACAACTGAGCCATTAACTACAAAGGAGGAAGAGATTGAATATTTTAAGGAACGCTCTGAACTTGTTTCAACAACTAAAACGGAAGAAGTTCCAAAGGAAGAATTTATTAATGTTTTTGAGACAATTAAACAAAAGGAGATGATGCCAAAACCTTTGGAAGTTGAAAAGAAATATATGGGTTATTACGAACATTTAACAACCAAGACTTTGTCTGAGACACTAGAAATTCCACAACCATCGATTGTGCAAGAAAGAAAGCTTGAAGGTAAGACTAAGACTTTAGAATCTATCCGATCTATTTTCTTTTTTTAGACCCCTTACTTGAGATCTGCAAATCAACAGGATTGGATAAATCTCAAATTGATCAATTTGTTAATATCTACTCTTCTGGACGTTCTGATGAAACAAGAGAAGCTCCAACAAGTGAAGCTTCAATTAACGTTCCTGAAACAACTAAACAACTAGAAATGAAGCCAATACCTTTGGAGGTTGAAAAGAAGCGTGTTGGGTATTATGAACAATTAATTCCTTCAATTATTGAAGAAGAGAAAGAGGAAAAGCCTGAAAGACCGGAAGTTCAGGAAGAAACAATAGCTTCAGATTTCCCTTTGTTTACAGAACAGACAGAAATGTCAAAACCTTCATTAGAAGCTACAGAATTTTTGTTAGAAGCAGAACCTTTTGAACTAACAAAAACAGCTTTAGAACCAAAAGAAGAGGAGCACTTGGAAGCAAAACAACAACAAAAACAAAACGAATTGTCATTTAAACCTTTGGAGATTGAAAAGAAGCATATTGGCCATCAAGAAAATTTGCTTCCTTTAAAAACGGAAGAAGCAAAGCCTGAAGCTTTGGAAGAAAAGAAGAAAGATTCTGAGCTTTTTACTCAACAAATTTCAAAAACTGACCTCTTCCCTTTGAAAAAGCCTTCCATGGCTAGAAAGGAAGAGGAAAAGGAAAAGAAGGAAGAGGGTGAAGAGTTTGAATTGAAGAAGAAAACTGAGGAAGATAAAGAAGAATTGAAGGAAGTTGAACATAAGGGCCTGTGTTTAGGTGATTTTATTGAAGGAAAGAAGGAAATGAGGAAGAAGAAGAAAGTAAAGAAAGGGAAAGGAAGAGGAGAAGAAAAAGAAGAAATAAAGGAAGTGGAAGAATTGAAACTGAAAAAGCCTGAGAAGAAAATTGAACAACAACCAGTTTTAGAGAGTGAAGGAAGGAAAGAAACCGGAAAGGTTGAAGAGGAAGAAGGCTTTTTATCAACTAAAGGAAGAGTGTTGGAGGAAGAAAGGAAGGAAAAAGAAGAGGAGGAACAAAATAAGGAAGTTGAAATATTTGAAAAACCTCCTTCATTTATTGAACCTTCCAAGGAGATGACAGAATATCCCAAACCAGAAGAAATAAATGTCTCTTATAAAACAACTGAAAAACATCCAGAAATGAAGCCAAGACCTTTGGAGGTTGAAAAGAAAAATATTGGGTATTATAAAGATCTTCCTCCTCCATCAATTGTTCAAGAAACGAACCCTGAAGGTAGGATTAAAACAAAAATCTGTTTTCAATTAAACTTTTCCTTTTTTAGAACTCTTATCTGAAACTTCCAAATCAACAGAATTGGATAAATCTAAAATTGATCAATTTGTTAATATTTACTCTTCCGGACGTTCTGATGAAGTTTTTACCTCAACAGAAATGGAAGAACAAAAAATTAAACATCCTTCTATTGGCCAAGTCTTGGAGACTAAACGACAATTAGACATTGATTCTGTGCCTATGGAAGTTGAAAAGAAGAATGTTGGGTATTATGAACAATTATTTGCTTCAAATATTGAAAAGAAGAAGCCTGAAGCTTCAGAAAAGATATTAGAAGAAGCTTCTTTAATTGGCAACATTTCTGAGGCATTTAAACAGCCTAAATTGGATTCAACACCTTTGGATATTGAAAAAAAGAATGTTGGGTATTACGAAGCATCAGTTGTTCAAGAGAGTCAATTTAAGGAAAAAGAACTTAAATTTGAACAAGAAATTCAAACAAAAAATTATGAAGAATTTAGTTTTGGAAGAAGAGAAAAGATAGAGGAAGAAAAGAAGAAACCTTTGGAATACCAAGGAAGAGAAGAACATCCTGCCAAATCATCTCCAGCATTTTTGGAGGAGGAAGAAAAATCTTTGGCACATCCAGGACTTTGTTTAGGTGATTTTATTGGAGGGAAGAAAGAAATGGGGAAGAAGAAAAAAGTAAAGAAAGGGAAAGGAAGAAGAGAAGAAGAAAAAGGATTGGAAGAAGAAAAAGGATTGAAGGAATTGCAACAGAAAAAGCCTGAGAAGAAAATTGAACAACAACTAGTTTTAGAGAGTAAAGGAAAGCAAGAAACCGGAAAGGTTAGAGAAAGCTCGAAGGATTCTATAAAGGAAGAAAGCTCTGAGAGAAGAGAAGTTAAAGAAAAGAGGGAAGAAGAGGAGCTAACTAAACAGATCACAGTATCTGAAAGACTTGCTTCATTTATTGAGCCTATTGAGCCTTCCAAAGAAGATGAAGTCGTAAAGATGACTGAAGAAGCTTCTTCTTATGAAACAACTAAACAAACAGACACGGATCTTTTGCCTCCTACTACACCCTTCAAGGAGGAAGAGAAGAAGATTGAAGAAAAAGAAGGCTTTTTATCATTTGAAGGAAGAGTATTGGATGAAGAAAGGAAGGAAAAAGAAGAGGAGAAATTGAAGAAGCCTGAATCTGTTGACTTGAAAGAAGAACCTTCCAAACCTATTTTAGAGATGGAGGTGATTAGAGAAATTGAAAAGGTTGAGGAAGGGTCTTTTCCGGAAGGAATAATAGAAGTGGTAGAAGGAGAACAAGAGAAAAAGGAAGATTTTGAGGAAGAAGAAGGAGAAAAGTCAAAAGAAAGTTTTCCTAATTTAGAGGTAGAACAGAAGAAGGAAGAATTTATTCTCTCAAAAGTTGAAGAAAAGAGTGATTTTGTGGAAGAAATAAATTATGAAAGAAGAAATGAAGATTTTAAGTCTAGTTTGGAGCAGGAAGTGATTAAAGACTTGGGCAAAGAAACAGACTTCTTTTTAACTGGGATAAGGGAGAAAGAGAAGGATGATAGTCTACCTAAAATACTTTTAGAGAATGAAGTAAATATTTTTAATATTTTCCGGAAAATACAAAAAGTAAATATTTCAAAGTAAACTGTATTTTATGGAAGATAAAAATACATATGTATTTTCCGGAGGCATATATTCTTTTTTCCGGAAGCTGTTTTCCACTGTATTTTATCTAAAAATACATTTTATGTATTTTCCGGAAACAATTATACCTACTTTTATATTTCCGGAAGCTATTTTCTACTGAGTAAAATACATAAATGTATTTCTTTTTAAGATGATTGACGGAAAAGTCAAAGATGAAGAGAAACCAGTAAAATCAGAGTCAATTGCCAAAGGTCTAGGATCTATTCTAACACACGAAAAAACAACAGAAACTCAACTCATTGAAGAATTAATTCCTTCTTCAAGTCAAATTAAAGAAGAAAAAGAAGAAAATAAATTGGAAGAATTAACAACAATTTTTGATCAACAACAACCAAGTACTTCTACAATAACAACAACGAAACAACATTTAGAGCCAGATTATGATATTGAAGCTGCAGCAGAAATGTTTGCTGCAGCCTTTCCTAATAGAGAACCTAAAGATGTTTTGAGAGAACATGGAATTACTGACTTAGAGTTGGTTTTGGATGAGGAATCTGAGGAGGAAGAATATGAAATTGAATGTAAAAATTATAAAGAATTTTTAGGAGTCCTTTTGGACTAAGTTCTTAATTAATACCTCTTAAAATTAACACTGAACATCAACTAGATCAATTTCCGGAAACAACAGAACTTTCCGGAAAATATGGGCGCAAGAACATAACTTGCTTCAGGATTTCCGAATCCTACCAAATTTAGTTTAAACGATTCTATCGAGCTTTTCTTAATAGAGAACGCTAAAGATGTTTTGAGACCAAAGTTGATAAGGGCCAGAAATTTTCCAGCAAGTTATGGCCTTGCGCCGTTATGGCAGCGCGCCTACTTGGGCTGTACCCAGATGGAATGTATGAAGATCGAAGGGTTACTAAGGAAAGGAATACGTACTACAGAAATGATCCTGAGAATATAAAATAGGAAATAACATATTAAATAGGGATGATGTAAAAGAAATGACTCCAATTGCTTTTACGCATTCATAACTTGATGTTCATTATAACTATAGTTTTGTGTTTTACATAAAATACAAATTAGTATGTTTCCTTTCCGGAAAGCTTTTTTCAGGTTTTCGATCTTGTGGCTTGAGACATTTTTAAGAAATCAAACAATTAAAAAAATTTATTTTTAAGCTCTACCTGGCAGCATAATTTATCCAGATGGAGAAACACCAGAATCTCCTGTGCCCGATGATCCTCGACAAGGCGATAGAGTATCCAGATCATCACAAGAATTGGATGACAGATCGCGTTGGAGGCGTGTTTTGCGGACTGCTTTGCCTTTACAAGTAAATTGAGTTGAATAGTTTCCGGAAAATACAAATACTATGATAATTGTATTTTAGATGAAATACAATTTCCGAAAGTTTAGTGTTTTTCAGAAACAATTGAGAAAATACTTACTTCCGGAAAATATACCTAAATTGTTTCTGTAAAGTATATTAGTATTTCTCCTTGTGTTTTCCGGAAATAGAAGTCTTCCGGAAACTATACATTTTCCTTTCCTCTGTATTTTCCGGAAAATATGTATATTCGTATTTTTTAAATTCTTTTTCCGGAAATAGACACAGAAAATAAGTTTTCCGGAAAATGTCTTCCCATAACGACTCAACAATAAGTTTTCCGGAAAATAGACACAAAAATAGGTTTTCCGGAAAATAGACATTTTCCTTAATTCTATGCATTTTCCGGAAATTTGTCACCTATAAAATTATAACTCTAAAAATACAGGCAATGCTAGTCTTACTTTTGGGAGCAGCGTGTCTCGTTCCTCACTGCGATGATGACTATTGCTGCCATTTATTAAACAATTTTGCTAGGAGTTTTGAACCACAACTTGATTTTACAAACGGGCCGCCACCTTTTTAACTCGCCATTTTTTTAAAGAAAGAAAAAAATATTTTTATTACTTATATTGTTGCATTTTTTTGTCTCCCGGTTAAACACCCATTTAATTCATATCATAATAATGCTGCCCTCTCAGAACGATTCAACTCTTTAGAAAAAATACAAAAATGAAGGCATTCATGTTTTCAAGTAGGAAAAAAACTTTTTTGTTATTAGAGTTGAATTAAAAAAATCATTTCCAACCATCTCATCATTTTTCTCAAAATTAAACTCAAAATATTTATTTTTTGTTTCAACGATAAGATTTTTAAAAATATATATTTCTAAAAAATATTATATTTTATAAATATTTTTAAAACAATATTTGTTTATTTTACGATAAAAATTGCTGTTTAAATTAATAAAAAAATTTATTTTCTATGAATGGGGTTCGAACTCTCGTCCCTCTTTAGTGGAAGCCTAAAATTTTCCCACTACACCAAACTTGACGACGCTTGAAAAACTTTCTAAAGCAATACAAAGCTATTTAATGAAAGGTTAATCGCCTTGAATTTAATCAAAATCCAAAAAAAAAATTTTTTACAAGAATTTTACAAGAACATTTTTACATACAGTCGTGGAAAAAAGTATGGAAGCGCTAGAAAATTTTTTCTTAATTTTTAATTTTTCATTCAAAAAATACGTTCTATATACCAATCGAAAGCTCTATTCGTATCTCAGTTGACATGTTTCTGCATTTTTCATGAAAATGAAAATTGGCCGAGATAATCCGGATCTACCGGATATACCAAATCCCACTTTTTCGGAAAAATTTTTCGGAACAAATTTATCAAACCCAAATGATAAAGTATATTTTTGTGAGCATTTTCCACAAAACCGCTTAAAAATATCTTTGTCCGGTCCAGAGATATGATTTTTTGAAAATCGCATTTTTCGTCAATTTTTGCAAAAATTTCAATTTTTAAGGGAAAAATGCGATTTTCAAAAAATCATATCTCTGGACCGGACAAAGATATTTTTAAGCGGTTTTGTGGAAAATGCTCACAAAAATATACTTTATCATTTGGGTTTGATAAATTTGTTCCGAAAAATTTTTCCGAAAAAGTGGGATTTGGTATATCCGGTAGATCCGGATTATCTCGGCCAATTTTCATTTTCATGAAAAATGCAGAAACATGTCAACTGAGATACGAATAGAGCTTTCGATTGGTATATAGAACGTATTTTTTGAATGAAAAATTAAAAATTAAGAAAAAATTTTCTAGCGCTTCCATACTTTTTTCCACGACTGTACAAACAAGCAAAAATAAACATAACATATGACAAACATAAGCAAACAATAATCACATATATAATCATTACACATCTATCAACAATTAGCCTCAACCACAGAGCATTTCCCTAACTACTCGAAGATGAACTACTGCTGATGCTTAATGATGAAAAACTCAGGCTTGCACAGGCATGTAGACATCCAAGACAACATAACGCGCATGGTCCGTGTTGTTGTTGCTGTTTGACAGGTTTCATAGGCTTATTCTCCACATAAACGCCCCCACCACCACCACTATCAACCTGCTGCCATCCAACAGACGCTCCGGGAGCCACTCCAGCCGGCGGGGGAGGATACACGCCTCCTTGCATTCCCATGTTGTTCTGAGCCATCATTCTTTTCCTTGCCTTCTTTTCTTGTTTCTTCTGCTTCTTTCTTAATTTCTTCTAAAAAGAAAGAAAATTTTTTTTAAAGATTTTAAGAAAAATTTTTTTGAAAACCACACCTCTCTCTTCCTCATCTTCTTGGAACAATGCACAAGCAAAGGAACGTGTAGCAGGAAACCCATCCATGTTATAAAGAACAGCAGCAACATAATTATTGACCAAACTTTTATTTTGTGGGCGGATTGATGGAGTGATGATATGGGAGAGAAATTAAAAATCCTTTTATACCCAAAAAACAGGGATTACGAGGACGAATATCTCAAGTTTCGAGACGAGATTAGAGTTATTAACTTTGCAGTTTCATTGAAATTGCTTATGTTTGAAGAGCTGGCCAGTTAAAATACCTACCAGGAAGGGATTTAAGATCTAATAGAAGATAGTCTGTACCAATGCTGCATATTTGGCGCCGGAGACGGCCGGAGCCAAGAATTTGAAAACCCCGGAGCCTGAGCCAACAAATGCCCAAAACACAGCACTGGCCTGTACGTGGTAAACGTAATCTCTAACTTACAGAAAGTCGCACGATCGATGCTTGCCCGGGGCTAAACTTCTACTTTTGAGAGAGGCAGATTGGGTGATTGTTAAGAGATCGAATCACAGGACGTTTTCTATAAAAAAGGACGGGGAATCCATAAAGTTGATTAAATTCCTTTAAACTCATTATTAATTTACTCAAAATTTTGAAAAAAAAATCCAAAAAAAATTCTACATAAAATCTCCCATTTTAATCCCCAACTTTTCTTTTTTTAGTTATCGGTCTTTCAAAAATAGGTTTCATCCCAGCTGCATGTTTAGTTACAAATTTAGCACTTAAAGGTGTTGGTGTTGCCCAAACGCCTTGATGGTCAGTTGTATCTTCTAAAAATTTGGGAAAAAATTAAAAGAAGAATAAGGACATAAAATGATAGATTTTTAAGGTTGATGTGAGGGAGATTTTAAAAATAAAATTGCTGAGTGACTTAAATAAATAAATTTTTTGCAAAATATTTTGCAAAAATATTTTGTCACAAAAACATTTGTCCGCTAAAATAATCCGCAAGTTTTGTCCGCAAAAAAATTATGTCCGCAAAGTTGCAAAAATTTGCGGACTCTTTCTAAATGGTTTTTAAAAACCTTTGGATCTTAAGAATATCCTTTTAATGATTTTAGATATAACCCTTTTCATCAAAAAAATTCAAGATTAAATTGACATCTCCAAAAAACAAGACTTTTCCCCCATTTTTGTTCAACAATAATTAAAATTTAAAACAAACCTGCAGTTAAATGTGTCCATTTTGTGCGACTTGCTTTTCCAAAGTTTTTAACCTTAAAAAAATAATTTTTAAAAATTAAAAATTTTCTTAAAATTTAACTCCAAACCTGCATAACTTTAGGCAAAACAGATTTATCAAAAACATCTTCCCCCGTTGCTTCAGCAAAATTTCTTTTAAGAACATCATCTTCTTTATCGAGAAAGAAAACTCCTCTGTGATAGTATTTTTGTAAAAATTTGTATTTTCCTTTGCGTTGTTCGTTTGTTATGACCTTTAAATTTTTTTTTTCAAAATTAAAAAACCTTTCAAAAAACCTTTGGATGTAATCTCATATATTCACGCCTTTCTTCTTCTGTCATACCATGAATTCGATCCATTTCTTCCTTCTCACGAGCTAATCTGAAAAAAAAAGGTTAAAAATCTAACCAGCTCTTCTAATAAAGTCAGAGGAAGTCAAAGTCGCTTATAATGGGAAATCCGTTAAATAGAGGTATCCGTTAGATAGAGGTTCAGAAAATTCAGTCTCTTATAACGGAAAGTTCGTTAAATAGAGGTATTCGTTAGATAGAGGTCCAAAAAGTCAGTCGCTTATAACAGAAAATCCGTTAAATATAGGGGGGGGGGGAATCCGTTACATGGAAGTTCAGAAAATTCAGTCTCTTATAACGAAAAATTCATCAGATAGAAGGTATCCGTTATATAAAGGTTTTATTCTAAAAAAAAACTAACGCTTCTCTTTCGTCCCGATTTCTTCTCAATCTTTTCATTTCTCGTACTTTCCACATTTCATAAGCTATTTGTTCACTTTCATCGTCAGTATCTATTGCTGCCAAATCCAATTTTGCAGCACTTTCTTCTTTTTTTACTTTTTCAATTTCTGCTTCATGTTTCATTTGCTCCTCAACCATTTTGATTGTTTGACGACGTTTTTCTTCAACTTGTAATTTTCTTAATTTTTCTAGGCCTTCTTGCTCCTTGTCTACATCAACGAGAGTTACACGGTCATTCCTTTTGAAAATATAATTTTATAAAAATTTGCGGACAAAAAATTTTTGCGGACAAAAATATATTTGCGGACAAATTTTTAAAAAGTTACGGATAGCACTCTTTTTTGACTATCCAAACAATATTATAATTATAAGCAGAAAATCCACAAAAATATTGTTGTCCGCAAATTTTTTGCGGACTAAAATCTCTTAATATTTTCTTCTTACTTTGGAACAAAGACAGGCTTCAAACGCGGAATCATCTCATCATCACTTTCATCTTCCTCTTCCTCAGAACTCTCCTCTTCACTTTCTTCCTCACTGACTTCTTCAGTTTCTTTCTGACGAGCCAAAAGTTCCTTAACGCAAAAATAATTCACATCTCTCCCATTTTAGACCCTCAAACCTGTTCTTCTTGCCGACGACGTCTCATTCGAATAAGCTCACGTCTTCTTTGCATAATTTCCTCATCAGCATATTCATCAGGTTCTTCTTGCTCCACTCTGTTAAGCTCTTCTTCTTCAATTTGTTGACGCCGTTGTAAAGCCCTACGATGACGTTCTTCCAACTCTTCATCCTCTGAAGCAGATTCGGGTTCAACTGCATCTTCTTCTTCCAATCCGAGTTCGTCCTTCAGTTCCTGTTTGTATTTCTTCTCAATTTCTTCATAGTCGTTGTCTCTACGGCTAAAAATTAAAGTCATTAGGAAGAAGTTTTTAACTAGGTCTGATAAAGTAAAATATAGCCCATTGGACGCGGTTTGCCAAGCAGAGTCGAAGAACGAGTTTGGGTGAATTTTTGAACATAAATTTAATGGAACAAGGTCCGAAGCCCTCTCTTTAAACCCAAGCTTCTCTCTCTTTATGAAGGAGAGGAGGACAAACTCGGATTGGAATAGCTCCAAAGTCCGAAAATTTTTACACCTATAACTTTTCGAAATGGAGGTCAGGGCCGAAAAAGCCAAAAATTGGCAATAAGAAATCGACCCCGTTCTACCCGTTGGTGTATGTTTCATCGCAAAATTTTTAGTGGTAGTTCGATCCTTGTTAGCCACCTTAAAATACCTAAAAATAATTTTAAACCTTCTATGTCTATCACTGTCACGATGATCACTTCTCCTGCTATAATGGCGACTGCTATCACTCTCTCGGTGTCTATAACGGTCACGTTCATCTCTTTGATTGTCCTCATGTTTTTCTTCTTGTTCTGCATTGTCTTCGTCAGAATCCACATCACGAGCGAATTCTGGACTAAAATTTTTAAAAAATACATTGAAAATTAAAAATTAACTTGGGACTGTAAAAATGCCTAATTTCCATTGAAATAAAAAAATATTCCACCGGCGGGGTTCGAACCCACAACCCCTTTTAGTAAAAATTATCCAACTACACCATGAAACCCAACCTTGAAGATAGTCCTAAAATTAAAATTTTACATTTTTCCTGCCATATAACGCTGTACTTTGACCTTCTTCATGACTATTCTTCCTTTGTCATCCTTTACAGGAATTGCACCAGCTGTAGACAATGGGCGAGGCCCCAAGCCTTTAAGATCCATATTCCTTTCAAATTTTGGCACAAATTCTCCCATTTTTAATCTTCTGAAAATTGTAAAAAAAAATAGAAATCTGTCTAACAATAAAAAATAATATCACAATAAAAAGGATAAACACTTGCCGTACTTAACAAAAATATGAAAAGCTGGAACTCAACAAAGGGTTCAGACTCTAAGGTACCGTTTCCGTCATTTAATCGCAACGTTAGAGTCTTGAGTTCCACCGTTCAATAAACTAATTCAGTAGTGGCGATTAAATGGGTAATTTAGACGTCGATTGAAAGGACTGCATGACATATAAAAAGGGCAATCTTTTAACTTTTTGTTTATTTTGGCATTTGATTTTGTTTTATTTGTCGATTGTGTCCTTAACGGGTTGCTTCCTTTTACCTATTTCAATTCCTTCTAGTATTGATTTTTTCATTATTGGTTATGGTTTTTAATTGATTTTTTCTTTTTTAGACATTTAAAAATTCTTTTAAATTAAACTTAAAAATGAATGGAAACGGATGTAATGGTTCGGGCATTAATGGTTCAGGCATTTCTCCTACGTTTGTTTTTCTTTTATTTTATTCAAAATTCCTAAACGTTTTAGTCCATTGACCGAGTTGTCAAGTCTTGAAGTGGCGGATATTCTTCAGACAAAGTACAATCTCAAAATTGGAGGGAAGGCCTTCGCATTCGCTCTTGACTCTCTTCCGTATTGTGAGGATGATCCGGTGCTCGTTATAGACTACCTGCGTATGGATCAGGCTCGGAAAGCAACCATCGTGAACTTTTTGGTTTGTTTGTTAAAAATAATAAGGGAGGAAATCTTATTGAACATTTTTTGATAGGAATCCATGGGATCGATTAAAAAAGGGTTATGGGTTCTAATGGTTCGTAAGCACTCTTCCGATCTGTTCCTTTATATTCTTTTCGAATTTTTTGAAGAAAGTAATTTTTTGAAACCCCAAAACTGACAAAAGGGTTTTAGACTTAGTTTTCGAAATCATTTCCTTATTTTCAGAAGGATAATGGTGGTCAGGCTGTTGGGACTTCGGGCCATGCATTTCGATTCGTGGATTCGGATGCTCTTTGGGGTGCTAAAGATGTGTTGCGTCGCGCTCATCCAGAGGTTTTCTATAGTGTGACTGGTGTTTGGGATGCAAATGGACAGCAAGTTAATTTGTCTCCAATTGTGACTGCTAAGACCGTTCGTATCAAAACATGCACTGACAAGACTTGGGTTTTGTTGGAGGATCCTCAATTCTTTGAGTATTGATTTAATTATAATGTATGACACAAATCTCGTTTTTGTTAAATAAATTTTGATATTTATAAATAAATTATTCCATTTTGGTTCGTTTTTTGTCGAAAGGTTAGCAAAACCTCTAATGAATTCTTTTTTAATCGTCTAATTTCTGTTGTCCACGTTTGTAGATAATATATAGTGAATTTTTGTGAGATGAAATCCAAAACAGTTTCAGCTAGCACTTATTTTTTGAAGACATTTTCTTTGCCAAACATTTTCCTCCACATAAATTCAGTAAATACAAACACATTTTTAAAAATGAACAGCGATGCTACTGATGGTTCTAATATTCCCTCAAAGTTTGCTTTTCTTTTGATAAAAATTCCCAAATTTTTTAGTTCTCCTTTAACTAGTCTCGAAGTTGCAAAAAAAGTTGGATTAGGGAATAGATTTGCTTTTACTCTTGATTGTTTGCCATTTTCTGAAGATGGTCCAATTGTGGTGTTGGTTATTGATTTTCTGCAAATGGCTCAAGACCAAAGGAAAATTGTTCTTGAATTTTTGGTCAGTTTAATATAATTTCCTCTGATTTGATTTGTCCCTTTATCTTTTGTTTTCTGAATTTAATCCTTATTTGTAGAAGGCTAATGGTGGAGAACTTTTAGACACGCCTGGTTACGCCATTAAATTTGAGGATTGGTACGTACTTATGGATGTTCAAGGCAAGCTGCGTCGCACTCATCCTAGAGCTTTCTACTCTGAAGATGGCGGTATTGCAATTAATGGTGAGGCGCTTACACGAAGTCCTACCGCTAAGAGTGTATTCATTGAATTTACCACTCCAAAAGGATTTACTACGTATGAAGAGCCGAAATTCTTTGAGTTTTAAATTAATTATAAGGTGGCAAGAACCTCATTTTTATTTATTAAAATTTTGTAATATTTGTAAATAAATTTTTTGCATGCCTCTGTTTATTTTTTTCCAAAAGGTTTGCAAAACCTTTAAAGTATTTTTAATCTTATTTAATTTTTATTGACTACGTTTGAAAAAAATCCCTTGCTTTTTATAAAAAGTCCGCAAAAAATTTTTGCGCAAAAGTAATCCGCAAAAAAATTTTGTCCGCAAAATCGCAAAAATTTTGAATTTTTTCTAATTGATCTCTAAAAACCTTGGATATCCTTTTAACATTTAACTTATAATTCTTTTTATTACTGATTTTCTTTTCATTATTAGTGTCTGGTTTTTAATTGATTTTAAGTTTTTTAGCCATTTAAATTTCAAAAATAAAACAAAAAATGAACAACAATTCTAATGATCCGAGCACTTCTTCATCGTTTGTTTTCTTTTATTTTGTTAAAAACTCCCAAAATTTTTTTAGTTCTTTTACTAGTTTGGAGGTTGCAAAAAAACTGGGACTTGGCAATTCATTTGCGTTTGCCCTTGACTGTTTGCCTTCCCAAGAAGAAGAAACCAGTCCAATTTTGGTAATCGACTTTCTCCAAATGGATGCTGGTCAGAAGGAGATGGTTGTCAATTTTTTGGTTGGTTTGATAAAAATAATGAGGGAGGAAATCTTTTGAAATGTTTTTTTGATAGGGATCCGCGGGTGCGATTAAAAAAGGGTCATGGGTTCTAATGGTTCGTAAATCTTCCGATCTGTACCTTTATATTTTTTTCGAAGTTTATCAAGAAAGTATTCCTTTGAAATCCCAAAACTGACAAAAGGGTTTTAGACTTAGTTTTCGAAATCATTTCCTTATTTTCAGAAGGATAATGGTGGTCAGGCTGTTGGGACTTCGGGCCATGCATTTCGATTCGTGGATTCGGATGCTCTTTGGGAGGCTAAACATAAGTTGCGTCGCGCTCATCCAGAGGTTTTCTACCGTGTGACCGGTCCGACTGGTGTTTGGGACAGGGATGTCACGGGTTACCCGAAACCCGATACCCGAAACCCGAAACCCGGCCTTTTTTTCGACCCGATACCCGAAACCCGATCCGAGAAATTTTCTAAAACCCGACCCGAAACCCGACCCGAGAATTTTTATTTTTCAAAACCCGACCCGAAACCCGACCCGAGTTTTCTCAAAATTTTCGCCCGCGTCGCAGAAAAATAGAAGATTTTTAGCTTAATGATCTTCCAAAATTCTGAAAATTTTCGCCTGCGGCGCTGAAAAAAGAAGAAATCTGGCTTCGGACCTTCAAGAATTCTCAAAATTTTCGCCTGCGGCGCCGAGAAGGGAAGATTTTTGGCTTTTTGGCCTTCCAAAATTCTCAAAATTTTGGCTTTTTTCGACCCGAAACCCGAAACCCGATCCGAAGAAAATTTTGAATACCCGATCCGAAACCCGACCCGACTTTTTGCTCAACCCGAAACCCGATCCGAGAAAAATTTTGGAAACCCGACCCGAAACCCGACCCGACATTTTTCTCAACCCGTGACATCCCTGGTTTGGGATGAGAATGGCCGTGCAATTTATTTTTCTCAAATTGTGACCGCTAAGACCGTCGTCATCAAAACGGTCACTGAAAAGTCTTGGCTTTTGAAAGAGAACCCTCAATTCTTTGAGTATTGATTTAGTGACAAAAATCTCGTTTTTGTTAAATAATTTTGATTATTTATAAAATTAAGACAATCCTCAATTTATTAAAAAAAATTTTTTTGATATTGAAATAAATTTTTATTTTAGTTTGTTTTTTCTGTCGAAAGGTTAGAAAAAACCTTATTCTTTTTTCTTTTACTCAATTTCTTTTAATTACGTTTGCTGAAAAAAAATATGTATATTTGCCCTAATATATTTGTCTTTGAATACCTCCCCATCACCAAACGTTTTCCTTCACATAAAATCATAAAACACGGAGCTCACATTCTGGCGAGGACTCATTTGTTTCATTATTGCAAACTAGAGCCCGGACCGATACGATTTTTTATCGATAATTATCGATATTTTTCGATATTTTTTTTCGATATTTATCGAAAAAATATCGACCGAGAAAATTTTGACTTTTTCGATATTTTTCGGTATTCGATATTTTTCGATATTTATCGAAAAAATATCGATCGAAAAAATTTAAAAATCGAAACAATCGACCGACTAAATGATAAAATATCGAAAAAAATATCGAACGTCATTTTTGTCAAAAATTTTAATTTTTGGCGCCAAAAAGGACAAAAATGGATGAAATCTAGCTTCTAGGTCTTCCAAAATTTTTAAAATTTTCGCCTGCGGCGCTGAAAATGGAAGAAATCATGTAGCCTGGTCCTCCAAAATTCTCAAAATTTTCGCCTTCGGCGCAGAGAAAGGAAGATTTCTGGCTTCTTGTTCTTTGGATCAATAATTAAAATAATTTTTGATTATGACACTGTAAATGGAAGAATATTGCCAACTCAATTAAGGGGGATTTCGATGGGTGAAAGTGATTTGAAATAATTTTCAGAGATTTGGGATATGAGTGATATTCAAGGATTTGGGTCACTGTCCCCATCCAGGTGGCGAAAACCACCGCAACCACCGTCAGCGTGAAAACAGCCACATGACCGTAGATGTTGAACCATAATTTGTAGGAATATCTCCAACTTCCAAGATATCCACTTTATCCCTCTTAATCCACCAAAATCCCATGATATCCCTCCTACCCCCAACTCCACAATATCCTTCTTATTCCCTCTAAATCTCTCGATATGTTATACATCATAAACTCCAATATCCCCTTAAAATTTATCTCTATACATGTCTACTGATATACCTCTATATCTACTAATATCCTCTCAATCCCCCGTAATTGAGTTGGCAATATCACATACAAGACCCCTGATATCAATATCTTATATAATCAATCTTAATATCAAAATTTTAACATTTAAAATTTTTTTAATTTTTTTTTGGAAAAATCGAAAAATATCGAGACTTTTTTTTCGATATTTTTCGGTTTCGATATTTTTCGATATTTATCGAAAAAATATCGACCGAGAAAATTTTGGTTTTTTCGATATTTTTCGATATTCGGTATTTTTCGGTATTTATCGAAAATTTATCGACCGAGCCCTCCGTCCGGGCTCTATTGCAAACCTCATTTGTGGTTCTAGACTTTAATTGTTCACTTTTAATTTTCTACTTGTAATTTCTTTTTTCTCTCATTTTCAATCAACAAATAGGGCAAAACTTGAACAGACCTGAAATTATCACAGAAATTTTATTTACTTGAGCAGACTGCTGGAAAATTTGCGTGCTTACAGTGATGATTTTCGGGTCAAGATTTACTTCCTAGATCAAGAGTTTGAGTCAATAAATCATTTGCTTTCCTTCTCCTTAAGACTTTATATCTGATACATTTACCCCCCCCCCCCCCCCCCCCCCCCCCCGAACAAATCAAAGAAATCAAAGTATTGCCAGACATTTGGGGATGGGGGAATATTGGCAAACGTGTATTTAAAAATCTCTATTTTACGTTTATATTTCTAGTCAATTTAAAGTAATTTTTAGATAAAAAAACAAGGAAAATGACTATTCATTCAAGCAAAAAAGTTGCATATTACTACGACGGTTATTAATTAAAATTAAACGATTTAGCTCTTATATTTTTAGGTGATGTCGGTAATTATTATTATGGCCAGGGACATCCAATGAAACCTCATCGGATACGTATGACTCACAATTTGTTATTAAACTATGGACTTTATAGAAAAATGGAAGTTTATGTAAGCTTTTTTAAGAGAAGATAAATCGATGAAAAATTTCAATTTTTAGAGACCTCAACCTTCTAGCCTAGAAGAAATGACAAAATATCATAGTGATGATTATATGCTTTTCTTAAAGGTTTGGACTTTAAAAAGAGCTATTTAAATCCTTTCTTATTTAGAATATTAAACCAGACAATATTGGTGACTATAGTCGTCAAATGCAGCGATTCAATGTTGGGGATGATTGCCCCGTGTTTGATGGACTTTTTGAGTTTTGTCAAATTTCGAGCGGTGGATCAATAGGTTGGAAAAGTTCTTTACTTTGTTGTTAGTTGGAGTTTCTAGACTTGTGGGCTTTTCAAGTTTCTTAAGAAAATTTTGGTTCGGGTCGTCCCATTTATGGCTTAAGTTTCTGGCATCAGCCGTTAGCACGGTGACGGTCCCACGGTTATTACCCCCCCTCCCCCCCCCCCCCCCCCCACAAATTCCATACTAGGAACTCAGTAGCCTCATTCGATAAAGTTTAACAATAAGACTAATAACGCTATATCTGTTTTAGCTGCTGCAACAAAAATTAACCGTCAGCATGTGGATATGGCAATCAATTGGATGGGTGGTTTGCACCATGCAAAGAAATCTGAAGCTTCAGGCTTTTGTTATACAAACGATATTGTGCTTGCTATACTTGAATTGCTGAAGTACCATCAAAGAGTTTTGTACGTCGATATTGATATACACCATGGAGATGGAGTTGAAGAAGCTTTTTATACGACAGACAGGGTTATGACGGTTAGTTTTTGATTTTGTGTCTTTTCTGACTTACCCATTTTGGAAAATCCCCAAATACTGCCAAAAACATCCACAAATGAGCACTCCTAAAAATTTTTTGTTCTCAGGTTTCCTTCCACAAATATGGAGAATATTTTCCTGGAACTGGAGATTTGAAAGACATTGGAGCTGAAAAAGGTCGCTATTATGCAGTCAATTTTCCACTTCGTGATGGAATTGATGATGATACTTATGAACGAATATTTCAGCCAGTAATGGAGAAGATAATTTGTGCTTACCAACCTTCTGTTATTGTATTGCAATGTGGAGCAGATTCTTTGACTGGAGATCGGTTGGGGTGTTTTAATTTAACTTTGAAAGGTTAGTTTTGAAGTTAATGGGATTTGTATCTGAATTGGGTTGATGGGAGGGAGGTGGGATAAATTCTATAAATGGGATTGGGTATACAAATAGCGATCAGATGTAGCAACGGATCCTATAATCGATACCTGAAACTGAGGGAGCGCTTGCCGGGAAGAAACAATATTTTGGAAACGAGGCTAGGACTAAAGGAGGCAACAACCTTAAGAGCCCAAACATCCTTATCGTGAATCATACTGGCAGCAAATAAATTCTTGGCCCAAAATCTGTCGGGAGTTCTTGATTTTCGGGAAGGTAGGCGGCACCATCTTTGTCCCCATCTTCCGATTTTTCCATCTTTTTTCATCTCCCACTCAAGGAATAACGATAAGACCTAAAAACTTTTTTAGGTCATGGAATGTGTTTAGAATTCCTCAAAAAATTCAATCTTCCAATGCTACTTTTGGGTGGTGGTGGTTACACAATTAGAAATGTTGCTAGATGTTGGACTTTTGAGACGTCAGTAGCTTTAAATGTTGATATTGCAAATGGTTGGGAAATTTTATTTTTACAAATTAATTTTTCCAATTTAGAACTTCCATATAATGATTATTTTGAATATTATGGTCCAGATTTTAAATTGCACATACCTCCTTCAAATATGACAAACCATAATACAGTTGAATACCTCGATAAAGTCAAGTTTGTAAAAATATTTTTTCAATTGAAAAATTGGGGAAATTAATTTTAATTTTTAGGGAGAAGATTTTTGAATCTCTTCGGCAAATTCCACATGCTCCCGGAGTTCAGATTGGAGGTTTTTTTAACTTTTTCGTGAAGATAATTATAAATATTGCTTTAATAGCCGTTGGGCCTGATGCAATGAATTTGGATGATGTTGAAGGAGCCCAAATGGATGAGGCAAGTCCTGACGAGCGACTGCCAAGTATTTTATTTTTACATTAGAAAATATCTTTTTCTTCCAAAAATTTATTTTTTAAAACGGATTTATCCTTGTTTAAATATATCAAACTAGCAATTATTCCAACATCTCACTTTCTCTCTCGTGGACAAGGTGAAAGTTTCTTCGATTATTTCCTTTAATGGGGGAAATGGTTGTTTGTTTAGGACCACTGAAAAAACCCTGGACTGAGTTCATGTTCTTAAAAGGGTTCAAACTAGCAATTATTCCAACCCTCACTCTCGTAGATGAGGGGAAACTGGAAAAGCGCCTAGACTGAGTCCATGTTCTGAAAAGGTTAAGGATTGGAGACTGAAAAAGGAGGGAATCATCGAGCAAAAATCTAACTTTTTTCATGCCCAACATTTTTCTACCCAATTCTAAAAAGAAATTTTCTTTTTAATTTCAGGAGCATTGAGCGATAAAATGGTAGAAAAAGAAGGTGAATTATATGAAGGTGAAAGAGAAGGGGGTGATATTAGAAATATTGGTGGTTCGAATAAAAGAGGAGCGACAGCAACAACATCACCAGATACAACAATGGCAAGTTGTGAATTAATCAAAAAGAGTCGAATTGATGGGGAAATAAAAAATGGAGGGGATGAGGAACCAACAGAATCTATGGAATCTTGAAAGTTTTTTTTTAATTTAATTAACAGTCTTTTTGGTAATAATTACGTTTGTGACCCTTATTTTTCGGGTTTCTTTCTTTTGGAAGAACTTTTCCTACAAGACTACCTAATGGATGTAAGTTAATTCAGGGGCACTAGGTCCTCGCCAGGGATGACATTAAGTCCTCACTCCAGGTATGATCTTTTTTTTAATTTCGTTTTTATGCGAAACGAAATTTTGATCGATCTAAGTTCCACCAGGAATGGACGAGGTTAAGAAAAGGTGGACCGGGTATCGGTTTTGCAAAAACTTCGAATAACCCGACCCTTCTCTGGTCTCTACCCTCAAAAATAATCTGTAAACCAAAAGAAGGAAAGAGCTTGAAAAAGGAGGGCACCGAACGTAATTATGTATATTTGTTTTTACTCAATTTTTAAGATGATTTTTGGGATCTAAAATTATTTTTTCTATTTATTTTCTGGTATTATTTAAAAAATTTTTAAATTAATGGGAAAAAATGTCTGAAAACGAAGAAAATTTTTTTTTCGATTTTTATGGTAAAAATAGATTAAAAGGCATTATTTTATTTTGATCTCCATTTATCTTCGCTATTTTGATAATTATTATTCTGCTAAAAATGAAAGGGATTGGGCTTGTTTTTAGGCTCAGATATGTATCTTTTATTTCCTCTTCTAAAAATTCGGTTTTATTCCTAATTCTAAACAAAAATTTGGGCTGCCTCAGAAAAATTTCAGATCAGCCAACTTTGGAGGCCCGCAACCTTACAAGGAAAGGTTGCGAGGTGTCCGACTTAAAAACGGTCGAAGCCGGGCTCATTCGATAGAGAATGTGCCCTTTCTAGCAAGGATTTTGAGCCGTTTTTGCCCGTTTTTTGATCTGGCAAGATATGGCCTTCCAGATTCCCGAAATTCGGCACAAAATCCTTGCTAGAAATGGCACATTCGCTTTCGAACGAGCCTTGTCTCGACCGTTTTTAGGTCGGACACCTCGCAGCCTTCGATTTCCGTAAATTTGGGATTCGCAAATTTCTGGTCTGCAAAGTTCGCCCCACGAATTTTTCTATTAAATTTTATTAAAAGAATAATCTGACCTGGAAAAACAAACTCAATCCTCTTTAATTACTACTACTAAATGTTACACATTTCCTCTTTTTTTCTTCCATTTTTTTATTTTAAACAAATTTTTTTCTTGTAAATTAATTTTGAAAAAAACGAATTTGTTTAATTCAATTTTTTTATTTGTTATTTTCAAAAAAAATTTATTTTTTAATTTATTTAATTTAAATTTTATTCTTTTCTTTTTCTAGAAAAGTTTTCAATTTGTTTTAAAAAAGGAGTAAATTGTCGAAAATGAACACCAAAAGTGGAGCTGCTAAAAAAGAACAATTTTATGTTCGTTACTATGTTGGACATAAAGGAAAGGTTTGTGAAATTTTTAAATTAAACTTCTTGCCAATATTGTAGGATTAGTAACGGTTTACTTTTTCTCTTTTTATTGAAAAATCCTAAGGTGGGGTCGAACCGACGCTTTGTTTGAGGGTTAGGTATTTGAAGCTCTTGGTATTATAAGACGTTCCGGATTAAACCAGTAGGGCCAATTATTTTATACCTCAAACAGTTCCGTAAGCTGGAATTTGATAGGGGCATAAAAGCGACTTATGGCATTGTGTATTAGTTGATTTAATTAACAGCGAATATATTGGGTCGGCTCCAACCGTTGAACTTTATACTGCAAAAAAAGGCAAAAATTAAGGAAATGTGTTTGATTTCCCTATAATCTTGTCAATATTTAAACTAAAATTTGTTAGGGATCTAAAAATTTATTTTTAATTATTTTAAGTTTGGTCACGAATTTTTGGAATTTGAATTTCGACCAGATGGCAAATTGCGTTATGCAAACAATTCAAATTACAAAAATGATACGCTTATCCGTAAAGAATGTTATGTTGGAAAAGCGGTTATGGAAGAGTTGAAGCGTATTATTGATGACTCTGAAATTATGAATGTAAGAAGATTTTAATTCGTCGCACGGTTTTTTTAAACGGGGGAGGTGGGAGGGATTTAAGGTTATGGGAATATTTAGGATTATGGGAGATGTGGAGGAGATGCCCTCATATCAGGGAAGGTACGAATTACCCGACCAGAATCCCAATCTGAAGAGAATTTTGAAAATCTGGCCCGGACCTCGACTAAACTTCTTTTTCTAGGGTTTGTTTTTATTGGTATTCTTGGTGTGATTTTAAGAGGATACCGACGTCTTTAGAAGAGGAGGACTTCTTTCACTCGTTAATGTTTTACTTTTCCACTGGTAGAACTTCCCTCCTTCCATTTCCTACTAGAAAAAACGCATAATCACCCCCTTTCTTTTCCTTTCTAAAACTCCAAAAAACTTTTAGGAAGACGACGCAAATTGGCCAGAACCGGACCGTGTTGGCCGTCAAGAATTGGAAATTTTAAGCGGGAATGATCACGTTTCTTTTACTACAAGCAAAATTGGTTGCTTAGTTGAAGTTAATGACAGTAAAGATCCAGTTGGTTTGCGTTCATTTTATTATTTGGTTCAGGATCTTAAATGTTTGGTTTTTTCGTTAATTGGACTTCATTTTAAAATTCGTCCAATTGCTCAGTGAAAATTTTTTTTGATTTTTTTAATTGCAAAAAATGGTCTCGAGATGCACCACATAAAGTTACAAAAACAATTTTTTTTAAATTATATTTGAAAATAATTAGGGATTGATGTTTTTTGATTTTTTGGAGAAAGGGGGGATTTTTTGGTTGTTTTAAGAATTTTGGGAGTATAAAGACAAGGTCTCTAATTTTCTTATATAAAATTTCAGTTTTTGCATTGTTAATTATTTTTCAAGTAAATATTTTTTGTGTGTGAAATTATGTTTATGAAACTGGGAAAATCTAGGAAAAATCAATCTTGACAGGAAAATAACCAAAGAAATCGCACAAATCCTCTAGCAGTCTGGCTAATAAAATGTTTTTTGTGATCATTCCCTGACTAAGTTTTTCAATATTTTGTTAGCGGATTATAAACTAGAAAAGGGAAAATGTCAAATGATAAGTAGGAACAAGTCTACAAAAACTAAGGTTTGGAACGATGAACCAATTCTTCAACAAGAATGAGCTTAGAAAACGTTCGTGGACGAGGATTAGGGCTGCATGCAATTGCGGATTGCGTAAATTGCGGGGGTTTTTTCAATTGCGGTCTGATTTCGAAACGTAATTAAAAGAAAAAATAAGAAGGCAGAAGTTTTCTAACCTTTCGACAAAAAAAAACAAAACTAAAATAAAAATTTATTTTAAATATCAAAAATTTTTTTTACAAATGAGATTTTGACATATATTATATGTCATTCAATACTCAAAGAATTGCGGCACCTCTGTCAATGTCCATTTCTTTTCAGTCTCTGGTGTAAGAATTACAGTTGAAGCTGTTTGATTTCGTGAAATCGCCTGTCCATTCATCTGACGACCATTCTCATCGTAGAAAACCTCAGGATGAGCCCGACGCAAACTGAGATTAGCCTCCATAAGAGTTGTCCATTCCAAGAAACCGATAGCATGCCCTCCCGTACCAATTAGATGACCACCATAATTGAGCTAAAAATAAGTATAAGATTTCCAAAAAATATAAAACAATGTTATGCTAGTTTGAGATTTCCCTGATTAATACGAAAAGAAATAAAGGAATTAATCAGGTGTTTATGACCCCTTGGTTTACCATGAAACCTCCGACTGAAACCGATTTCTACAAAATCGAGCCTTGTCATTGTTGATAGATCGCATGGAACCCTATCATTCACTATTCCTCCCTTATTATTTTTATCAAACCAACCAAAAAATTGACAACCATCTCCTTCTGACCAGTATCCATTTGGAGAAAGTCGATTACCAAAATTGGACAGGTTTCTTCTTCTCGAAATGGCAAACAATCTAGAGCAAACGCAAATTGATTGCTAAGTCCCAGTTTTTTTGCAACCTCTAAACTAGTCAAAGGCCTAAAAAATTTTGGGAAGTTTTTAACAAAATAAAAGAAAACAAACTCTGAAGAATTGTTCCCACAAGCACCATTAGAGCTTCCATCCAGAAAAGCAGCCGCTGAAGACATGTCCATTTTTTGTTTTATTTTTGAAAAATTTAGATGTGTCTAAAAAAAAGAAAAAATAAATTTAAATCCTGCACTAATAACTCGTTAAGGGTGCAATCGAAAAATAATAAAAATCAAATTCAAAAAGTTACAAAAATTTAAAAAAATTTCTCTTTTTCTATGTCACGTAGTCTCTCAATCGATTTTGTCCCATTTAATCGCCCACAAAAAAATTAATTTATTGAATGTTGGAGCTTAGCTTTTTCTTTATTTTAGATAAATGTAATTTATCTGGTTTAGAGCTGATTTATCCAAAAAGATACTGCTTATCTAGGGCTTTCGAAAAATATAAAATTTATTCGAATTGAATAAAGCCTAAAAAAGTTATGGCCAACAAAGCTAAATGGCGCTAATAGTTGCGCTCAGTTATCCCGATCGGGTTAGACATAGTTATGAAATTATATTTGAGTCTTGCGTTTATTTTTCTTGTTGCCTCGTTAGGTTTGCGACTCAATTTCCCTTACAGTCTTTTTCGTTTAAAAAAATTTCTTTTGGCATTCTGTTATTTTTTTTTTCTTTGCAAAATTTGCAAGAGAAAGAAAAAAAATAGTGAAGGAAAAGGTTAACGATTTTTTTAGTTTTATTGACACCCTTTTTACAGCCGAAACTCCAAATTTTATAATTTTTAGTGGTTGTTTCTTTGTTATGTGCTCCCTTTTTTTTTCATGTGATTCATTTAATTTATTTTTTAGATACTTATAAATTAATTTTCTTTATATCTACCTATATACCTATATTTTCTTTGTTATATATAATGGACGATAGTTGGCACTCTGGGCAATCTTTACTTCATCATAATCGCAATATTGGTTCATTTTGACTTTAACTAGCTTTAATTTCTTTCTGCTTTTTTCAGTTTTGTTCAGCAATCCACCACGAACAGACTATAGTCATCACCAACAAATTCACCCTTTAGCAGTTCAACAACATAATCATCCCCCATTTGGTGCCTCTACTTCGAGAAATGCTGCTTTGGTTGCGTCGGCAGAATCTGCTGCTCAAAATGAGTGTGTTACTGCTTGGGAACCTTTACAGTTGCGACAGGAATGGACAGTTAGTTTTTTTTTGTTATTATTTTCCCTCCTCCCTTTATTTTCAAGTGGGGATCTTTTTTTGGGAATTGTCTGAAAATCTGTGAGTATAGTTTGAATGACTATTTAAATTTAATTTAAATGGAATTACTTGCGGACAACAAACTCAAATGTGTTCTCGTTCCCCGCAAATTTAATCATGCAAGTCCCAGACAAACTTAATCGAGTATACCAAAAAAGTGTTCACATTTTATTACACAAAAGACTAACTTTCCTCATAAAAACAAGGAATAAATCACCCTTTTTGTTCACGTTTTTAGCTTATGAACCTTCCTCATATTCTTTTTATTCCTTCTAATTTTCCACTATTCAGATTCACAACTTCACCAAAGCATTGGATTTGGCCACTTTTGGTACCTGCATGCGTAGTCGCAATTTTAGAGATGAGAGCATGCCTGACATTTGTTGGCAACTTTGCTTATATCCTGGGGGTAAAAGAGAGGAGAATTCTGGGAATGTTTCTCTTTTTCTGAAGATGTCGACAACTGAGAACCAGAGAGAGGTTTTTTGAACTATTTCTTTAGAGATTATTTGGGGACAAGCAATGTTCTGGGCTGCGGTAGGTGGTTGACACATTCCATTATATCCATCTACCTTGAGACACCCTCTTGATACGCCCTTGTTGACCTTCACGAAGACGGTCTAATCAATTTTATTTCTAGTTCACTGTCCGTGCTGAGTATCGTTTCTACTTTTTGGATGACACTGGCGCTGCTCGCTTTAGCAATGTGAATACTGGCGATTTCAAAGTCAAACCAGCCAAAGGATCACACTCTTGGGGCCTTAGAAATATTCCTCGTCAAAAAGTTCTCAACTGTATTCGCTCAAACAATTCTCTCCATATCGTCTGTCAAATTGAGCTAGTTCCGGATTTTAATAAATTGCAAACACATGTGCGTCGTGAACATCGAATTGACCCGATAATTGTTAGTTTTTTTGGATTTTTTTAAATCTGGATTCGTCCGGAATTTTTGTTGTTTATCCATTATGATTAGGTGGCTTTCTTTGACATTTCTACCAATTTTTTTGCCATCATTTTGGTATTTCTGCAATGTTTCCAATTTTTTTATAAATTGGTTAGGCATTTGGCTGGCCTCACTCACCTCACCTCCACACCTCACTAGGTAAATTTGTCCATGTGCGGCCTTCTCTATTGCCTTCTCTCCTCTAGTTGACCCGCCACAGGCAAAGATTAACCGGTCGTTGACAGCCTGGTCTCACTATAACTTACAATTTGGCCGACCAAAGGTGTTAAATTTGGCTAGGAGTGTACACAGGTTTATACCTCCAAAGGTAGAGGAGGGCTCATTCTGATGTTTTTCGTGATCCAACTCTACTAGACAATACCAAATAATCTTCATAATCTTCCTTCTAATTTTTTTAAGCTAACCAAAGAATTTTTGGAACGTAACCACAAAATGTTTATTTCTGGTGAAGGTTCAGACTGTATTGTTGAATGTGGTAATCAAGAATTTCCTGTGCACAAGTTTGTTTTGATGGCCCATTCTGATGTTTTTCGTGCAATGTTTAATCACAAAGATACTTTGGAGAGTGTTGAATCTCGTATTCGAATTACAGATTTTGGGCCGGAGACTGTTCATCAAATGCTTACTTATATGTAAATTTAATTGTTTTTATTTTTTTATTAAGGAAAATTTCTAGGATACTAAAAAAATTATTACCCCCACCTTTATTTGGCTCTCAAAAATTAATCTTTCCCTTCTTGGCATCACAAGTAAAGACCGGACTTGGAGCGTTTATGAGAATGGTACGAGATTTCTCGAAAAATCTCGATCTTGATAGTTGAGATTTTTTTCAAGATATCGTCTCGATCCGGTCTCTAATCACAAGGATGATTGCTTTTTGACTTTGAAAAAAGAGAAAAAAAAAGATTTCATTTTTTCACTTTGACCCCCACCTCTATATTGGTCTCTTGTCACCCAGAACGAAATTAATGATCAATTTTGAGGTTCAAACAGGGAGAAAGGGTGATATATGAAAAAATAACTTAAACTTTAATGTTAGATTTATGTTATTCGGTGCGGACATAATTAGTGTCGTTTTTTTTTCAAGAAGGCATAAGGGCATAACATTCTTAACGTAATTACATGTTCTATATACCATTTTGAAGCCCAGGATCTGCTCTTTAATCTTACATATGGATTTTTTTCGTTTCATGTCTTATATTCGTCGAATTCGAATTTCTTCTCGTTCGAATTTTTAAAATTTTCTTTTTTTCGCTAGTTAGAGCATTTGAAGAGCTTTCGATTGATATATCACATGCCACCCATTTAACAATAATTTTCGAGATATTTCGATATATTTGCTAAAAATCAGTAATTTGACTACCCCGAATTTTTCGACCATAACTCTTAAAATGCTCAACAAAAAATTTTAAAATTTTAGAGGCTGTTAGAGGACATTCTAATTAATATATGTACAAAAATTCATGATCATAGACTACAAATCCATAAAAATTCAGACCCCGAAACTTTTAATATAAAACGACACTAATTATGTCCGCACCGAATATTTTTTACGGCCAAAGTTTTTATTTAAACATAAAATAATCACTCACGGGCCAGGGTTCAACTGAATTTTTTTTGGTTTCTCTATGAATTTAAAGTCTTAATTTTTTAAAGGTATTCTGGAGGACTTCCTGAAGACTTTTCTGATGAGCAGGCATCTAATCTAATTGAAATTTCGGAGAAGTACCAATTGGATTCTCTTAAAATTATTTGCCAGGATAAACTGATTTCACGGTTTTTAGTTAATTCTTTAAAAATTTTTTAATTTTTCAGTCTGTCAATGGCCAATGTTTGTTCAATGGTAACTATTGCCGATATTCACAATGCTGATTTACTTATGTCTGCATGCATTCCTTTGGTTTCTTTTAAAAATTTTTCAGAAAAAAATTTTTTTCTAAAGGTTCGTAGCCATATACGCCAACTTATGGCTAGTCAGGAATGGACTGAAATGAAGACAAATAACCCTCGTTTGTTGAATCTGGTCTTGGAGAAGGTTTTCTTTTGTTTTTTATATGAATCTGGGTTAAATTGGGAATGTAATAAACTATTCTCTGAGTGAGAAAACTTTGCGTGTTATGGTGACATTTGATCCCAAAAGGCGGGGTAACAAGAGGGAGATCTTGTAATTGATTTTTTGTGTTTTTGTCTGTGGGGGGAGATCTGTAGAATATAAATGTGGAATGATTTTTAAAGTTGGGATAAAATGTCATCGTTTTATTTTATTCCCTTTTATGATAAATAGACATTTAAAAGATCTAAAAAATTTATTTTTTAAATTTATTAAATTTAAAGGTGATAGTCATTAGCGAGAAGAATCTCCCGACACCACAACAGAAGAATCTCCAACCGCCGCAGAAACGTATTCGTTTGAACGATATGTATTACCATCCAAGTTAGGTTTTCTTTTTTTGTGTGTTAACTGCCTTTTGTTGATATTGGGAAAAATTAAAAACATTTTTTGTTATGTAAGTAATGGGTGAGTAGTTATTCAAAAATTTCTTGGGGTCTTTTTTTGTAAATTTGGGTTTAAAAAATTAATAAAAAAATTTTTTTTGAATTTTCCCTTATCTTTTAACAAAAAAAAGTGTCTATTCATCCTAAAAATGTGTCTATTTTCATGTCTATTTCTTGAATTATGAATATATTTTAACTGCTAAATTGTAAAACTTATGTTAACTGTTCTCTTTTACACATGACACAACAACCAACTTTTTTTATTTTTAGGTTTGATTTCTAATCAAAAATTTTCAATAAATTAAGGAATAATAGTTGGGGGTATCTAAAGTTTTAAGGAAGTTTTTACGAAATCTTTACGAATTATAGAATGAATTAGGGTAGTACCTTCTCCCCCGAAACCCCGATTCGACCCCCAACGAATTTTTAGGCATCTCCGACCCGAACTCTGAAGGCTCTACCCCGGCAAATCTCGATCCTTGACGGTACCGCCCCCGGATGCTCGGAGAGCTATACCAGAATTTATTGCACAGTCAGACTTTGATATTAACTACTATTAAAAATTAGATTAGGTCTTTAAAATTATTTTTTTGAGAATTATTTGTCATTAGAAATCAAAAACCCTACAAAATAATGTCCTCTTGTCTTCCTTTTATTTTAAAGTTCCTTCTGTCTAAAAATTACCTAAAGAAAAATAAGCCTTTTCGTGCTTTCTCTCCAAAGCATTTCCATAAATTCACAAAAAGCCTATCTTTACTTTTATTTAAAAAATAAATTGATTCGATAAAATGTGAAAAAAATTTTTTTTGGAAATTTTTTAAAAATATTTTTTATTTTTAAATTTAATACTTTTTCAATCAATTTAAATTTCTTTAATTTAAATAGAAGGGTACATATTATCAAAAAAAGGAAATGGGAAAATTTGATATTCAAGAACAGCTTGAACCTTTTAATACAGGACGACTTCAAGCCTTAAATCATAATGAGGTTACTAAACAACAAAATGATTTTGAAGAAAAAGAGGGGGAAGAAGACGATAATGTATTCAAACAATTCAATCAACCAACAAACAAATCAAGAAATTCAACAAAAACAACACAAAAATAACCAAAAAAATAATTTATTAAGATTAGCTACATGTGTTGATGGCTACATTATCTACATAAAAATGGAATTAATCGGAAAGGTAAGTTAAATTTAAAAAAATCTTTTCCTTATTTTGTATTAGTTTTGGGTCTCGAAACATTATTTTCTGTTCATAATGCTTTAAAACCTTTCCAAGTATACTTTAAAAATATTTACCCTTAAGGAGGTTTGAACCTTCACCCAATTGAAAATCTAAACTTAACACGGGTTCACTTAACCACAAAAACTAAAATTCGTAAATTTGTTTAAACGAATTACTAATTTTGCCTCATCCTTGTCCTTTCTAAATTTTACACATTTACATTTTACTAAAAGTTTTAAAATTTATTTTAATATCAAATCAGTTAAAGATAAATAATCAAAAGTAAATTTATTATTTCTATGACATTTTGCCATAATTTTCTTTTATTCTTTTAAAATTGCAACATGCAGCATTTTAACTGTAATAAGAAAGAAAATATTCAAATTTAAATTAAAACTAACATTCATTTTTTCGCGTCGCCGATATAATTTGGCTCTTTTAGCCGAGGATCCTCTTTTTGAGAATATTAAGCTAATGTTCAAGGCACCCTTCCCTTTTTTTAAGCGTCCATCCCTATCTTTTAGCCCATAAGACTTCCCTTTTTTAAGCGTCCATCCCTATCTTTTAGCCCATAAGACTTCCCTTTTTTAAGCGTCCATCCCTATCTTTTAGCCCATAAGACTTCCCTTTTTTAAGCGTCCATCCCTATCTTTTAGCCCATAAGACTTCCCTTTTTTAAGCGTCCATCCCTATCTTTTAGCCCATAAGACTTCCCTTTTTTAAGCGTCCATCCCTATCTTTTAGCCCATAAGACTTCCCTTTTTTAAGCGTCCATCCCTATCTTTTAGCCCATAAGACTTCCCTTTTTTAAGCGTCCATCCCTATCTTTTAGCCCATAAAAAACCAATTTTTGAATTTTTAAATTTCTAATTTATAACAAATTCTCACCCAATTATTCAATGGTAATTCCAATGATGTCCACAAGTACAGTTGCGAAGTGCCTCATGTGAGTAACACGCACTGCAGTGATCATGATTTAGATCACAATTAAGTTTACGTAACGAACTAACAGGATTCCAGCAAAAGCCAGTACATCCACATTTTGAGCATCCCATTTTTAGCAAATTTAATAAGAAGTTGATTAAACTTTTAGAAAATTATAATTTTTAAAAGGAAAAAAATTAAAAATAAGATTATTTAATAGAGTTGATTAGAAACCAAAATCCGATTAGGTTTAATAAAAAATTTTTAAATACAAAAGAGAAGAAAAAATAAAGTTCGGATTGGACAAAAGATGGGGCAACTTTTTTAGAAAAATAATAATCTAAAGAAAATCCCCAATTTTTATGATGGGTGACTAAAAAATTTGTAAACATAGTTGAAAGGCGAACAATAGAAAAATGGCACTTTTTGTGATTCATCATTTGGGGCAAAATTTAAAACGCTTACTAGATATGGCCATTTTTTGGTAAAACATCTGCCAGCAAAAAGTATGATAAAGAAAAAAAGTCAAAATAATTTTACATATTTTAAAAGAAAATACAAAGAGAAAAATACCAAAAAAAAGTTTAAAACCCAGAAGGTCAAGACCTAGGAGTTCAAATCCAAATATTTGGGAGATAAAGAAGGATTTGTGCATATCAATGGGGCTTTGTTTGGATTAAGGGGCTTAAGAGCGAAAAGGAAAAAGGAAGCGGGTTTTCCTGGATAATTGTGTATATTTATATTTTCCGGAAACACTTCTGTAAAGCTTCCGGAAAAATTATTCAGTATAATTATTAACTTCCCGAAAGTTTTATTTTATTTTCTCTCCGGCAAGTTCTATGTAATATAGTTGTCGACAACGCAAACGCAAGTCAAACAACGCAAGTCGCAATTTTCAATTCGATTTTCAATTTTTTATTTTATTTCGCTTGTGTTTGACCCTATCTTTTTGTCGACTGCTGTATGTACATATGTACAATTTTTTTTTATTAAAGCAAATTTTGTTAATTTTTAATAAATAATTTTCCATAAATTCTCAAAAAAGCCATCTTTACTTTATAAAATTTAAATTGATACGATAAAATGTGAAAAAAATTTTTTTAATTTTTTTAAAAATATTTTTATTTTATTAATTCAATATTTTTTTACTTTTTAATAAAAAAATTTTTTCAGTTTATTTAGAAGGATTTTATTTAAATAAAAAAGAAATGGGAAAATTTGATATTCAAGTAATTCGTTTTTTAACTTCTCAACATTTTCGAATACTTACTTCTATTGAAATGGGAATGAAGAATCATGAATTGGTTTTTTTTAATGGAAAATAATTTTTTAATTTAAATTTTCAGGTTCCTCTACCCCTAATTGCTTCAATAGCGGCGATTCATAGAGGAGCAACTTCACGTCTTCTGAATGACTTGACTAGAAGTAAATTGGTTGTTTATGAAAGGAGCAAAAGATGTTTGTTTTTTTTTATTTTTAATATTTTTCCGGGATGGGAGGTGAATTTAGTTCTAGGAGTTTGGTAATATAAATTGCCTCGGGGAAATGTTCTGAAAAATTTTTGAGAGTTACCAGTTTCCATGAGGGATAGACCGCTACTCGTTCATTACGTCATAGGCTCTGTTAATCCTATTACATTTTAGCCGTTTTCTGGCTTACTTGATTCAAAATTTTTTAATTAGGTTGTAGTCCTCCGAGTGGTTGAGGATTAATCTCCGTTTTCTATATTTTTACAAAGATTTGAGAGAAGAAATCAATTTTTTTTAATTTTTAGTTGACGGTTTTCGACTAACCACACTAGGCTATGACTTTTTGGCTCTTCGAGCACTCCGCGCCCGTGAAGTTGTTGGGTCTATTGGAAATCAAATTGGAGTAGGGAAAGAAGCAGATGTTTATGTTGGGGCTAATCCAACGCTCGAGGTTTTAAAAATTATTTTTTGTGGGTTTTTTGGGGGGTTTTTAGTCTAAAAACACTTTCTGGTCACCCAAGTTTTTCCCAGTTTAATTTCTAAAAAATTATTTTTTGAAGGATTTGGTTCTCAAATTTCACCGTCTTGGACGTACTTCCTTCCGCAAATTAAAAGAGAAACGTGACTATCATCGAAAACGTCATTTTTGTTCCTGGTTATACCTTTCTCGTTTGGCTGCCTTCAAAGAATTTGCTTTCCTCAAAGCTTTGTACTCTCACAATTTCCCCGTTCCAAAACCGATCGATATTAGCCGACACACCGTGGTTATGGAATTAATTGTTGGTCCAACTTTATCAAATGTGGCACAAGTTGATGATCCGGCAAGTTTATTTGAAAAGTTGATGAATTTAATTGAAAGATTGGCATCTTATGGATTAATTCATTGTGACTTTAATGAGTTCAATATTATGCTTAGAGAGGTTTTTAATTTGATTTTAAATTTTTTAAAAATATTTTTGCAAGTCATTTTTGTTGTAAAACCGTTTATAACTTCAAGAAGTTTAATTTAAAAATGTTTGCCCTCGAGCGGGGTCGAACCTTTGTCCCTCTAATATTCAAAACCTATCACACTTCCACTTAACCATAAAATTTAATTTTCTTCAAAATTTTTAGGATGGTTCCCCCGTTCTAATAGATTTTCCACAAATGGTTAGTGTGTATCACCCAAATGCAGAATTTTACTTTAATAGAGATGTAAATTGTGTAAAAACATTTTTTGTCCGAAAATTTCATTTTGATGCCAAAGAATGGCCAGAATTTAAAGATGTTGAAAAATGTTATGATTTGGATGTTGAATTGGAAGCTAGTGGATTTACAAAACAAATGCGTTTGGATTTGAATAAGGTTTTTTATTTTTATTTTTTAATTTTTTAAATTTAAATAAAAAAAATTTTAGGCGTATGATGAAGGAGATTTTACTGTTCATTTGGAGGATGATGAAGAGGAAGATGGACAAACTGAGGATGATGAAGGTGATGGGGAAAGTTATGAAATGGTTGAATGTGATGGAAATGGTGTTGAAAAAGACGTGAGAATTTTTAAAAATATTTTGAAGTTGTGGGATTTGATTAAAAAGGAGGTTCTAATTGGTCCCTGGCATTTTTGAAAAGAGAGGAAATTACTCGTCAGTCAGAAGGGTTGTTGGTTCGGTTCTCTGTTGACCGAAAAATTTGATGAAAATAAGGTTGTCCACAACCGGTTAATTTTTACCTGTAGCGGCTCATGGAGATTAATGAGAACATTTGAGCCGTCACAGATAAAGATTATGAAAGGTCGTGGACAACTCTACTTGAAAATGAACAAACGCTTCTTCAGACAGTCTTTGTCTTATGAGAATTTCACCATTCTAATTTATTTTACGAATTTTATTTTAGGAAGAACCTTCCACCAAATCAGTACAACTCGAACATTCTAATACCGGACGACTTCAAGACTGGATTGATCAGGCTCGGGAAAGTTTAGAAACGATTGCCTTAAATCAAAATGAGGTTACTAAACAACCTAATGATTTTGAAAAGAAAGAAGAGGAAGACGATAATGTATGAATTAACTAACTAAAAATCATTTTTCAATATTTTTTTTAACTTTTAAGGCATCAGAAGAAGAATCGGTTAATTCAAATACCCAACAATTAAATGAAGAAATTCCCTCAAAACAACACAAAAATAACCCAAAAAATAATTTATTAAAATTATCTAGTGTTGCTGGGTCAACTTCTACATTATCCAAAGATGAAATTAAACGGAGATTGTTAATGGTTTGTTTATTATTATTTTTTTAATTTAAATAAAATTTTGGGAGCCTTTAGTGTTTTTCTGAATTTCTCACAGCAGAAATTAAAAAAATATTTTTCCCTCCTCCCTTACTCTTTTTCTTAATTTTGGGTCTCGAAAAAATTCACTTTAAAAATTTGCAAAGTTTATTTTAAAAATATTTACCATCAAAAGGGTTCGAACCTTCACCCCTTGAGAACCCAAACCTAACACACTTGCACTTAACCACAAGAATTAAAAGTTTTAATTTTGTCCTAATTTTTTTTTCTAAAGGAAAAAAATAAAGCAAAGAAAGAGAAATTACGTGTTAAAGGACAACAAAATGCTGTAAGACGTGGACGGCAACAAAATAAAGAATTAATTAAAGAATATGTTGGGTGGGATTGTTATTAAATTAATTAAAAAAAATTTTTTTTGTTATTCAAAAATGTGTGCAGACATATCGGGATCGGGGTGACAAAAATAATTTGTTGCGTGTTTACGTTTGTTCTAAATCATAAAAACTATTCCAATAGGACAATATACTATCCAAGACCCAGTGGCCGCCGTAGGTCCCAAAATCAGTAGGGTAACTGTTCGTACATTGAAGTATCCCGATATGTCCTTGTGCCGTTCAAAAAATTTTTAAAAATTTTTCGTTGTTAATTTTTAGAAAATTGATAGAATAAAATTATCAAAATTTTTAAATTATTTTTTTAAATTTATTTTTTTGTTAATTACTCTTATAATTATCTATTTAATGCGCTTTTAAATTGGTTAATAAATCAGGCGATAATTAATTAGGGAACTAATTATTTTTAAGAATTTTAACTAAATTTTAACTCAAAGAAAAATGGAAAATAATGAAGTATTTCCAGTTGAGATTGGCGATAATTGCGAGGTTTTTTAAAATATGATTTTTTTTAAATTTTCAATTGTCCGCAAAAATTTTGCGGACAAAAATTTGCGGACTTTCTGATTTTTTAAAATTTTATTTTTAAGTTGCCGCTTGCTGAATTTTATATTCCTCGATGTTATGAAGATGATTTGTCTGCCGTCCTCATTGAATATCCAGCCATACAAAATAGAATACATGGAATGGCAGTTGAGATTAACTCTCGGATTGGGGATAAGGTTTTCTTTAATTTTAGATTTAAAAGGTTTTGGTAATGGGGGAGAGGTTTGAGTGAGGGATCGGACTAAAACGAGATCTCGATCAAAAATCTTTGTTATAGAGATTTTTCGAGATCTCGATTCTCGTTCAACACTCCCGGTCCGTTCTCTAGTTCGAGTAGGAATCCCTATCTTGTCTCGTATAATTTAGAGATATTTCGATTTGTGATAACTTAAAAATGAGAGTACGGGGCACATTTTTAAAGGAGTTTAATTTGAGATGGCGATGATAATTCGTAGGTGGGATATAACCCAAGGACATTTTAGGAAAATTAGAAAGGGGAGGGCAACCAGACATGGATGAAACTTCAAAAAAATTTTCCGAAACGAAGCAGAGAAAAAATGAAATATTTCACCCATGTCTGGTGACAACGAGCAAATTTTGAAAATTTTTTTTTAATCTCTTAATTTATTTTATAGCCACTAGTTATGATTTGCGTGTTGAAAGGCTCTTTTCGATTTTTCTCTGATTTATTACAAAAATTGTCGGATGTTCGTTCTAATTGTGGTTGGCCTATTCGGATTGAATTTATTCGTGCACGTAGTTATATTGACCAAAAATCGACTGGAAATGTTTTTATTGAAGAATTAAACAACTTATTGTTAGATGAAAGTCTTAAAGGAGCACAAGTTGTTGTGAGTTTCTTTTTTGGGAGATGAGATATTTGATATATATTGAGGTTTGGTTCTAAAACTCGGTCTATTGTTAGAATGAAGGTCATTTTGTAATTAGGTATCTCTATTTTATTCCTACCTCTTTTGGAAATATCCCAATCTGTGATAATGCAGAGACTAGGAGGTGTAAGTATGTATGTAACAAGGGTGGGCCAGGTTAAAAAAATTGGATTTAGGATTTTCACAAATTTCTTTGGATTGGGTTTCTTGTCGAAAAATAGAGTTTGGTTTAGTTAACCGGCCCATCCATGGTGGCTTTGTGTTACTAAAAAATTTTAATTCATTTTTAGAATGGGACCTTCTGACTTTCCTTTTAAAATTTTTATTTTTCTAAAATATTTTTTTTAAAAGTTGGTAGATGATATAATCGACACAGGCTTAACAATTTCAAAATTAACAGAAAAATTGAAAGAAAATGTGGGGCCTGAAGGACGTATTTGGACTGCAATCTTAATATCAAAAAGAACAACTCTAGTCAAAGAAGATTCAATTTTTGGAGATTTTGTTGGATTTAGTGTTCCTGACAAGTAATTTTATTTTACATCAGACATTCTCGTTTATCTCTTACCCTCTTCAAAATTTGGGGAGAGTTGGGGTATATTGGAAGTGGGATAGGGGCTCCCCCCCCCCCCATTGGAAGTGTGAAGGTTTGAGAATAAAATGTGATAAGTTGGGAGGTTTGAGTCTCGTGGGACAATTCGTAAATGTCTTTGTTCCCCAAATACCCTACCCTTTAAAACCCAGATTTTAAAGATTTATTGTTGGATATGGAATGGATTACAACGAAATGTTTCGTGATTTACCACACATTTGTATTATGAATTCTAATGGTATTGAAAAATATCGGAAGAAAGGAAATTGTGAAAATTAATTTTAAAAAACTAATTAATTACAGTAGAACCTTAATTTTAGATTGGTTAGTTGAAATTTAGTTGACCACTGGATATAGGGCAGGGATGGGTCGTTATAGGAAACTCAAGACTTTCCAAGCCAAAATCTGACCCGATTTTTTCTTAACTTTACTCATCACGTGTTTGGGGGCTACCTAGGTTAAATTTCCTTTATTTGAGATATATTTCATTATAACTAGGGTTGCGTTTTCGTTCCGGGCCGACGGTCGAGGCACTTTTTTCGGGCTTGTTTTTATTTAGCCGGGCCATACGAGTAGTTTTCGGGCCAAATTTCTTAGGCCCGACTCCATCTTTCGGTCCGAATCGGTCCATTTTGGCAACCCTAATTATAAGCTACATAAATTTTTCGGCCCCCAAAAGGGTTAACTTAAAGTGAGGTTCGACTGTACAAATATAACTAACCGTTCATTAAATTAATTAAAAATATTTATTTTTTGTTTATTTTTAGGACCTTTTATAATAAATAAAAGAAAAAGACCTTTTCAATCTCCCAAACCTTTTTTTTTAAACTTTAAAAGGTTCTCCGATTAGAGGGCGGAGTTTATAGGCTGTCACAACAACAACAACTAGCATCTTCCCTCATTTTTCGCTCATTCTTTTATATATTTTCCTCAGTTTTTAGGAGTACTTTTGAGCTATTCTAAGGGCACAAATTTGTTTACAAATTATTTTAAAACAAATAAATTATAATTTTTTGTAAGACGCAAATGGTTTATTCACTGGGATAGGGTTCCTAGACTATTATCAAGCAATCTCTATCATATCCCACATATCCCAGCCTTCAATCTCCTTCCATATTTTATTCATTTTATTCGTCCCCACATATCCCTCTCAGACATCCAGACTTGTGGATCTTAGTGTATATTGGGTGTGATGAAGCAGAGATTACTAGGTTTGGGTTAATACACTATTATTAACTTCAAATTCCTTCCATATTTATTCCTTTCATCTCCTATTCTACATCTCCACATATCCCACCCCATATCAGGTATCCCTTATTAATGGCTGTTGGGTGTGATAAAATAGAAATTCTCTACTAGTTGTACTGCTCCGATTTAATAAATTTTAAAAATATTTTTGACTAAAATTTATTCAGAAAAATCAGATTTTAACTTCAAAAGATGTCTTCCTCATTTCCTTACTTTCCTTTATTCTTCTCTTTAATACCCCTTTTAATTCCCTCATTTTATCCCCCTGTCGAAAGTGCCTTCCCCTCTTCCTCTTCTTCAGAATCTTCAATTTTAGATAATGCTGTGATAGGTAAATTTTAATAAAAATTTTTTGATTTCAAAAAAATTTTCTTTTAAGGCGATCCTTTAGTTGATTGTCTCGAGGAACGTGTAAAATTAACATTTCAAACGCAAAAACCTTTTACTGGAAGAATTTTTGTTAAAGGAATGGTGGATAATGAAAAGTGTGTGGAAAATTATAGGCAGAATAGTCAAACAAAGGTAGAGAGAAATTCTGATTTTTAAAATAAATTCTGATTTTTTCCTATCAAAAATTCTGATTTTTTAAAAATCAGAATAAAAATTCTGATTGTTTTCTGATTAAAATTTTCTGATTTTTAAATTCTGAAAAATTCTGATTTTTTAAATTTTGAATTTTAAAAAATCGATTTTTTAATCAGAATGACTTGCTTTTTAAGATTTTTAAAGAATTTCTGATTTTTAAAATAAATTCTGATTTTTTAAAGGTCGAATTTGAATTGGCCAATGGAGCTTGCAATATGAGGCGATCAAGAAAAGTAAGTTTATTTTATTTTTTTCTTTTAAACTTTTTCTATTTCAATATCCTTTTAGGTCAATAACAATACTTTAAAAATATTTTCTATTCTAGTATTTGTTTAAATTACAAATCGGTTTTTCCCTTTCCCTTTTATAAGGAAAGTGCAGCTTAAAATAAATTAAAATCAGAATTTAGAAATTATAGAAACTTTAAAAATCAGAATTTAATAACCAGAATTTTAGAAATCAGAATTTACAAAACGGAATGTTGAAGTCAGAATTTTATTAAAAAATAACCAGAATTTTACAAAAAATCATAACTTTATTTAAAAATCAGAATATTAAGAATCAGAATTTTATTAAAAAATCAGAATTTACAAATCAGAATTTTATTTAAAAAATCAGAATTTTTTAATATCCAAAATGAGACTCCAATAAACTTTTAATTTTTTTCTGACGTAAAAGATAAACTTTAAATTATTAATTCAAGAAAATATTTTAAAAAAGTTTTTGTTCTTTTTGTATACACTTGACATTCTACCTTAATTTAAAAATAAAGTCAAGATGGGGTTTTTAAAAATAATTTTATTAATAAGACCTTGACATTTTCTGCCTTCTAAAGAGAAAAAATATTTTTTTAAATAATTCTGATTTTAATTTCTGAAAAATAATTCTGATTTTTTAGTTAGGACCAGAACAACGAGGTGTAGAACAGTCTATTACTGTGACGGTTAATTTAAATTTATTTTAATTAAAAAAATTTTTTTTTAAAGATTTCTTTCCACGATATTTTTATTACAAAAGTAGATCGTGCTTATCGCTGTACTTGTTTTTATATGGCAAGAAAAATTTTTTTCAGAAAAAATTAAAAAAATTTTTTTAAAGGAAGCAGATAAAGTAGTTACTAATCGTTTTGATGTTAGTATGATACCCACAACAGAGTTGATTGATACTGCCAGAATGCCTCTCTGTACTTACACGGTGCGGAGGGGTTCGGTGAATGGACCGATTGTGACCTATGCAAGTGTGGGGGAGCCTGTATTTCATGTGAAAATTTTTTTTATTTTTAGCTCAAAATCTATTACCATACCTTGGAGCTATCTTTACTAGTCTCTAGAGAGGATTAATGAGGGTCTGGGATATGTGAGGGAGTTAATATGGGCTGACAATGGGGATATATATCGGATGAGTAAGGGAGAGGTGTGATAAGTTAAAAATTTGATGACAAGAGGGAGTTGGACAAGAGGGCTTTCTTGTTAGTTGTCTGGAGGGTTCTTTTCCTGTCTAGAGTTTCTATTAAATACCTCTTTAATTAAAGGTATGGCAATGCGATTCAGACATGTTTTCAATGTTAGTCCACAATTGTTTTGTTGATGATGGGGCTGGAAAGGATCGAAAACCTTTAATTGATGAACGTAAATATTTTTTGTGTGTGAAATTATGTTTATGAAACTGGGAAAATCTAGGAAAAATCAATCTTGACAGGAAAATAACCAAAGAAATCGCACAAATCCTCTAGCAGTCTGGCTAATAAAATGTTTTTTGTGATCATTCCCTGACTAAGTTTTTCAATATTTTGTTAGCGGATTATAAACTAGAAAAGGGAAAATGTCAAATGATAAGTAGGAACAAGTCTACAAAAACTAAGGTTTGGAACGATGAACCAATTCTTCAACAAGAATGAGCTTAGAAAACGTTCGTGGACGAGGATTAGGGCTGCATGCAATTGCGGATTGCGTAAATTGCGGGGGTTTTTTCAATTGCGGTCTGATTTCGAAACGTAATTAAAAGAAAAAATAAGAAGGCAGAAGTTTTCTAACCTTTCGACAAAAAAAAACAAAACTAAAATAAAAATTTATTTTAAATATCAAAAATTTTTTTTACAAATGAGATTTTGACATATATTATATGTCATTCAATACTCAAAGAATTGCGGCACCTCTGTCAATGTCCATTTCTTTTCAGTCTCTGGTGTAAGAATTACAGTTGAAGCTGTTTGATTTCGTGAAATCGCCTGTCCATTCATCTGACGACCATTCTCATCGTAGAAAACCTCAGGATGAGCCCGACGCAAACTGAGATTAGCCTCCATAAGAGTTGTCCATTCCAAGAAACCGATAGCATGCCCTCCCGTACCAATTAGATGACCACCATAATTGAGCTAAAAATAAGTATAAGATTTCCAAAAAATATAAAACAATGTTATGCTAGTTTGAGATTTCCCTGATTAATACGAAAAGAAATAAAGGAATTAATCAGGTGTTTATGACCCCTTGGTTTACCATGAAACCTCCGACTGAAACCGATTTCTACAAAATCGAGCCTTGTCATTGTTGATAGATCGCATGGAACCCTATCATTCACTATTCCTCCCTTATTATTTTTATCAAACCAACCAAAAAATTGACAACCATCTCCTTCTGACCAGTATCCATTTGGAGAAAGTCGATTACCAAAATTGGACAGGTTTCTTCTTCTCGAAATGGCAAACAATCTAGAGCAAACGCAAATTGATTGCTAAGTCCCAGTTTTTTTGCAACCTCTAAACTAGTCAAAGGCCTAAAAAATTTTGGGAAGTTTTTAACAAAATAAAAGAAAACAAACTCTGAAGAATTGTTCCCACAAGCACCATTAGAGCTTCCATCCAGAAAAGCAGCCGCTGAAGACATGTCCATTTTTTGTTTTATTTTTGAAAAATTTAGATGTGTCTAAAAAAAAGAAAAAATAAATTTAAATCCTGCACTAATAACTCGTTAAGGGTGCAATCGAAAAATAATAAAAATCAAATTCAAAAAGTTACAAAAATTTAAAAAAATTTCTCTTTTTCTATGTCACGTAGTCTCTCAATCGATTTTGTCCCATTTAATCGCCCACAAAAAAATTAATTTATTGAATGTTGGAGCTTAGCTTTTTCTTTATTTTAGATAAATGTAATTTATCTGGTTTAGAGCTGATTTATCCAAAAAGATACTGCTTATCTAGGGCTTTCGAAAAATATAAAATTTATTCGAATTGAATAAAGCCTAAAAAAGTTATGGCCAACAAAGCTAAATGGCGCTAATAGTTGCGCTCAGTTATCCCGATCGGGTTAGACATAGTTATGAAATTATATTTGAGTCTTGCGTTTATTTTTCTTGTTGCCTCGTTAGGTTTGCGACTCAATTTCCCTTACAGTCTTTTTCGTTTAAAAAAATTTCTTTTGGCATTCTGTTATTTTTTTTTTCTTTGCAAAATTTGCAAGAGAAAGAAAAAAAATAGTGAAGGAAAAGGTTAACGATTTTTTTAGTTTTATTGACACCCTTTTTACAGCCGAAACTCCAAATTTTATAATTTTTAGTGGTTGTTTCTTTGTTATGTGCTCCCTTTTTTTTTCATGTGATTCATTTAATTTATTTTTTAGATACTTATAAATTAATTTTCTTTATATCTACCTATATACCTATATTTTCTTTGTTATATATAATGGACGATAGTTGGCACTCTGGGCAATCTTTACTTCATCATAATCGCAATATTGGTTCATTTTGACTTTAACTAGCTTTAATTTCTTTCTGCTTTTTTCAGTTTTGTTCAGCAATCCACCACGAACAGACTATAGTCATCACCAACAAATTCACCCTTTAGCAGTTCAACAACATAATCATCCCCCATTTGGTGCCTCTACTTCGAGAAATGCTGCTTTGGTTGCGTCGGCAGAATCTGCTGCTCAAAATGAGTGTGTTACTGCTTGGGAACCTTTACAGTTGCGACAGGAATGGACAGTTAGTTTTTTTTTGTTATTATTTTCCCTCCTCCCTTTATTTTCAAGTGGGGATCTTTTTTTGGGAATTGTCTGAAAATCTGTGAGTATAGTTTGAATGACTATTTAAATTTAATTTAAATGGAATTACTTGCGGACAACAAACTCAAATGTGTTCTCGTTCCCCGCAAATTTAATCATGCAAGTCCCAGACAAACTTAATCGAGTATACCAAAAAAGTGTTCACATTTTATTACACAAAAGACTAACTTTCCTCATAAAAACAAGGAATAAATCACCCTTTTTGTTCACGTTTTTAGCTTATGAACCTTCCTCATATTCTTTTTATTCCTTCTAATTTTCCACTATTCAGATTCACAACTTCACCAAAGCATTGGATTTGGCCACTTTTGGTACCTGCATGCGTAGTCGCAATTTTAGAGATGAGAGCATGCCTGACATTTGTTGGCAACTTTGCTTATATCCTGGGGGTAAAAGAGAGGAGAATTCTGGGAATGTTTCTCTTTTTCTGAAGATGTCGACAACTGAGAACCAGAGAGAGGTTTTTTGAACTATTTCTTTAGAGATTATTTGGGGACAAGCAATGTTCTGGGCTGCGGTAGGTGGTTGACACATTCCATTATATCCATCTACCTTGAGACACCCTCTTGATACGCCCTTGTTGACCTTCACGAAGACGGTCTAATCAATTTTATTTCTAGTTCACTGTCCGTGCTGAGTATCGTTTCTACTTTTTGGATGACACTGGCGCTGCTCGCTTTAGCAATGTGAATACTGGCGATTTCAAAGTCAAACCAGCCAAAGGATCACACTCTTGGGGCCTTAGAAATATTCCTCGTCAAAAAGTTCTCAACTGTATTCGCTCAAACAATTCTCTCCATATCGTCTGTCAAATTGAGCTAGTTCCGGATTTTAATAAATTGCAAACACATGTGCGTCGTGAACATCGAATTGACCCGATAATTGTTAGTTTTTTTGGATTTTTTTAAATCTGGATTCGTCCGGAATTTTTGTTGTTTATCCATTATGATTAGGTGGCTTTCTTTGACATTTCTACCAATTTTTTTGCCATCATTTTGGTATTTCTGCAATGTTTCCAATTTTTTTATAAATTGGTTAGGCATTTGGCTGGCCTCACTCACCTCACCTCCACACCTCACTAGGTAAATTTGTCCATGTGCGGCCTTCTCTATTGCCTTCTCTCCTCTAGTTGACCCGCCACAGGCAAAGATTAACCGGTCGTTGACAGCCTGGTCTCACTATAACTTACAATTTGGCCGACCAAAGGTGTTAAATTTGGCTAGGAGTGTACACAGGTTTATACCTCCAAAGGTAGAGGAGGGCTCATTCTGATGTTTTTCGTGATCCAACTCTACTAGACAATACCAAATAATCTTCATAATCTTCCTTCTAATTTTTTTAAGCTAACCAAAGAATTTTTGGAACGTAACCACAAAATGTTTATTTCTGGTGAAGGTTCAGACTGTATTGTTGAATGTGGTAATCAAGAATTTCCTGTGCACAAGTTTGTTTTGATGGCCCATTCTGATGTTTTTCGTGCAATGTTTAATCACAAAGATACTTTGGAGAGTGTTGAATCTCGTATTCGAATTACAGATTTTGGGCCGGAGACTGTTCATCAAATGCTTACTTATATGTAAATTTAATTGTTTTTATTTTTTTATTAAGGAAAATTTCTAGGATACTAAAAAAATTATTACCCCCACCTTTATTTGGCTCTCAAAAATTAATCTTTCCCTTCTTGGCATCACAAGTAAAGACCGGACTTGGAGCGTTTATGAGAATGGTACGAGATTTCTCGAAAAATCTCGATCTTGATAGTTGAGATTTTTTTCAAGATATCGTCTCGATCCGGTCTCTAATCACAAGGATGATTGCTTTTTGACTTTGAAAAAAGAGAAAAAAAAAGATTTCATTTTTTCACTTTGACCCCCACCTCTATATTGGTCTCTTGTCACCCAGAACGAAATTAATGATCAATTTTGAGGTTCAAACAGGGAGAAAGGGTGATATATGAAAAAATAACTTAAACTTTAATGTTAGATTTATGTTATTCGGTGCGGACATAATTAGTGTCGTTTTTTTTTCAAGAAGGCATAAGGGCATAACATTCTTAACGTAATTACATGTTCTATATACCATTTTGAAGCCCAGGATCTGCTCTTTAATCTTACATATGGATTTTTTTCGTTTCATGTCTTATATTCGTCGAATTCGAATTTCTTCTCGTTCGAATTTTTAAAATTTTCTTTTTTTCGCTAGTTAGAGCATTTGAAGAGCTTTCGATTGATATATCACATGCCACCCATTTAACAATAATTTTCGAGATATTTCGATATATTTGCTAAAAATCAGTAATTTGACTACCCCGAATTTTTCGACCATAACTCTTAAAATGCTCAACAAAAAATTTTAAAATTTTAGAGGCTGTTAGAGGACATTCTAATTAATATATGTACAAAAATTCATGATCATAGACTACAAATCCATAAAAATTCAGACCCCGAAACTTTTAATATAAAACGACACTAATTATGTCCGCACCGAATATTTTTTACGGCCAAAGTTTTTATTTAAACATAAAATAATCACTCACGGGCCAGGGTTCAACTGAATTTTTTTTGGTTTCTCTATGAATTTAAAGTCTTAATTTTTTAAAGGTATTCTGGAGGACTTCCTGAAGACTTTTCTGATGAGCAGGCATCTAATCTAATTGAAATTTCGGAGAAGTACCAATTGGATTCTCTTAAAATTATTTGCCAGGATAAACTGATTTCACGGTTTTTAGTTAATTCTTTAAAAATTTTTTAATTTTTCAGTCTGTCAATGGCCAATGTTTGTTCAATGGTAACTATTGCCGATATTCACAATGCTGATTTACTTATGTCTGCATGCATTCCTTTGGTTTCTTTTAAAAATTTTTCAGAAAAAAATTTTTTTCTAAAGGTTCGTAGCCATATACGCCAACTTATGGCTAGTCAGGAATGGACTGAAATGAAGACAAATAACCCTCGTTTGTTGAATCTGGTCTTGGAGAAGGTTTTCTTTTGTTTTTTATATGAATCTGGGTTAAATTGGGAATGTAATAAACTATTCTCTGAGTGAGAAAACTTTGCGTGTTATGGTGACATTTGATCCCAAAAGGCGGGGTAACAAGAGGGAGATCTTGTAATTGATTTTTTGTGTTTTTGTCTGTGGGGGGAGATCTGTAGAATATAAATGTGGAATGATTTTTAAAGTTGGGATAAAATGTCATCGTTTTATTTTATTCCCTTTTATGATAAATAGACATTTAAAAGATCTAAAAAATTTATTTTTTAAATTTATTAAATTTAAAGGTGATAGTCATTAGCGAGAAGAATCTCCCGACACCACAACAGAAGAATCTCCAACCGCCGCAGAAACGTATTCGTTTGAACGATATGTATTACCATCCAAGTTAGGTTTTCTTTTTTTGTGTGTTAACTGCCTTTTGTTGATATTGGGAAAAATTAAAAACATTTTTTGTTATGTAAGTAATGGGTGAGTAGTTATTCAAAAATTTCTTGGGGTCTTTTTTTGTAAATTTGGGTTTAAAAAATTAATAAAAAAATTTTTTTTGAATTTTCCCTTATCTTTTAACAAAAAAAAGTGTCTATTCATCCTAAAAATGTGTCTATTTTCATGTCTATTTCTTGAATTATGAATATATTTTAACTGCTAAATTGTAAAACTTATGTTAACTGTTCTCTTTTACACATGACACAACAACCAACTTTTTTTATTTTTAGGTTTGATTTCTAATCAAAAATTTTCAATAAATTAAGGAATAATAGTTGGGGGTATCTAAAGTTTTAAGGAAGTTTTTACGAAATCTTTACGAATTATAGAATGAATTAGGGTAGTACCTTCTCCCCCGAAACCCCGATTCGACCCCCAACGAATTTTTAGGCATCTCCGACCCGAACTCTGAAGGCTCTACCCCGGCAAATCTCGATCCTTGACGGTACCGCCCCCGGATGCTCGGAGAGCTATACCAGAATTTATTGCACAGTCAGACTTTGATATTAACTACTATTAAAAATTAGATTAGGTCTTTAAAATTATTTTTTTGAGAATTATTTGTCATTAGAAATCAAAAACCCTACAAAATAATGTCCTCTTGTCTTCCTTTTATTTTAAAGTTCCTTCTGTCTAAAAATTACCTAAAGAAAAATAAGCCTTTTCGTGCTTTCTCTCCAAAGCATTTCCATAAATTCACAAAAAGCCTATCTTTACTTTTATTTAAAAAATAAATTGATTCGATAAAATGTGAAAAAAATTTTTTTTGGAAATTTTTTAAAAATATTTTTTATTTTTAAATTTAATACTTTTTCAATCAATTTAAATTTCTTTAATTTAAATAGAAGGGTACATATTATCAAAAAAAGGAAATGGGAAAATTTGATATTCAAGAACAGCTTGAACCTTTTAATACAGGACGACTTCAAGCCTTAAATCATAATGAGGTTACTAAACAACAAAATGATTTTGAAGAAAAAGAGGGGGAAGAAGACGATAATGTATTCAAACAATTCAATCAACCAACAAACAAATCAAGAAATTCAACAAAAACAACACAAAAATAACCAAAAAAATAATTTATTAAGATTAGCTACATGTGTTGATGGCTACATTATCTACATAAAAATGGAATTAATCGGAAAGGTAAGTTAAATTTAAAAAAATCTTTTCCTTATTTTGTATTAGTTTTGGGTCTCGAAACATTATTTTCTGTTCATAATGCTTTAAAACCTTTCCAAGTATACTTTAAAAATATTTACCCTTAAGGAGGTTTGAACCTTCACCCAATTGAAAATCTAAACTTAACACGGGTTCACTTAACCACAAAAACTAAAATTCGTAAATTTGTTTAAACGAATTACTAATTTTGCCTCATCCTTGTCCTTTCTAAATTTTACACATTTACATTTTACTAAAAGTTTTAAAATTTATTTTAATATCAAATCAGTTAAAGATAAATAATCAAAAGTAAATTTATTATTTCTATGACATTTTGCCATAATTTTCTTTTATTCTTTTAAAATTGCAACATGCAGCATTTTAACTGTAATAAGAAAGAAAATATTCAAATTTAAATTAAAACTAACATTCATTTTTTCGCGTCGCCGATATAATTTGGCTCTTTTAGCCGAGGATCCTCTTTTTGAGAATATTAAGCTAATGTTCAAGGCACCCTTCCCTTTTTTTAAGCGTCCATCCCTATCTTTTAGCCCATAAGACTTCCCTTTTTTAAGCGTCCATCCCTATCTTTTAGCCCATAAGACTTCCCTTTTTTAAGCGTCCATCCCTATCTTTTAGCCCATAAGACTTCCCTTTTTTAAGCGTCCATCCCTATCTTTTAGCCCATAAGACTTCCCTTTTTTAAGCGTCCATCCCTATCTTTTAGCCCATAAGACTTCCCTTTTTTAAGCGTCCATCCCTATCTTTTAGCCCATAAGACTTCCCTTTTTTAAGCGTCCATCCCTATCTTTTAGCCCATAAGACTTCCCTTTTTTAAGCGTCCATCCCTATCTTTTAGCCCATAAAAAACCAATTTTTGAATTTTTAAATTTCTAATTTATAACAAATTCTCACCCAATTATTCAATGGTAATTCCAATGATGTCCACAAGTACAGTTGCGAAGTGCCTCATGTGAGTAACACGCACTGCAGTGATCATGATTTAGATCACAATTAAGTTTACGTAACGAACTAACAGGATTCCAGCAAAAGCCAGTACATCCACATTTTGAGCATCCCATTTTTAGCAAATTTAATAAGAAGTTGATTAAACTTTTAGAAAATTATAATTTTTAAAAGGAAAAAAATTAAAAATAAGATTATTTAATAGAGTTGATTAGAAACCAAAATCCGATTAGGTTTAATAAAAAATTTTTAAATACAAAAGAGAAGAAAAAATAAAGTTCGGATTGGACAAAAGATGGGGCAACTTTTTTAGAAAAATAATAATCTAAAGAAAATCCCCAATTTTTATGATGGGTGACTAAAAAATTTGTAAACATAGTTGAAAGGCGAACAATAGAAAAATGGCACTTTTTGTGATTCATCATTTGGGGCAAAATTTAAAACGCTTACTAGATATGGCCATTTTTTGGTAAAACATCTGCCAGCAAAAAGTATGATAAAGAAAAAAAGTCAAAATAATTTTACATATTTTAAAAGAAAATACAAAGAGAAAAATACCAAAAAAAAGTTTAAAACCCAGAAGGTCAAGACCTAGGAGTTCAAATCCAAATATTTGGGAGATAAAGAAGGATTTGTGCATATCAATGGGGCTTTGTTTGGATTAAGGGGCTTAAGAGCGAAAAGGAAAAAGGAAGCGGGTTTTCCTGGATAATTGTGTATATTTATATTTTCCGGAAACACTTCTGTAAAGCTTCCGGAAAAATTATTCAGTATAATTATTAACTTCCCGAAAGTTTTATTTTATTTTCTCTCCGGCAAGTTCTATGTAATATAGTTGTCGACAACGCAAACGCAAGTCAAACAACGCAAGTCGCAATTTTCAATTCGATTTTCAATTTTTTATTTTATTTCGCTTGTGTTTGACCCTATCTTTTTGTCGACTGCTGTATGTACATATGTACAATTTTTTTTTATTAAAGCAAATTTTGTTAATTTTTAATAAATAATTTTCCATAAATTCTCAAAAAAGCCATCTTTACTTTATAAAATTTAAATTGATACGATAAAATGTGAAAAAAATTTTTTTAATTTTTTTAAAAATATTTTTATTTTATTAATTCAATATTTTTTTACTTTTTAATAAAAAAATTTTTTCAGTTTATTTAGAAGGATTTTATTTAAATAAAAAAGAAATGGGAAAATTTGATATTCAAGTAATTCGTTTTTTAACTTCTCAACATTTTCGAATACTTACTTCTATTGAAATGGGAATGAAGAATCATGAATTGGTTTTTTTTAATGGAAAATAATTTTTTAATTTAAATTTTCAGGTTCCTCTACCCCTAATTGCTTCAATAGCGGCGATTCATAGAGGAGCAACTTCACGTCTTCTGAATGACTTGACTAGAAGTAAATTGGTTGTTTATGAAAGGAGCAAAAGATGTTTGTTTTTTTTTATTTTTAATATTTTTCCGGGATGGGAGGTGAATTTAGTTCTAGGAGTTTGGTAATATAAATTGCCTCGGGGAAATGTTCTGAAAAATTTTTGAGAGTTACCAGTTTCCATGAGGGATAGACCGCTACTCGTTCATTACGTCATAGGCTCTGTTAATCCTATTACATTTTAGCCGTTTTCTGGCTTACTTGATTCAAAATTTTTTAATTAGGTTGTAGTCCTCCGAGTGGTTGAGGATTAATCTCCGTTTTCTATATTTTTACAAAGATTTGAGAGAAGAAATCAATTTTTTTTAATTTTTAGTTGACGGTTTTCGACTAACCACACTAGGCTATGACTTTTTGGCTCTTCGAGCACTCCGCGCCCGTGAAGTTGTTGGGTCTATTGGAAATCAAATTGGAGTAGGGAAAGAAGCAGATGTTTATGTTGGGGCTAATCCAACGCTCGAGGTTTTAAAAATTATTTTTTGTGGGTTTTTTGGGGGGTTTTTAGTCTAAAAACACTTTCTGGTCACCCAAGTTTTTCCCAGTTTAATTTCTAAAAAATTATTTTTTGAAGGATTTGGTTCTCAAATTTCACCGTCTTGGACGTACTTCCTTCCGCAAATTAAAAGAGAAACGTGACTATCATCGAAAACGTCATTTTTGTTCCTGGTTATACCTTTCTCGTTTGGCTGCCTTCAAAGAATTTGCTTTCCTCAAAGCTTTGTACTCTCACAATTTCCCCGTTCCAAAACCGATCGATATTAGCCGACACACCGTGGTTATGGAATTAATTGTTGGTCCAACTTTATCAAATGTGGCACAAGTTGATGATCCGGCAAGTTTATTTGAAAAGTTGATGAATTTAATTGAAAGATTGGCATCTTATGGATTAATTCATTGTGACTTTAATGAGTTCAATATTATGCTTAGAGAGGTTTTTAATTTGATTTTAAATTTTTTAAAAATATTTTTGCAAGTCATTTTTGTTGTAAAACCGTTTATAACTTCAAGAAGTTTAATTTAAAAATGTTTGCCCTCGAGCGGGGTCGAACCTTTGTCCCTCTAATATTCAAAACCTATCACACTTCCACTTAACCATAAAATTTAATTTTCTTCAAAATTTTTAGGATGGTTCCCCCGTTCTAATAGATTTTCCACAAATGGTTAGTGTGTATCACCCAAATGCAGAATTTTACTTTAATAGAGATGTAAATTGTGTAAAAACATTTTTTGTCCGAAAATTTCATTTTGATGCCAAAGAATGGCCAGAATTTAAAGATGTTGAAAAATGTTATGATTTGGATGTTGAATTGGAAGCTAGTGGATTTACAAAACA